GAACGGCCGCCTGGAGGGCTTCAACCACGGTCGGATGAGCGTGCCCTAAGATGAGCGGTCCCCAGGAACCGATGTAGTCGATGTATTTCCCGCCATCGATGTCGTAGAGGTAGGCCCCCTCACCCCGCTCGAAGAACAGCGGTTCTCCGCCTACCGCTCCAAACGCACGGGCAGGGCTATTCACCCCGCCGGGAATAAGCTGCTTCGCCGTCTTAAACGCCTGATGACTTTTCTCTCGCGACATGAGTTCCTGCAAATTCAACTAAAAAGAGACTCGCAAACAAAAACCATAGACAGGGTAACAACCGGCTCGCTACAAGTCGCGATGGACACGCACCCCCGCCGACCGTGCCGGGCTTAGCCCAGCCAGTTGGCAACGTCGAGCGCCCAATAGGTGAGAATGATACTCGCCCCAGCGCGGTGGATGGCCGTAAGCGATTCGACAGCCACGGCCTGTTCGTCAATCCATCCCTCTCGAGCTGCAGCCTTCACCATACTGTATTCGCCCGAGACGTTGTAAGCCGCCAGCGGAATGCCCGGAAAGGTTTGTCGCACGCGTTGCACAATGTCGAGATAGGCCATGGCCGGCTTGACCATAATGATGTCGGTACCCTCGGCCACATCAAGCGCCACTTCCCGAAGTGCCTGATCGGCGTCGGCCGCCGGGTCCATTTGGTAGGCACGACGATCACCGAACTGGGGCGCACTTTCGGCGGCTTCGCGGAAGGGGCCGTAATACGCGCTGGAGTACTTGGCCGAGTAGCTCATGATGGGCGTATGGGCGAATTGGGCCGCATCGAGCGCTCCACGAATGGCCCCCACCATACCGTCCATCATTCCACTGGGCGCGATCACGTCGGCCCCCGCCTGGGCATGGCTTACGGCTTGCAGGCCCAGTTGCTCGAGGGTGGCATCGTTGTCCACATCCATTCGGCCGGTTGCGTCGTTCACCACGCCACAGTGCCCGTGACTTGTGTATTCACAGAAGCATACATCGGTGATGGTAAGCAGATCGGAGGCCGCCTTCTTGGCCTCTTCGATCGCCTGTTGCACAATTCCGCTGGAATGCAACGAGTCGCTGCCGCTGTCGTCTTTTTCCGCGGGGATGCCGAACAGTATGATTCCCCCCAGCCCCGCATCGGCCGCCCGGCGCACTTGCTCGCCCAGGTGCTTCAGCGGCAACTGCGAATGGCCCGGCATCGAGTTGATGGGCGTGGGCTTACCGTCTCCGGCCCGGACAAACAATGGCAGCACCAGCTTGCTGGGCGATAAAGTGGTTTCCTGCACCAGCGACCGCACCGCAGGGTGATAGCGAAGCCGTCGCATGCGGGTGGTGGGAAACCGCGAGGCGGGAAAAGGCTCTCCGTCCTTCATACAGACTTATTCCTGCTTCTCCGTCTGAGCGACGGATGTTGGCGTAGCAATGTGCAGAGTAACCGCCTGCGATGCCTGACCACTCACGTTGGTCGCCACCGCGTGCACCTTGCGTGTCATCGGCTGAACCCAATCTTGTGCCGTGAGGAAAATCCGCCGTTCGGTTTGCCCTTCCAGAATCAGGACGCCATTGAGACCGATATCATCGACAATAACGCCGTGCGGCAGGTTTTCCACTTCGAACGACACTCGATCGGCAAAGTCGTGCCGATCGACCTGAAGAATAGCCGGCACCATCGTCCCCGGCTCGATCACAATCTCTTCACCCGAGGCTGGTAGCAGGCGTACGGAAACCTTTCCGCGGTCGTCTAGCTTCATCTTGCTCAGACCACTCACGACCTTCTCGCGGGCCTCACCGGCAACCTCGGCTCGGGCAGTAACTCGAACCTGGGCCAGTTGCTCCTTCGACGGCTCGGACGCATCTTCTGCAGCAAACAACACGGCGTTGGCTTCGCTGTGCCCCGCCTCGATTGTGACGGGAGTCGAAAGTGTGAACCCTGCGGGAATGCCCGTGGCATCGATTGTGATCGCGCCATCGAATCCATCGGCCCGATCAACCTTGAACGTCACACCACGACCACCGCCTTTGGTGACACTGACTACTGAGGGCGACACCGAGACACCGAAATCGGGTCGAGGTTCTCGAATCACCAACCGGTAGGCGAACCGGTCTCCGCCGAGATCGGCCGAATCGCTCACCCGCACCAGATGCTTTCCATCGCTAGGAGCGGTGAAGTCCAGGTACGAATCGTTGCCCAAGCGACGCCGGCCATCGTCGTCGTTGGCAAAGTAAACGGTAAACACCGGCAAGCCACGCGGGACCAATTTGGTTCCCAGCGGAACCGGCTGCACGATGTAACACGGTTCGTCCCGTGCATGCACGGTGGATGTGGTATCAAAATAAGTGATGCGGCGTCCGTTGATCCCATACACATTGAACCCCGAGTCGGGCCCGCGAGGATGGCGAAACAGCTTGCAAACCTCACCCTGCATGTAGAGATACTCGTTAAGGTTCATCTCGCGCCAGTTGGTCAGACGCATGTCCACGGTGCGCGAATCGATCGGGCGGAAGGTGATGTCTGAATCCCGGGTAGCCTCTAACAACAATCGTGGCACGGGCTGCCCTGATGCGTCGAGCACTTCGACCTTCGTGTCAACGGGCGATCCCCGCCGGCGAGCGTCGGTCTCGATAATCCAGCGCTGTCCGGCTTTGGCTTCAAAGGCGTAGAGATCGACTTCAGTCCCACCTTCGGCTTCGTTGAAGATGCGGCCATTCACGGTGGTGGGCACGGCGATGAGCGTTGCCTGCTCGGGGAGATCATTCGGTTCGGCTTCGACGCTCTCTCCGCGGTCGCCCGCGACGATCTTCAACCCGCTGCGGGAACGGAACCGGTCGGCATCGATCGGCAACGAACTCTCGCCCTCGCTTTTCGGTGAGACTTCAACCCACGAATCTTCAGGCAAGTTGTAACCCGTGAATTGCACGCGCGACGTTTCACCCACCGGGACACTCATTGGGTAGTTGCCAGTCACGTAGGGAAGCGAACCTGCCAGCAGTTGATAGGTGTGCTCACCCGATCCATCGAACCGCAGATCGGTCACGCGAATGGTGTACTGGGCTGGCGTGACCACCTTGAAGGTGAGCAGGGGGTCGGGCGTGCCATCGAAGTCGTTATTGCTGGCCAGCACATCGCCCCCGGGCCCCAACAGAGTCAGCACCCCGTCGATCTTCGACCCGTTGCGACGGCCATTAAGATCGAACACTAAGGTCTGTCCCTCTTCGGCCAAGAAGGAGAAGCAATCGACGTCGCCGGGCGCGGACAGCGCTCCCCAGAAGCTGGCAGGCAACCGCGCGACAGCGGTATCAGCGGGACGGTTGTTCGGTTCGGCTTCAGAAAGTTGCGGCAGGTCGTCAACCTCGAGCGTGACCTGCTTGCTTTCCCCGCCAGCGGTGACCACTTGCAGCTTGCATTTGCCACGCCCGGCATCTTTGGGCAAGGTCACTTCCACCCAGGCCTCGTCACCGCTGCCAGATGCTTTGGGCACTGGCTTGGCTGTAAACCCTTTGCGATCGACCAGCACGCGTCGGATATCGACGAGGTTCTTGCCGACAAGCTTGATGCGATTCGTTACGCCAAGCTCAAGTCCCGCTGGCTCGGCACTGGTCAGCTCGGGGGCGGCGACCGGCACGGGCTTCCCGTCTTCGGTGCTGTAGACATCAAGCGTGCCGTCCAAGCGGCCGATGACCAGCTGCTTGCCGTCGGGGGAGAAGTCCAAGTCGGCGGGCCAATCCGATTGATCATCCCACAGGTGCTTCTCAGAAAGCGGTTCGACCTGCCACAGCTTCACTGTGCGGTCTTCGGCGGCCGTCGCCAGTTGAGATCCATCGGCAGAGAACGCGAGCTTGACGATGGCACCCTTGTGAGCGAACCGAGGATCTCGCTTGATGAACGTCGTCGAATTCAAATCCTCGCGTACCCACATGCGAATGCGGTTATCGCCCCCGCCGGCGACGATTTTCTTCCCGTCGGGGCTGAAGGCCACCGTGTACAGGGCCTTGGTCGATTCGCCGAAGGTGTCCACGCGCTCGTGCGTCGTCGTATCCCACAGCTTCACCGTGCGGTCGCCACTGGCGGTGGCCAGCAGTTTGTCGTCGGGACTGAACGCCACGTCGTATACCGCGTCGTTGTGGCCGGTGAGCGTTGCGATCTCCTCCCCAGTTTCGCCGTTCCACAGAATGATATCGCGATCGTAGCTGGAGGTGGCCAGCAGTTTTCCGTTGTGACTTAGCCGTGCGGCGTAGAGGCTATTGCTGTGCCCCTTGATCCGCATCAGCAAATAGCCCTCCGCGGCGTTCCAGATGCTCACCTCACCGAACAGGCCCGGCTCGCCGGCAGCCACAACCAAAAGCTGGCCATCGCTGGAAAAACTAACCGCATTCACGTTGCCGGAATGGCCCTCGAGACTGCGGATCACTCCGCGGTTAGCGGCCGAAATCAACTGCACCTTGCCGTAAGTGCCTACGGCGATCATCTCGCCACCGGGGCGATAACCCACTGCGGTAATAGGCTCGCGTACCGGGGCCGTGAGTTCGATCTTGGGAGCTTTGATTGAGGCCAACGTTGGAGCATCACCCTCCGGCCCAGCGGCACCAGAGTCGATCCACTTGCGAAGTAGCCGGATTTCTTCTTCGCTAAGCGTGGGATTATCCTCCGGCGGCATCACAGGCTCGAGTTGGCCAAGCACCATCTGCAACAGCCGGCTTTCCTCGGCCTGGCCGGGCACAATGGCCGGCCCGCGACGCCCTCCGGCCATCAGTCCAGCGAACGAGTCTAAAGCCATCTCGCTCTCGCCATCTTCGCCTTCGTGGCAGCCGACACAGTACTTCACCATCAGCGGGGCAATGTCCCGGTTGTACTCGGGCTGCGACTCCTCTTCTGCCGCGGCGGTTTGCGCGGCAGCTAATGACAGAAGCAGCAGTAACGCTAGCCCCAGTAATTTGGTGCGAATGCTGAGGATGTTTGCAGGCAAAGTCATACGGTCGTCTCGTTGGCCGCGTGGCTACGTTAGTGGTTGAACAAGAATTCTTTGCTGGTGAGGATGCTCCAGAACAGGTCTTCGGTTGCAGCTCTGCGTTCCTCGGCCGGTGTATCGGCGAAAACTTGCAGAAGCTGCTCACGTTCCTCGTCGGTCGGATACCGGCTCAGCGCGTTCAGGTAAGCCTCTTCAACGATCTGTTCGGGCGAGGCATTCTCCGCGAGCAGTTTTTCGATGCGATTCCCCGCGGCGGCCAGCTTCTGGTTCAATGTGTCGCCGTTGGAGAGATGCAGCACCTGTACCATGCTGGGAGCTTCGGTCCGCTCGCACTCGCAAGTGATCACCCGCTCGGGGCGGCCGAAGGTCTTCAAAAAGTACGAGTCGACGCTCGAGTCGGGCAACTGCATCGCTCGCCAGCCAGCGGGATAGCCAGCAAACTGTGCCGGGGCCATCGTCACCTGAGATGTGGCATCGAGCAGCACTTCGGCCATCAACCGTCGGGGGTAGTAGCGGGAATAGAATCGCTCGTCCCCCACGTTTCCTTCTAACGGTTTGCTATCGCGTTGGTAAGTTTCCGACTGAAGGATGGTTCGCATCAGGGTTTTCAGATCGAACTCGTTGTCGATCAGATGCTGAGACACGGCGGCCAACAGTTTCCCGTTGCTGGCCGGGTTCGTTAGACGCAAGTCGTCCACCGATTCGACCAATCCAGCATCGAAGAAGTTCGCCCACACCCGGTTGGTGATGGCCCGGGCGAAGTAAGGGTTCTCCGGTGACACGACCCAATCGGCCAAATGCGCCCGGCGATCGGCCTGTGAGTCCAGCGGCAACGGTTCGCCATCGAGCGGCGTCGGCGGTTGGGGTTCGCCACGTAGCGGCTGCACCAGGTCACCGCGATCGGTATTGAAGACAATGCTATGCCCGGCCCCATCTGCATCTTTCACCCGAACGCGGGCATACAGATTGGCCATGGCGTAGTACTGGTCGTTGGTCCATTTCTCCAGCGGGTGGTTGTGGCACTTCGCGCACATAATCGACATGCCGAGAAACGCCTGGGATGTGGTCTCAGTCAAGTCGGCCGGATCTTGATGCAGCACGTAGAAGTTGGTCGCCCCGTTCTCGAGCGTGCTGCCCGTGGCGGTCAGCACATCGCGAACCATCTCGTCCCACGGAGTATTTGCAGCCACATTATTCCGCACCCAATCGTAGTAGGCCCACATCGCGGGCGGCTGTAAGCTCGATGAGTTGACCAGCAGCAAATCCGACCACTTGTAGGCCCAGTAGTCGACAAACTCGGGCCGTTCCAATAATTCCTCGATCAGCCGATCGCGTTTGTCTTCGCTGGTTTCGGCAAGGAACTCTCGAGTGCGTTCGGCAGTCGGCAGGACACCAATCGTGTCGAGGTAGGCCCTACGGATGAACTCCGAATCGGAGCAGCGAGGTGAGGGCGGCATATTGATGCTTTCCAGTTTCTCGAGCACCAGGTCGTCGATGAAGTTCCGACGGGGCGATTCGGCAAAGGTGTTCTCTGGTAATTCCTGAGTAAGGGGCACCGTGATCGTGGCAGTGGTCACGCGACTCAGGTACCACACGGTGATCACGCCTTCACCCTCGCCGACCACTTGCACACGTCCCTGATCGTCGACTTCGGCCACAGAGCTGTTCGTCGCTTCATATTTGACCCAGGGAGTTACGTCCTCCTCGTGCCCATCACTGAATCGGGCCTTTACGATGAGCTGCTGCGTTGCGTCAACACCAAGCACAGCTTGCTCGGGCAATACCTCAATGTGTTCGATGCGGGGATCGTCTTCCGTCGGTGGTGGCGTGGCGGCGGCGATCCACTCGGCTAGCACACGATACTCGCGACTATCCACGTCGAAACGAAACCCACCTTTGTGCGGCACCGCACCGGCCGGCTTGAGCAAAACCAGGCTGCGACCGGGATCGGTAGGGACGATTCTTCTGCCCCGCGCTTGTCGCGTAAGAACGTCGTAATCGCCGAACGGATCGTACCCGCGAAGCGAAAGCTTGAAACCATTCTTCCCGGCCTGAGCACCATGACAGGCCCCCGAGTTGCAGCCGGTTTTGGTCAGCACCGATTGAACGTGATTCCGAAAGCTCCATTGAAAGGGCTGCTGTTGGTTGCTTACGGTCACGTTCACCGTGGCTTGCTCATCGCCAATGCTGGCCGTGATGGTGGCCTGTCCGTCGCCGCGCGGTAGGAGAATTCCGTCTTCGACCACCGCGACCGATTCGTCGCTGCTGGCGAATGTCGCTTCCTCTGAGACGTCGGCCACGTACGCCATGTCGCCTTCGTCACCGATCGCACGCTGCCGCTCGACTAACAGCCGCTGGCGAGCTTCGGTGCTGGAAAGTTGTATGTCTGAGGGCAGAACCACCAGCGTGGTGAAATCCAAGGAAATCGAAGTCTCAGGCGACTCGACTACCTCGCCTGAGGCAGCTTCCTCCTGGCCAGTCACAACTAGGGGGAACAGAGCCCCACAACCGATGGCAAAGAAAGCTGCCGCTACTCGAATCGTGCGGCGGGTAATGTCACGATGCATGTCGAGATCGCCTCCTGGCGGACTCGTTTGCGCGGGTGGGAATGCGGAAGGATTTCACAACGACCGAGAGCCCGTGTGAAACGACCGATTATAACCCGTACAGGCGGGGCTTTGCCAGCAAATCAGCTAGCCGCCAGTCCTATAGCTGGATTCAAGCTGTCGCCGGAAACCAAGCGGGGCAGGGGAGTTTGGGCAGAGAATTGCCCACCGAGGGCGCAGAGGGAAGCCTGTCGACCGGAAACCTTAGATGGCTTCCGGACCTTGCTCACCGGTGCGGATGCGAATGCAGTCTTCCAGGGGGAGAATGAAAATCTTCCCGTCGCCAATCTCGCCGGTATCGCCCGTACGTCCGCCCTTAAGGATGGCCTCGATCGTGGGCTCTACGAACTTGTCGTTCACGGCGATTTGAAGCTGGACTTTTCGGACCAGATTCACGCTCACTTCGTGCTTGCGGAACTGCTCAGGATGCCCCTGCTGGCGACCAAACCCTTGCACGTCCATCACCGTGAGACGGACGACCTCGACTTCACTGAGTGCGGTCTTCACCGCCTCCAGGCGGCTGGGCTGAATGATCGCGACGATGAGTTTCATCTTCGACGGCTCTTCCCTAAGGTCTGGTGCTAAGTTGAGTTCTCTGACGAGCTACCTTCGAACGGAAGTATTGCTCGGGTTTGGCAATCGACGCGAAGTGAGGGCGACGACTCAGAGCTCCTGGCCATGCTGCCACCCAGGGCAGACATCCGCAACTGGCGGGGGGTACTCGAATCGTAACTGCCCGATGAATCGCTCACAAGATCACCAGGCGTGAAGAAGAAAACGGATGCCCCGACCTGGGCGAGCTAGGCGGGCGCTCACCCAAGCCATATGGGGCATCCTTCTGGATACGCCGAAAGCGGGACGACGTACCAATCTCCTCATAGCAGGCGGAGAGAGCTACAAGTGCCGCATGAGACTCTGGAGATTCAACCGACCCGACAGCAATCGGTGTGCCAGCCAGCTAAAACGAGCACCCAAAAAGATCGGAAGTTGTTTGCCGTGTAATGCCTTAAGGCAATCACGATTCGCACGGCAAAGCAGGGCGAATGGCAGCAGATAACGGGATGTGCCAAGTTCCTTTGCACGAGGCGATGCGCATCTGCGCAACGTGAGAATCAGGCTGATGGTGTGACCTTAGCCCCGACTACCCGGATGCTTCTGCCTGAGTTTGACGGGCCTTATGCCATTTCACCAAACGGTCGATGGCTACGGCCAGAGAACGTCGCTCGCGGGCACCGATGGTCTCGCGGAGTCGTGTCAGGTCCGGGATCCGTACGCGAACATCGTCGAAGTCGTCGGAAAAAGCTTCCGCGTAGCTCTGGTACTCGATCTCGATGTCAGAATCGACCGCCTCGATCACGGCGGCGGCCAGATCCTTGATGGCGATGGGTTCATCACTGCCGACGTTGAAGACCCGGCCGGCCGTCTCCGCGTGGTCCATCAGGGCCGTCACCGCGTCGACCACATCGGCCACATCGGCGAAACAACGGACTTGCTTGCCATCGCCATGCACATAGAGAGGACCACCACGTAGTGCGGCCTGAATGAAACGTGGCAGAACCATTCCGTGGGTGCCAACCTGCCGGGGTCCGATGACATTGAAGAACCGAGAGACCACCACTGGAAGTTGGTGCTGCCGCCAGTAGCCCAATCCTAGAAACTCATCGATAGCCTTCGAGGCCCCATAGGCCCAACGCGGGCGAGTGGTGGAGCCGAACACCAAGTCGTCGTCCTCCGACCAGCGAGGCTTGGGGTTCTTACCGTAGACTTCGCTGGAGCTGGCCAGCAGCAGCTTCACCGATTTGCCACGCTGATGTACCCGCAGCAGTTCTTGCAGAATGAGTTCGGTGGGATGGATGTTAGTTTCAATCGTATGCACCGGGTTCTCGGCGATGAGCTTCACTCCGACGGCTGCGGCCAAATGATAAACCGTTTCTGCTTCGGCAAGATGCTCGCGGAGTAAGTCGCGATCGGAGACCGAGCCTTCGACAAACCGGAAGCCCTCGTGGCCCTCGAGCGAAGAAAGGTTTTCACGCAAGCCTGTCGACAGATCGTCGATCACTACAACCCGCTGTCCCCGGGCGACCAATAACTCAGCAAGATGGCTTCCAATGAAACCCGCGCCGCCAGTAATAAGTGCGTGTGCCAACAGAGTGCCTTCAGGGCTATAAGTAGTGCAAGATGAGGGGAGCCGTCCCCAGAACCACGGTCTACACGGGGCGCGAACTTCTACCAGTATTGTACGTTATGGCCTGGCAAATCGTTCGCGGCATTGTCAGGACGACGTCGCCAGCTCCTATTCTATTCTCGGGCCACATCCAGAAGGCTGCAGAATAGTACTTATGGATCGCCCAACAAAAAAAGGACAGGCTACTGCCATCAGCGAGGTAATGGGCGAGCCTGTCCTGAATGTATTGCGTTGGAATCGAAATGGCTTGGGGCTACCAGCCCATCACCATGTTCGACTCGATCACTTTTCGGGCATGTTCCAAATCGGTGCCCGTCTCGTGCATGTAGAGGCGGATGGCATGCACTTTGTCGCCCGACGACTTGGCCAAGCAATCACGTGCTGTGGAGCAAGGGTCGATCGAGTCGGTGATGCCGAGTGCCGCTTTGGAGATGACCCACGTGTCGCGGGGCCGCTTCGTTAATCGAATCACGCTTTCTTCAGGATAGTTGTCATTCACCACGGCGGTCGCCGCGTCCTGGTCGTTCGCCCAAGTAATAATTATGTGCGAGTCGGTCTCGATTTCGAATAGCGGCATCGTTCACTCTCCTGTTACATACCGGCAAGATGGTAGTGGCCAGGCACTCCACTGAGGATCGCCGAACGGCAGTGGACGCACGGGCACACAGAGGATGGTAAATCTCACAGCGGCATTCGTCAACGAGTGCGTCGAATCCCCGGAATGCTTTCCCGTAATTAACGCGAAAGGGAAGCCCGGCATACGCGAAAACCGGCATTTTCCGAGACCTTATCACCCCATTGATTCTCAATGGATCGACCCTGCTTGAAGCAACGAAATTGACGGCTGCGGTGCCCTAGACGAAAGCGACGGTGGGCCCCCCAAAGCCAGGGCAGGGCATTGGCCAAATCTGCCGGCTTCGCAGAGCGGAAGGACAGTTGTCCCTATAGAGGCCTTGCCCACTCACAGCTCGATGTTCAGAACTGATCGGGTAGGGCTGCCTCGGGGGCTGTCACATCATCGTTCTCCGATGTGTCTGCTCGACATTCCCTAACTGTCCAGAGACGAAGAAGCGATGGGTAACTTCACGAGCTACTGCCCCCAGCGATGCAATGACGGGTTCAGACTACTTCAGCACTTCATCACTGGCTTGGTTGTCGAGCGCGATGTCGACGACGCTTGCACTGATATCCAACTCGTCTATCTAGCTGCCTGAAATTGAATGGGCAACCTCCCGATTTCCGCAGTCACATTTCATGCCCTACTCCTGGGGTGCGAAGCGTTCACCTTTCGGACCGAATTCATCCGTGCAACCTGGTAGAAAGCCCGCCAGTCTGGTGCTCAGCAAATCACGACAATCGAACAACAGTTCATAACAGGCGAACGTTACTTTTGATGCGTTTCCTAGCGGGCGCCCCTTCAATCCAATCATCCCAGAGCACAATTAACACCGCAGAGGTGCATCACTTTGATTCGTGAATGCTTGGCACACCGATTGCGATTTTGTTGCATTCAGCGGTGGGCGCTAAGGCGGAGTTCTCTGCTGCCAAAGATCTACGTCGAGGGGTCGAGGCTTGGTCAATCGAAACTGAGAGCGACCACAGTTCAATTCACAAGGAGAGAAGACGATGCGAAAACTAGCATTCACAATACTCGCAGCAGGAGCCGCACTGGTGTGGACGAGTGGGTCGCACATGACAATGGCCCAACTACCAGGAGTTCCCGGTGGCGGTGCGATCGATGTGCCTAATGTAGCACCGGGCGTTCAAGGTAACCCTGGCAATCGCGGTCCGGACGCAAACCGCGGTCCTCAGGGTAACCGAGGGCCCCGAGTTCAAGACGCGCTCCCAGATAATGTCGTCCCGCAAACCGATCGCGGTCCTCAGATGAATCGTGGAGACCGTGACAATCGTCCCGGCGACTACCGACCTGGTGATCGCAGAGACGGTAACTGGCAAGGCAATCGTCCGTATGACGGTCGACCCGACGGGCGATACGACAATTGGTACGACAACCGCAATCGCGGCTACGGTTACTCTCCCTGGAACCGAGGGAACTGGTACCCCAACTCGCAGTATCCTTACTACGGAAATCGCAACCGAGGTGGATACTGGAATAGCTGGTCAGTATTACCGTGGATCGGCGGAGCCTACCTCGGCGGTCGGATTGGCCCAGGCGTCGGCGGCTTCGGTCCAGGTTATGGAACCGGCTATTACGGGTACTACGGTTACGATACCCCTCAGCGATACAACGTTGCTCGACCCACCGATAGTGGAGAAGTCATTCAGCAACAAGATGTCGCCCAACAACAAGATCGCACGACCACAGAAGGTCAAGAGTACGAGCAGATGGCCACCCAGGCTTTCCGTCAGGGTGACTATTCTCAGGCGGCTCGCTACGCTACGCACGGTTTGATCGAAATGCCGCAGAATGGTCAGCTTCAGTTGTTAGCCGCTCAAGCCTTGTTCGCTCTCGGCGACTACGGTGGATCGGCCAGCTTGCTGCATCAGGCGGCCAGCATCTTGGATGAGAACCAATGGGGTTCGATCATCACCAACTACAAGAGCTACTACCGGGGTAACGACTACGTGCAGCAGATGCGTCAGCTGGATGAATACCTGAGCCAGAACCAGGAAGACTCGGCTGCCTACTTCGTGCGAGGCTACAACTATGGCTTCCTCAACCACGAAGACGCCGCTGTGAAAGACCTCACCCGAGCGTACGAGCTAGAGCCCCGCGACAAGCTGGCGGCCGCTTTGATTCAACGCTTTGGTGGCGAAGTACCTGAAGTAAGCACCCCGCCAGAAGGTCAGGCTCAGCCCGGCGCCGAGCAACAGCAGCCGGCTAACACGACTGAACCGCCAGCCCAAGAGGAGGCCACCGGTCAGCAAGACCAACAAAGTCAAAACCGGCCGAACAGCGAAGCTTCGGGCAATGCCCCTTCGGAGCAACCCACGACGAATGAATTGCCCGAACCTACAGAGACGCCTCAACCCTAGTCGCGGCCATTGGTCGTGAAAGCGTCAGAGCATTTCGCAGATTTCTTTGACGCACTGAAGCCGTCTCATCGAAGCCGCCTGGGAGGGATCAATCGACCTTCCCGGGCGGTTTTTTTGCGCTCATAAGAAGTCCGCACTATCCCGGCCCCGCAGTTCCCGGCTCAACCTTGGTTAACGATTCACCAAGAATGGAAGGACACCAATACTGCTCGATGTGTTCAATCACCAACTCCACGCCGCGAGCGTGACTGACGTGCGGGGCATCGCGGGGGTCGTAGAGGGCGTCGGTCAAATCGCGGCATAAGGCGACGTTCTTCCCTAGATAGTTCTGCTGGCGGATGCCGAAGGGACGCCCGAGAACACACATATTGGTGTGCACTCCCATCAGCACCACATTCTTGCGGCCTTCTTGTTCTAGAAAGTTGTAGATCTCCTGACCGTTGTCGCTGATTCCGTCGTAACCGATGATTTGAATCGCGGGATGTTGATGACGGTCGGTCTCGTGATGGGGGATGGCCTCAGGGTCGTCGCAGCCGGTCACCTTCGCTTCTCCCCGGGCAATGTCGTCGACGATCGGGAATCTGCCTTCTCGCTCTGGATTGAGATAGCACCAGGATTCAATCGGCACCGGTGGCTCGCTGTGGACGGCCTCGACCATTCGCCGGCGGTATGGGGTGTCTTCGTAGTGCTTCACACCGCTGCTGGGGGCGTGGATGATGGCGACACCGTTGTCTCGGGCCAGTGAGATGACCTCGTTCATGCGCGGCGCCATCCGCCCGACACGCATCGCCGCCATTTTGCAAGGGTGATCGGCCCACATATCGCAAATGATGATCGCCGTCTCTGCGGCCTTCCATCGCTCCGTCCCGCGAACCAATTCAACCTTGTCGTCCGCCACTTCGCGCCGTCTTCGCGTGTCTACCGCCAGAATGCCTGGGACCTTGGGGATTGTGTGAGAAGCCTCGGTCTCCGCCGCAGCCAAGTTAGACACAAAACCTGAAGCGATCCCGGTTGCGAGCACGCTGCTCATCCAATCGAGAGCTTCACGACGATTGAGCGGTTTCTGGAGAGTCATGGACCATCTCCGGGCAGGGAAGTGGTGACTTCGGTGTATCTCACTACCTTAGCCGGTTTTGCGATGGCGGGTGAAACCAGGAGTCAGGTTTTCACGGCGCTCGGTAGGGAGTGCCTTTGCGATAGTCACGAATTCGGAGATTGATCTCCACGGCCAACTCGTCATTACCATCCAGCGATGCCACTCTTCTTGCCGTTTCTGCCCTTCTGATGGCCTGATCGAAATTCCCCGTCTCGGCGTAGGCTGCGGCGAGCGTATCAAGTGCCTTGGCGTCGGCGAACGATGTCGCCTGACAAGCGGTGGTGGCTAACTGAAGCGCCTCCTCGCCGTTGCGGATGTCATCATCATGAGAGGTAGCCAATAACCAGGCCAGCGAGAGCTTCACTTTCAGCGACTCAGGCTGTAGCTGGTACAGCGAACGAAAGATCCGCATTGCCTCGGCGTCTTTACCCTGAGCGGCGAGGGCTTCGCCAAGCTGTAGCTGTAATCCTGGGGAACTAGGATTCAGTTCTAACGCATGACGAAACTGCTCTTCGGCCTCGGCGGCACGGTCGGCTTGTAGCAGCAGCAGGGCAAAGTTGGAAATGATCGGAAGGTCATGTGGCCGAAGGTCTAACACTGCTTGGTATTGTTCGATCGCAGCTTCCACATCACCTTGAGCACCGAGCACCGTGCCCAGATTTACTAGCGCGGGGATATTGCCCGGTTCGATCTCTAGCACTTCTCGATACTGCTCGGCTGCTCCCTCCAAGTCGTCGTTCTCGCGTAGCAATTCGGCGTAGTTCATCCGCGCCAGGATGAAATCGGGATCGGCCGCCAACACTTCTTGGTACAAAGCTTGAGCTTCTTCGCGTCGCCCGTCGCCAGCTAGCGCGATAGCCAGATTCATTTTCACCGGCAGTAGTTCGGGCGATTGAGTGAGAATCAGGCGATAGTGTTCAATGGCCAGTGCGTATTGGCCGCTTTCTTGCAGCAATTTGGCAAGGTTCGTCCGTGCACTGATTTCCAATGGGTTGATTTCGATCGCCTTCGCGTAGTTCTCGACCGCTGCGTTGAAGTTGCCCTCGAGTTCTTCAACTTTTCCTAGCAAAGAATAAGCCAAGAAGCTTTTCGAATTTACATTCAACTCATGCACGAGCAGTGTCCTGTTGTCTCGCCAGTAACCGATCTGAACGAAGCTGAGCAGGGCATAGAGTCCAAGGAGCGTCGCGATTCCCCCAATCACGACGGATGTTCGATAGGTCGCAACGCACCAGGCTGCTGCCAGGGCGGGCCCTAGCATAGCCACGTAGACGTAGCGGTCGGCCACGGTCGAGAAATCTTGAAACCGAAATGGCACCAGCCCCAGCATCGGAAGTAGTGCTGCTATATACGCCCCGTACGCGGTAAGCCACAGCCGGCGGTGCGGCAGCCGCCACAATACTACGAACAACGCCAACGGAACGATCCACGCTAGATAGGGCCATAGACCACCAAGTACCACCGGCGGCGAGCGACCGTAATCGATAGCGAGCGGCCACGGCAAGATTGTCTTGTACAGGAAAAACGTCAACGCATCGAATGCAATGAATGGCCGCGTCCACAGAGGCGTCAGCGATTGAATGATCGCATCTGGCTGTAGACTCTTGGAAATGACAACGCAGATGCCACCCGCCACAATCCAGATCAACAGCCAAGGCCAGGTCCGGCGCAAACCATCAGGCTTCCATCCAGCCATCAGCACGATCAACACTAAGGGAAACACCACCGCCGTGGGTTTGGCCAACAAAGACAGCACGAACAAGACTGTCGACAAGGTCATTGCCAAAGCGCCACCAACGCTCGACCTACGATCGTTCGCAAAGTCTCCCACTCCGCTGAGTTGCAAGAACAGCCAGACCGCGAAGAGACCCAACAGGGCACTCGACAGCCCACGAGTGTCTGTGATCCAACCGACCGACTCGCTCTGTAGTGGATGCAAGCCAAACAGCAATGCCCCCACCAGTGCGGCCCAATCGTGCTGGACAACGATCCGCAAGATCATGAAGACCGTCAGCACGGTCAACGTGTGCAGCACTAAATTCCCAATGTGGAATACAGCAGGGTTGAACGCACCTTCCACAAGAGCCAGGGAGGGGAACAACTCATGCAAGTTCGCTTCCATCCAGAATATGGTGTACGCCACAGGAACGTACAACCGCTGGTAAGATGCGGTCCAGAACTGGGTAAGACTTTCCCAGGTCGCAGGTTGTAAAAGCGGGTTGCTAGTGACGTTTCCTGGATCGTCCCAGAGAAGAAATTCGAAGCCGGCAACGCGGCCAAAGACTGCCACCATCGCCGCGACCAAGATCACAAGACAACTCACCAGGCGGGCACCACGCCCAAGTCCAGATGGTGCGACTAAATCTTCAGGAGTCGACGTCATACGAACCGTTCCCAATCTGGGAACCTGGTAGTTAATCTGGGACTATCTCTTGCTTAAAAGGTCTCGTGAGCGATTCGAGAATGTCGCACCAATTCCCCACCCAAGTAGCACAACCATCGAACCTAAGAACACCTTGATCCCCAACCGAAACGAAGCTGGGTCGTATTCGAAGACCAATCGTGAATTGCCTTCAGGGACGACAACTCCACGCAGAGCATGATTCGCCTTGAAAATGTCGACCGGCTCGCCATTCAAGGTTGCATTCCAACCCTTGTACCACAGATCGGACAGTACCACGACTCCCGGAGTCTCCATCTCCACCTCCAACTCCACCCGGCTCGGCACTTCTTCGACAATATGTCCCATACCTCGATAGGGACCCCTTGGCAGTTCAGGACGTTGCTTGCCATCAATCGGCTCAAAATAAGCGACTGCCCCAGGATCAAACTCCGTAGAACGCATCTTGTCGAGCGTTGCTTCCTTACCTTCACTCCATTCAGCAACCCGTGGAACATAGGCGCGAGGCAGGGCACTCTCGCGCTCGGTCACCACGTAGTCATTGCCCGTGAGTAACGTCTCGATCGTACCGGGTACGACACCACGGTCGATGCGATAACGTAGATTCAGCATATCCAAAATCGGCGATTCGACTGCCGGGAACAACTGGCTGTACGCATACACTGGTCGCGTGAACCGCTGTCCGTGTTGGTCCTCAACCAATCGCAAGAGTTCAATCAGCCCTGCAGGATCCACTCCATCGTATCCGCGAATGTCTCGCAAGCCATGCGTCACATTCAAACAAGCCGGAAAGCAATAGAAACCACAAATTCTGCCGGGTTCAAGTTCGGCTAACTCAGCGAGAGTAGGAATCTCTGGAAAGTACAACTCGGGATCGCATTGCGGGTTCACACCAAAGTGCACCCAAAGCAATTCGCCAACCGCAAGAATCAATATCGCAGGAGCTAACCACTTCTGCCGCGGTCGCCACAAGATTACGGCCCAAAACACAAGTGCCACGATGCACAAGAATGCTGCCTGCAGATACATCGAAGCAAACCAGGCTTGCGCGGTCTCTACCGGGTCCTGTGGATTGGGACGCAATCCCGTCTGCACTGTTTGTGGCGGTACGAAGAACCGGTAGATACACCATCCGCCGAGGGACGCAAGCACCATCATCGGAGCGCCGAACCACGCCTCGCGACTCACACGGTACCGCATCAGGGCATCTAAACCCAACACTGCCAAGGCAACGACGCACCAGGCAGTGAAGAATGTGAAACGATTGTTCTTGAGCAACTCTAAGGCAGGCAGATCGAAGATCGCAGCCAGCCCTGGCACATTCAGCAGGTGAGCCGCGGCAAGAAAACCAGCAACGCCCCAAAAAATCACCCACCCCCGGCGACCCCGATTAGCCCAGGCGAGCGGCGCTAAAACCAGTGTTAGCAGCAAGCCTGCATAGGCCTGTGGCGCACCTTCGGCCCGACTACCGCGGGCAAAATAGATGCCTGTCTCTTCATCCCACTTTCCACCGGGCGGGACATAACGACTCCCACGCGCTTCACTGCCATAGAAATTCGGTAATACGAATTGCGGCAGCGCGACCAACCCAATTCCCGGCTCTTCATCGTGGCCTTCAGCCCGTTTTTCCACACGGTAGCTTGTCCGCAAATACTCCACGGTTGGCAGGCTTTGTGGTGCGGAGAGCAAAAAGCCAAGTGCCCAGCCGAAAATGACGGCCGCCGCCGATTTCAGCCCCGGAAGTGTTACCATCCCCGGCCAGCGGCAAACTGTAATCAAGCGAAAAATCGCGAACAGACCGCTCGCCAGCAGCACGTGCCCTGCGGTTGCAACATGCCCACTAAGTAAAAGAAGGAAAGTCACCAGGGCGAGCAGCGGGCCGCCAAACCCGCTCGGCCTGCGAATGGCCGCGTCGATGGCCAACAACAACCAGGGCAGCCAAATGGCCGTGAAACTAACGGGATAAGCCCGCCAGAGCACGAAGAATCCCAAAATCGGAAATGCCCAGGCTCCCAGTGCGGCGGCCCAAAACTTGCAAGGCATCGCACGGCGGAAAAAGAGGAAGGCCCCACAGCCCCCGACGAGGGACTTAATCAACTGTCCCCAGGCAATCGCCATCGGGCTTGGCCACAGGTAGTCGATGATCCGAAACGGCGAGAAGACGGCCGTGTTATTTGCCGCCAGAAATGGTGCGCCGCAAAAATTGTAAGGGCTCCAAAGAGGCAACCGACCCGCGCGCACCTCTTCGATAACATACAAGCGCCGCATCTCGATCGACGATACTTCATCAATCATGATGCTGTTCTGAGGCACAAAACCGCGCGTCTCAGGCAGTTGCGGTAAATACATCCGGTCCATCATCAAGATGTCCAGCGGCAACAAGATGCGATAGCCCAACAGTGATGGACCGTAAAGTATGGCCTGCGTGAGAAAGATCCCACCGATCACGATCAGCGCACGCAAGAGCCGCACTCTTCTGACCTTCCCCCTCCGGGAAGACGCGTTCTGCTGGGATGTGGGCATCGCGACCGTAAGTTGATAGATTCGCTTCGACAAGACTTCCGAACATCGATCGTCCCGAAGAAGCTTTTCATCCGCGGACACCACTTGGGAAGGCCCGCTGCAAAGAAGGTTCGATCATAGCCGAGACAAAATCCGGCATCCATCGGCACCGCTCTGAAACGAAACCGCTCAGGTCAACTCTCGTTGCGTCTTCGCCCTATTCCGCAAACATCGATCATCTAAATCGTCCGCCAATTCCTCGCGTTCGGGGAAGATTGAGGCAACTTTAGTTGAGATTGCTGGCCGATCTTGTTCTAATTTATGCATCCCACCGTACTGGCGAATGAACCCCTCGCCCCCGCCACGTTGAAAGTACTCACTCATGTTCCACCGTCGCGAACTACTGCAAGTCGGCTGCTCGTCGTTCTTCGGACTGGGTCTGGCTGGGGTTCTGAAGCAACGTGCCCAGGCCGCCGGAAGCATTCCGCCGGCCAAGTCGGTCGTGCTGGTATTTCTCTCCGGGGGTGGAAGTCACATCGACATGTTCGACCCCAAGCCCGATGTGGCCGAGGTGAAGGGCGAGTTCGATCCCATCGCTACGGCTCTTCCTGGAGTGCAATTCTCCGACAAAATGCCGGGCATGGCGGTGCGGGCCGATCGCTTCGCCACCGTCCGTTCGATGGCACACAACGACAATCGCCACCTTTCCGGCACCCACAACGCACTCTCTGGTTCGGTGCAACCGTTCCGCGGCGACTCGAACGAGGCCAAGTCGTTGAACCGCGCCGACTGGCCATCCTACGGTTCGGCAGTCTCGTACCTGCGACCTCGGGCCGATCGCATGCCCAGCCAGGTAACGCTGCCCAATTCGTTGATCGAAGGGGTTCTCGTTTGGCCGGCTCAACATGCCGGCTTCCTGGGACCCAAGTACGACCCCTTCGTGCTGAACGACGACCCCAACAAAGAAGACTATAAAGTGAGCAGCCTGTCATTGCTCGACGGGCTGAGCGTGTCACGTCTCAAAGATCGCCGCAACCTGTTGCAGAGCATCGACGCACATCAACGCAGCATCGCGAACTCACCGCAAGATGTGAAGTTCTCCAACGAGCAGGAACTCGCCTTCTCGATGCTCACTTCGTCGACACTTAAGTCAGCGTTAGACATCAACGCTGAGTCAGCAGAGACCCGTGACCGCTACGGACGGCACACTTACGGTCAAACATTGTTGCTCGCCCGACGACTGGTCGAGATGGAAATGCCGGTCATCCAGTGCAACATGGGTCGGGTGCAATCGTGGGACACCCATGTCGATCATTTCCCCCGGCTGAAGACGATGCTGCCGGCGCTCGACACGGCCATGAGCGCCTTCCTCGACGAACTGGATGAACGCGGATTGCTCGACCAAACCTTAGTCATCTGCGTTGGCGAATTTGGCCGTACGCCCAAGATCTCGCCCCTCGCCGGACAATCAGTTCCGGGGCGCCACCACTGGGCGGCCGGCTACACGGCCGTTTTTGCCGGAGCAGGTGTTCGCGGCGGGCAGGTTATCGGGGCCACCGATCGAATCGGGAGCAGCCCCATTACCGAGGCATATCACCCGAATGACATCGGAGCCACAATCTATACCGCCCTGGGGATCGATCCACACACCATGATCCCCGACGCCTTGGGGCGCCCCCGCCCCTTGAACGAGGGCAAAGTCATGGACGTGCTCTACACCGGGTAGCGAGCAAGCTAATTCTTATCGCTTGCTTCGCCGGCGAAGAAACGGTGCCAAGGTAATCAGGCCCAAACTCATCAACACCAGGCTCGAAGCCTCAGGCACTGCCACCACCGTGGTCGGCAAGTGAACTTCGCCACGCTGCGTGAAAGAAGCCACGGCCACACTTCCATCAATGTTCGTCGAGTTCGTCAGGTGGGCTTCTGGGGCCAGCAGTGCACCATTCAAATTGCGATCTACGGTCAGCGAAGTGGCTTCGTAAAAGTTCCAGACGACGATTTCACGAAGTGCGTTGGTGGTGAAAGCCCCCACCTGGTTCATACCGTTGTTCCAGGTCATGCTCGACCCGCTGACGTTGATGATGATCTGCGAGGCACCGTTGGCGTTCATCTGCATTTGGGCCAACGAGTTGTTCTCGAAGACGTCGGCCGCCGTCACATTGAAAACCGCCTGGTTCTGTGGACCACCGGGTTGGGCGTCGAACACGAGTTGGTTGCCGTTCTGCACCGAGGTGGTGCTGTTGGCGGTCAAGGCAGCCAATGCTGCGGAGGCTGCCTCGAGAGTGGCCTGAATCCCGGAAATATCAACGGGGCTGCCCAGCGGAACAACCGGGCCGTTCTGCACGGTACCGAAGACGGTTCCGCCCACCGCAGCACTTCCACCGCTGTTCATGTTGATGATACTGCCAGCCGAAATGTCGCCACCAACCTCGATGCTTCCGCGGTTGATGTTTTCAATCGTGGCCAGAACGTCGCCACCTACCAGCAGTGAAGTTTCGGAAGAAGGTATGCTCAGCATCGTCCCAAAGTCGCTGGCAGTGCCGGAAAGATTGCCGCCGATGAAGGCCTTGCCTTGCACGTTCGACTGGCTATCGAGATCGCCGAATACGATCAAGTTGTATTCATTCATCGGGGAAAGTGGATTGGCATTCGCATCCGAACATACCCCGAGCATCGCAACGGCCGCAGCCGCCGCGCAAACAATCATCCTCATTAGACGCTCCCCTGATGCTCTCTCTGGTCCGCTAATCTCGAGTAACTGGCCCTGAACTTCCGCCTAATGTCACTCTATCTCGATCTTAGTCAAGCGATTGACCCTGGTGCTTCAGGAAAACATCTCTGATTGGTTATTTGCCTTGGCCTCTGCACCCTATTTCTATTCAGCTCGTGATGCCAACATTGATTGTGCACCTAAGTAGTAGCAAATTGTTTAACCGTACTATCGACGATATTTCACGAGTCGTTCGGTGACAAATCATTAGCTAGCTCCACATATCATCGTTCACCGACGATGCAATAAATTTCTACTCAACCGAGTCAGGATTCACTTCACCGGGAGGCAAGCCCGCTTCCATAATCTTCTCTGCCGCAACTTGTCCGGCGAGTCGATGGCCATCCATGTTCCAATGGCCTTTGCCCGGACGCGTGTTGGAAAACCCATGCAGGTATCGCTGATGTTGCATGGCATACTCGCGCATTTTGTCGGCTGGAGTAACGACCAGAAATCCGTGCTTATCCCCCAGACTCCTCAGCCGGCGCGCGGGGTATTCGAAATCGGGGATGCCAAGCTCCACAGCGACCAGGTTGCTTGCCTGTTTATCGAAGTCGATTTCCACCGCGCAGTTGGCCATCAGCACAATCAGTGGTACGCCATGCTGTTTGGCCTCCCTGGCAATGTTCTCAATCAACCGATCGGTTACTTCCCAAGCTTCTTCCCAATCGGTGTCTTGCGTTTCATGGAACGCACGAAGATCGAGCCCTGCTTCTAGATAGTTATCATCGTTGCTCGTGTCTTGGCGATGACGCAATTGATACACCAGCGCTGCAAGCCGGCTGTGATGCACTAAAAAGTCTTTGAATCGAATCCAACGCGAAGTTTCAAATCGAATTCGAGTTGGATCGTTGAGGAACGAATCGTCCAGCACCAATTCGCCGTTGATGATTGAGAAGAAAGGCCGGCCTAGATCATCTGCCAGCTTCTTCGAGTTGTTCACCACATCGTTGGCCGCAAAGAACTGAAGCAGAATCAAATCGGGTTCATAAGGCCACACGTAGTGCCGCAGCATCTGAAGCTCTTGGGCCGTGCTATAACCGGACACACCGAAGTTGAGCACTTCGATATCAATCCCGCTCGGGGGAAGCTGCTCGCGAAGCTCAGCCTCCATGACCGACCAGAACGTTTCATCCAGTTCAACCTGCAAGGCTTCAGAATACGAATCGCCGAGGACCGCAATTCGGAAAACGCCCGGCCTCTTGTTTACGCTCCGCGGTTGATCACGAAAGCCGTGCTCGTTGATCTTAATCAAAGTTCGGCCTTCTGTTGTGTGCCAACCAAGAAAGCCAGGCGTAAGCCTCGCCCCGCAAAAAGGGTCGGGCTGATAGGCTGCCGAAGTATCGAGCCGGTAGCCCATCGCTCGCAGGCTCAGTTCAGCCAACAACAGACCGAACAAACACCCTAGCAAGACAAGCCCAGCTCGGAAGAGAACTGCCCGTCGGGTACTCACACGGAGCTTTCTTCACGAATAAGATTCGATGCCACACGAGATAAAGCGCGGTAAGCCTCTGCCCGAATCCAAATAGCAGGTTAACGCATCGAATCGCGCAGCAGAAGAAGAACTTGCGAAGCAAGTGAAAAACTTCTACGCAGAGTGCGTCTCGTTCCACCGCTCGAGCACTTGAGCTGGAGTGGCCGTGCCGGTGGTGCCGAGTTGCTGGACGGTGATGGAAGCCACGAGATTACCAACCGCGGCAGCCTCCGTTGGCGTGGCTCCCGAGAGTAGCGAAGCCACGATGCCCGAGGTGGTACTGTCACCGGCACCCACAATGTCGATCGGCCCGGTGACAGGGTAAGCCGGAACGTGAATGGGCTCTGCCTCGGGGTCGACAATCAAGATCCCGTCGGCCCCCATAGTGCAGTACAACTGCTGGTCATTCTGGCGACTCAACTCGCCGGCCGCGTCGCGCCCTAGCTGCGGATCGTCACTTGGGTCACGTCCTACGCCCCGCAGGCATTCGTGCAAGTTAGGCTTCAATACGCCGCGTCGAAAGCGACCGATGTGCGAGCGACTGTCGACGAAAATCAACTTCTCAGGATGTGATTCGGAAAGTTCCGCCAGCCGGTCCCGCACCGCTGGAGTGACCACGCCCCAGCCCTCCTCGGGCACCTGGTCCAGCACGATCAGCCCGTCGGTGGTGGTGAATACTTCCTCAAGCCGGGCCAACACCTGCTGCTGCGACTCGACGGCCAACGGTTCCCGCGGCCTGAGGTCCAAGCGGTTGAGTTCTTGCCACACACCGGCGGCATCCTGCTTCATTGGCTTCGTGTAGGTGGGCGTCTGTCGAGCAGGGTCGCGCACAACGGCCTCGGTGCCGATTCCGCGGGCGTCCAGTTCTTTGAGCAGGTCGAATGCCTCGCCATCGTCGCCCACCACAGTGATGGGCACCATGGTCCCGACGCCGAGTGCTTTCAGGTTGTTCATCACCGTGCCGAGTGCCCCCGGCTGATTGCGAACTCGGGCCACCTGGTAGGCTTCGAGATCGGTTTCGACCGAGATCTCGTGCACCGAGGGGTCGATATCGAGGTAGCGATCTAAGAACAGGTCGCCGAGAAGCCCAATTTTCAACTGAGCGAAACGCCCCAGTATTTCCTTCAGGCGATCGTAGCCAATCACGTGGGGCTCTCCGCTTTCAGGGCCGCCAGCCTCAAGTGCGGAATGGTTTGGCGATGGTCACCCGCCACGTAGAAGCTTTCTCCGCCGTCGGCCACCGTGCGAACGAGGATCGTCTTCCAGGGCCGATAATAATACTGCGGGTTCGACTTGGGGGCCTGAGCATGGAAGTCGCCGTCGATGCGAATCAAATCGAAGGCGGCTGTGGTGAAGTTGCAAATCTTTCGGCCTTCCTGATGGGCCACATTGCGGGCCATGGCCAGCGCCTTCAGATAAACCTCGGGGCCCATCACCGCCGAGCCGAAGCAGAGGAACACACCGCCTTCCAGCTTCTCGACGGTATTGCAGACCGAAAGGAAATCGCGATACGAGGCCGTTCCAAACGCGGCCGGATCGAAGTTGGGGTGTTCGTGCAGAATGTCGTACCCCATCCCGATATGGACGGTGATCGGCACGCCCAAGCGATACCCGGCAGCCAAGACGCTGGTGTCTTTGTTCGGGAAGTCACCTTCGAGAATCTCGCGACCGATTGCCTCGCCAAGCCCCAGACCTTCGGCGGCACCGCGGGCCACTGCGTCGTTCATCTCGCCGGTCTCACGCCACAGACCGAACTCGCCGGAGCTGATGTAACGAGCCACACTCTCACAAGTCGCTCCAATGCGGGCTAACTCGTAGTCGTGGATCGGTCCCGCGCCATTCATCCCAATGTGGGTGATCAGCCCTCGCTCCATCATGTCGATTAATTGCCGTCCCACACCGGCCCGAATGACGTGGGCCCCCATCAGCATCAGCCGGGCAGCCCCTTTCTCGCGGGCGGCGACCAATCGACCACCGAGCGTGGCCAGGTCTTTCATCTCCGCCGACTCCAAAGCCGGTGGGTCGTGATCCAACGGCAGCAGACTATCGTGCTGGATGTCGTGGATCCGCTCGTTGAGCGGTTTGATCAGCAGGCGGCTGCGATCGAATTGAGGGTACATAGATCTCACGACCTTCTCAGAAAACAGAGCGAGACGCAGCGGACTCGTGCGAAGGCACTACAACCCAAGGACCTCGTACAGGCGATCGCGATGACGATAGTCTCCAACGATGATGTCGGCACCCGCGCGGATGAGCCGTTCGCGTTTCCACTGGTTCACACCAGTACGGGTCTCTTCCTCGCTTGCCACCCCGATGGCGACGCCGCCGGCCCGACGCATTTCTTCGATCTCTACAAATCCATCGCCAATGCCGATGAGCTGGTGACCTTCGAAACCGGCATCGCGAATGATCTGTTCGATGATCATTTTCTTCGAGAAGCTCTTGTAGTCGTCCAGCGCCCCGTAGATGTGTTCGCCGAAAAACTCGCTGAGCCCCAGCACTTCGACTTCGTCTCGCACGTAATGCACGTCGGTACCGGAAGCCAGATAAAGCTGCAACCCTTTATCGCGAAGCTCACTCAACAACTCGTGAGTGCCGGGAACGGTGAGATCCTCCCGCGTACGCTCTCCACTTCGCAAGCCTTCGATCCGCTTGATCACCTTCTCCCACAGCAGGTCGTGGTACTGCTGCTTGTATTCCAGCGGATCTTGCGGCTTGCCACCGCGAGCGAGGACTTCCTCGGCCAACTGGATCATCTGGTAGATGGTCTGCTTGCCGTTGAGTCGCATCACGTACTCTTCGACGTGCTGCTCTAACTCGGCCGGAGTCTCACCCGTGCCGGTGGACCGTAACACGTCGACCATCATCGGAATCATCACGGCTTGCCAATTCCGGCGAATCAACGAGAGCGTTCCATCGAAGTCGAACAGGGCGACGCGAAAGTCGCCACGCCGAAAGTCATCGCGAAGGACCTCAATGGGTGAATCGTTTTGAACCGAATCGGTATTGGTCATGGTGTTCCGGAACTCAAAGGAGAGCAGAGGAGGCGGGCGGTAAATGAACTTCTCATCACCGACAACTAAACATGGCCGCTCGGCGTGCCAATTATATCCTTAGCCGCCAAGCAGGTGCTCCATGATATAGAGATCGAGCCCCTCGTAGTCGCGCGACTTACGGAAGTCTTCAATCTTCGCTTCATCCACCGAGCGCGAGGCTTTCAGCAGCCGATTGAAAATCTGCAGGCTGTTGGCCAGGTGCTTCGTTTGATCGGCCTGCTTGGTGGTTCGCATCGCCTTGATGTCGAGCCCTACGACTCCAATGTCGTAGTAGCCGGCTTTGTCCAGCACGCGAACTTGATTGAAAGCCCGACGCAAATCGACCGACCCGAAGGTCTTGTCTTGATCGTACTTCAGCCCGTTCTGATCATTCAGGTGCACGCCCCAAAGCTTGCCATGCCACAGGGCGTAGGCCAGGTCGTCGGCAGGATCGAGCCCGGCGAGAATGCTATGGGCGCTTTCGATCAGCACTCCGACTCGGTCGGGGTCGCTGGTGCGATAGGCCATGCCCATGAAGTGTCCTACGGTCGGGGCATAAGCCTGATCCATCGGTTCGTTAGGCTTCATCTCGCCAACGATGCGAATCTTGGAATCGTGGGCCAGCATATCGTCAATTGCTTCGACCATACGCCCGACGGCAGCCTGGGCGTCTTTGGCTTCGCGAATGTAGGTGCCTTCGCGGGCGGGCCAAAGCACGATGAGATCGACGTCCAGCATGTTGGCAATATCGATCGATCGTCGAGCGCGATCGCGGGCATAGCGGCGGGCCTTGGCACTGTTGGCCGTGAAGGCCCCGTCGACCGTCTTGGGGTCTTCCCACAGGCGAGGAGCGATGAACTCCGGCTTGACGCCTTCGCTATCGAGCAGCTTCTTGACCTTGGCCACCCCACGCTTGGTCTGCGTCACGTCCCAATCGGCGGGCACCACGTCGTCATCGTGAAGCTGGATGTATTCAAAGCCCAGTTTGCGGTATTCGCCTACTTTACGAGCGAACTTCACTTCCTTGCGCACCGGAGGGCCAAAGGGGTCGGCCCCGGTCGAGATGTTCCAAGGTCCGAAACTAAACCGATATTGCCCTGATTTCGCCATGAAAGTTCCCTCGTGAAGGTGGCCAAAGGGGCAAGTTTAGTCGATCTTTGCCTGCGAACAAGGGTGAGCCAGCACGCTCCGGTCGGGCCCCGCAAAGTCTCGGCTATCGAGCAATTAACTGGGCTTGGCCTGGCCAGAAGTCGTTAATTGCCAAGGCTGATCTTGATACGGGTCGGCTCAGCGATCAGAATCCGCTGCCCCCGCTTCTGGCCATTGCCGTCCACGCGTTCTGCAAGCACGCTCAGAGGAGGGGGATTAACCACCATGCGCGCTGGCGAGCACATACAGTGCGCAAACAAACCTCATTGACTGAACCGCCTGCATGGATGCATTCGACTCAGCACAGAACACTACAGAGTTGGTAGCTCCTGAGCGGCTGGCTGCGCTGAAGAATGTGCGGTGGCACAAAGCCCCCGAAGCGGGTGAGTTGGACCTGGCCGCCACCCCGCCGCGGATGCTAGTCGTAAAGCATGGTCAGCATCGCACGGTCTATCGTGTCGACTTGTCGCAGGGCAACTTCTTTCTGAAGCATCAGCGCTGCCTCTCGGTGCGCGACGTGCTGCGGAACCTCATTCGCCCTAGTGGCTCGCGAAGGGAATATGTGAAGGCGGCCGAACTGACGCGCCGCGACATCCCCACCGTCCACGCGGTGGCTTGGGGCGAACGTCGCGAGTTCGGCTTGGTTCGAGAGCATTGCCTACTGACCGAAGCCGTCCCGCAATCTTGCAGTCTGGCAGATTATGCGGAGGATCGAAGCCGCTGGGTATCAAAACGGACCCAACCGGCCTTCGAACGGCAACTGTGTGTTCAACTCGCCGAGTTGTGCGCCAAGGCCCATAGGGCGGGGGTGTGGCACGACGATCTCCATCCCGGCAACATTCTACTGAGGCTTGAAACCCCTCCAAGCGTGGGCCGTCACCCGAAAACGACAAGCGTGACGCCGAGACTTTATTTGATTGACGTCCCCGGGGTGCGACTCTCGCGGACCATGTCCTGGCGGCAGAGTAGGGGCAGCCTGGTCATGTTGCTAGCAGCCGTCGACGCCTTGAGTTCCAGCACTCAGAGAATGCGGTTCTGGCGACATTACCTTGAGTCGCGCACCGAACTAGCTGCACTCGACGGGAAGCAGACCGCCCTCGATATCGTGCGACGCTCGCGGCGTTGGATGCGGAGTTTGGCCCGTCGACGCGACAAACGTTCGATGGCCACGAACCGCGATTACTACTGTCTGAAAGTCGCCGGAGGCCGTGGACACGCCGTTCGCGAATTCGACGCTGGTTTCTTGAAGCGGCTCGTCGAGTCACCCCACGCACTGATCGAGGTGAATATAGAGCTACCCCTAAAGATCAGCCACTCGAGCATCGTCGTAGAGGCCGACGTATCGCTCGCTGGACGACTGCGGCATGTGCTTTACAAAAGGGCAGGGGTGACCAACTTCGCGAAGTGGGTTACCAGCTTCTTCCGTCAAAGTCGGGCGGAGCAAAGTTGGCGCTTAGGGCAAGCGCTAAGAGTAAGAGGAATCGCCACTGCCAGACCTTTGGCGATCATCATTCCACGCTTTCGGTTCAGTCCCCGGGTAAGCTACCTGGTTACCGAGTGGATCGACGGGGCCCAAGACTTTCATCAGTTCGCGTGGTATTTGAACACGCTAGGCGGCGGCGAACGGTTCAATATCTGTCGCCAAGTTGCAGAGAACCTTGGGAAGCTCGTCGGGCGGATGCATGAAGCGTATGTCACCCACCGCGACTTGAAGGGCTGTAATATCCTCATCACCCGAGATGGGGACGCCGTGCAGTGCTACTTAATCGACATGCACGGAGTGCAGATCCGCCGGTTCCTCTCCGGTGGCCGGCGCGTGCAGAATTTGGCCCGACTGGCACTCAGCGCAGAGACCCATCCGTGGATTACGCTCACGATGCGGTTGCGGTTCCTCAAGACCTACTGTCGAGCAGTCGGGATGACCGACGAATGGAAGCCGCTGTGGCGTCAGATAGCTACCCGCACGCAATGGCTGATCGGCCGCAACCATCGACGCGGCAAGCCTATCGCTTGAGGTACTCGTGCAAGGAGTTGAGTGGCCTAGCCGGCAAGCTCGGCTTCATGCAGTTCGGCTGCTGACTCCGTGATGTCTTCCAGCCGTTCAATCGATTCGCCTGTATGGCGACGCACACAGTTCCGACCGTCGTTCTTGGCTTGATACAAAGCCTCATCCGCACGTGTCATCAGCCCCTCGGCATCGTCATCGTCATTAACGGTGGCGATACCCATGCTCACAGTCACGGGGGCGAGGTGCGAACAGTTCGCCGCGATTTTCTTTCGCAGCCGTTCCGCTGAGATCGCGGCACCGGCCAAATCGGTTTGCGGCATCACAATGACGAATTCCTCACCGCCAAAGCGGGCCACAATGTCCGATTCACGGGCTTCCCGGTCCAACTCTTCGGCCACCGACTTGATAATCCGGTCGCCCATCAAGTGGCCCTGCGTATCGTTGATCTTCTTGAACTGATCGATGTCGATAATGGCAATCGAGAAGTACTCAGAGTACCGATTCCTTCGGGCGAACTCGCCAGAGAGAGCTTCTTCGAGTGCCCGCCGGTTGCAGAGGCCGGTCAGCGGATCGGTGCGGGCTTCGGCGAACGTTCGTAGATGATTCGTCTGTAGCTGCAGGGCGTCGTAGGCACTTGAGATATGGGTCAGCAGCTCCATCGTCGGCTGCAGAATACGTTCGGCTTCCGAGCAGAGCTCGCTCGACGAGATACTCTCACTGTTGTTCGAGAGGCGACGGATGCGGTCTTTGAACCGCTTCACGTTCGATTCGTGACGTGCTAGTTGGCTGCGGACCGAGGTTGAGATCCGATCCAGTTGCTGAGCCACGGCCTGAGCTCTTGCGATCTCGCGTTGCGACTGTTGTTCTTGGATCGAGCCACGGCCCCGCCGACGACCCAGCATGTAGCCGAGAAGAGCGATACTGGCTAGGGCCACCACGTGCGGCAATCCGGTAATGCTGAAGTCCATCGACACCCTCGACCTGGGAAAACTCTCAAGTTGCTGACGATCTGCTCTGCGTTCAGGGCTAAACAACTATAGATTTTGTCAGGCCGGGATGGCGGTTGTTCGTAAAATCGCCCCTACAATTTCGACAGAATTAATCAGCTCCCCTCAAGATGGCGGTTAGAGTGCACGTCAATCGGCCTGTTGCGAGCCATAAGTTCGTTACATGCCCCACGCCTCTTACATGCGAATCAGTCAATAGAAGTGGGAGCGTACCGCACGGCTCTCTCGCGGTTTGCCTCGAATCAAGAGGCGAGAAGGCGGCAGCCAATCTCCTCTAGACTCAGGCCAAGTGTTCTCTTAATTCAGGCGTTGCTTGCTTAAGGAAGTAGCAGCAGGGGAGATCCGCCTCAGAGCTCTGCTTTGGTGACAGACCTACGACCTGTTTTTCAGAGGTTGAATCCACACAACCACTTAGCCTCCGGCAATGGCTTCAAAAGACCTGTTCGCAACATTGCTCACTAAGGAATGGCACCGTAGTTGCTCTTGCCCGAGTGGGGAGTTTCTGCGCACGGCATATTCGTCGTCCCTCGGCGGTCTTGGAGTCCGTAGGTTTTAAGCCGGCCCCATGAAAAAACGGAATGTACAACCACAGATGCGGAAGGAAGGGTCTATGGCAACAGTCTACGAGAAGTCGCTGAAACTTACGGTCGAAGAGATCAACGAGTTGGTTTCTCGCAGCGGGAAACCCGACGAAACGCTCGACAACATTGTCTGCCTGGTGGCAAATCGCTTCGAGACCGACGTCTGCTCGGTTTATCTACTCGAGCCCAATCGTTCGAATCTCGTATTAGCCGCCACCGTGGGACTGCAACGAAGTTGTGTCGGCCAATTGCGGATGGGTCTCAACGAGGGGCTAGCCGGGCTGGTTGCCCAGCAAGTGGTGCCCATTTCTGTCGAAGAAGCCTCGAAACATCCTCGCTTCAAGTACTTTCCGGACGCTGAGGAAGATGCCTTTCAATCGTTTCTTGGCGTGCCATTGACCGACTGCGGAGTGTTACAAGGGGTACTTGTCGTTCAGACCGACGAACCCCGCAAATTTACGGAAAAGGAAACCGAACGGCTCGTCGACGCGGCAAACGCGTTGGGCCCCTTGGTAAGCGAGGCCCGACGACTCGAACAGTTCATTGTGCCCGCGCACGAACGGATGTGGAACGTAGCTCGCAACATGTGGTGGGCTTGGGACCGCGACGGTGTTGCCCTGTTTCGCGACCTAGACCCGATTCGCTGGCGACAACTCGATCACAATCCGATGGCTCTGCTCTCGGAAATCTCGCTCGAACAACTGGAAGAACGGGCCGGCCAGTTGGTGCTGCACAGTCGCATCAACTATGCCTACAACCGTCTGCAAGAGTATCTGAAGTCTAAATCAACTTGGGCCTCAACCCATGCAGGGATCCTGCACGCGCGACCCGTGGCCTATTTCTCCGCCGAGTTTGGCCTGCACGAGTCGATTCCGATCTACTCAGGCGGTCTCGGAGTCTTGGCAGGCGATCATATCAAGAGCGCCTCCGACCTGGGAGTTCCGCTGGTCGGCATCGGGCTGTTCTACGATCAGGGCTACTTCCACCAGCGACTCGACAGCAACGGCTGGCAACAAGAAAGCTACGCAGATGTCGACGCCGGGCAGCTTCCCTTAGGTCTTGCCCTCGACGCTAACGGCGAGCCGGTCACCGTCGAAATCCAAACCCGGCGGGGTTCGATTCGCGCCAAGGTGTGGCGACTACAGGTGGGTCGCTGCACGCTACTGTTGCTCGATTCCAACGTGCCGGGTAATGCCCCGGAAGACAGAGAATTAACTGCTCGACTATACGGGGGCGACAGCCGCATTCGAATCCGCCAGGAATTGCTGCTAGGCGTTGGCGGAGTACGAGCACTAGCCGCATTGGGCATCACCCCGGGGGTTCTTCATCTGAATGAAGGACATAGTGCGTTTGCGACACTGGAAGCCATTCGTCAGCGGATGCAAGATGAGGGGCTCACGTTTGACGACGCCTCGCAACAGGTGGCCCGACAAACGGCCTTCACAACGCACACGCCGGTGCCAGCCGGTCACGATCGGTTTAGCGAAGACTTGATCGACGAACACCTCGGGCCGCTGCAAGAGTCGTTGGGTATCTCGCGCGATCATCTTATGGCGTTGGGTCGCGTGGACCCTGACAATGTGGAAGAAACCTTCTGCATGACGGTGTTAGCGCTCAAGCAGTCGTGGCGAGCCAATGCTGTTTCTTCGCTGCATGGAAGGGTGTCTCGCAACATGTGGTCTTGCCTGTGGCCCAAGCGGCAGGAAGACGAAGTCCCCATCGGTCATATCACCAACGGCGTCCACGTGCTTTCGTGGTTGGCCCCACAGATGCAGCAGCTTTACGATCGCCACCTCTCGCTCGACTGGAGCCGGAACAGCAGTCAGCCTGAGGTTTGGCAGCCCGTCGATAAGATCGACGACGGCGAACTTTGGGAAACGCATCTCACCCTGAAGGCCCGCATGGTCGACTTCGTTCGCCGTCGGGTGGAACAAGACGCCGCGCGACGGGGAGAAGAGAAGGAGACCAAAAAGCGGCTTCCGCATGTGCTGAGCACCGATGCCCTCACCATAGGATTTGCTCGCCGTTTCGCCACGTATAAGCGCGGCAACATGATCTTTTCCGATGTCGAGGCCATTTGCGAGCTGCTAAACGATCCGCAAAGGCCTGTGCAGTTGGTCTTTGCCGGCAAAGCCCATCCGAAAGACGACGAGGGCAAGCACGTCTTGCAACAGATCGCCAAGCTTTCCAAGGACAAGCGATTCCTTGGGAAAATCGTGTTCGTCGAAGACTACGACATCAATCTGGGCCGCCACCTGGTTCAGGGGGTCGACGTTTGGCTAAACAACCCGCGTCGTCCGCTGGAAGCTTCTGGCACGAGCGGACAGAAGGTCGTGCTCAATGGCGGCTTGAACCTCTCGATCCTGGATGGATGGTGGGCCGAAGCCTACGACGGAGCCAACGGATTCGCCATTGGCACCGGGCGTTCCCACACCGATATCCGCATTCAAGACGAAAGAGATGCCATTGCTCTGCGTGAAACGCTCCGCGACGAGGTCATCCCGTTGTATTACGACCGCGACAACTCGGGCTTACCACGGGCATGGATCAAACGCATGAAACACGCCATCCGCACACTGGGCTGGCGATTCAGCGCCGACCGCATGGTGATGGACTACGTGACCCACTGCTACGTGCCTGCCGCCGGCGGAAGGTCGAGTGACATGGGATGCTAGGCATCACTGCGTGCCATTTCGACGATCATGATTGCACATCCCGGGCGGGGACTGCCTACGCGGAGGTCGTAGTACTTTCGCGCAGCAAGCCATTCCCCAACTCGGGACGGATTCCACTGCCTACTTAAGTCATGGGTGAGGGTTCGTGGAAAACAACCATGCGTTGAATCCGCCTGCTGCATTCGACAAACCGAGACGAGTCTCCGGTCCGATACGCAAGATGATCGCCGGACTGAGCTTGTTCTTGGCCGTCTGCGTGATCGCTGTAATCGGTTATGTGTCGGCTGGGTGGAAGCTGGACGACTCCATTTACATGGTGATCATCACCATTTTTGGCGTGGGCTACGGCGAAGTGCAGCCCGTGCAGTCTCCCGCGCTTCGAGCGCTGACCATCATGGTGATCATCGCCGGTTACGGCGCGGTGATCTACACGGTGGGGGGCTTCATGCAGATGGTGATCGACGGCGAGCTCAACAAGGCACTCGGAGCACGAAGGATGACCAAGGAAATCGAACGGCTGCAAAACCACACCATCATCTGTGGAGTGGGCCGCATGGGAACCATTCTGGCCCGAGAGATGCACGCCGCAGGAAAGCCGTTCGTGGTGATCGATACCGACGAACGCCGATTACAGGCGGCCGAAAGCCAGGGTTACCTCGTGATCAATGGCGACGCTGCCGATGAATTCGTCCTAGAACAGGCAGGCATTCGCACCGCCGCTGTGCTGGCAACGGTACTTTCGGACGATGCCACCAACGTGTTCGTCACCATTACAGCCCGGGAAATGAAGCCCGACCTGATGATCATCGCGCGGGGGGAAAACCCCAAAACGGAAAAGAAACTGTTAGGCTGCGGGGCGAACAAGGTCGTACTCCCCACGGCAATTGGGGCAACCAAGGTAGCCCAGCTCATCATCCGTCCCACGGCCGAGAACATGCTGGAGCAACTTACGAGCCAAAGCAACATCGGCGACGAACTAGGTCACATCGGACTGCGATTCGATGAACTCAAGGTTGCCGCCGGCTCGCCATTAGTCGATAAAGCACTTAGCGATATTGAAGTCCGCAGCAATCACGGGTTCTTAATCGTTGGAATTCGCCATGAAGATGGCTCAACTGTCCTTAATCCGCCTGCTAGTACAAAGCTTGACACAGGCGATACCGTAATAGTATTGGGACATGCTGACGATATTCCGCAGCTCGCTCAACGCTTTTCTTCCAGTACCAGGAAAATCCGATACCGTGGGGGAACGGTCGAGGCCTAGTGTTCGAAAAACGCCCGTTATGAGGGATGTCGTACCAGAAATCCCCCCCACTAGGAGATGCTCAAACTTTAGGCACGACCTCCCTGATAGCAAGCATTCCGCGCAACCGAAGTGAAGACTTGAAGAAGGAGAAATCCGTGCTCGTCAGAGATTTTCGCCTCTAAGAATTCACAGCCACCGCGGCACGGAACTTGCACTATGTTTTTGCATTGGTGTGCGCGCTCGGTTAACAATACTCGCACGGTTGTGAGGCATTAGAGTCATGAGATTATCTCCCTACCCGTCGGCAGACGTATTCGACGAAATGTTCGCCCCCAATGGGCGTCCACGGCCCAGCGGGGCCCGTTTTGTTGAACGACTGCAATCGCTCTCCGACGGTTCTCTGCAGCAGCGTCAAAAAACCGCTGAGCTAAGTCTGCTGAACATGGGAATCACCTTCAATGTGTACGGCCACAAAGCCGGCACCGAGAAGGTCTGGCCGTTTGACCTCTTGCCTCGAATTATCGATGCCAACGAATGGTCGATGATCGACCGCGGACTCCGGCAGCGAATTCGCGCGCTGAATTTATTCATCGACGACGTCTACAACGACCGCAAGATTTTCAAAGACAAGGCGGTCCCGGAGGCCCTGGTGGCCTCGTCCAAAACACTCCGAAAGCAGTGCGAAGGCTTCCACCCGCCGCAGGGCGTCTGGGGGCACATCACCGGCGTCGATCTCATCCGCGACCACGATGGTCAGATCTACGTGCTCGAAGACAACCTTCGCTGCCCGTCGGGCGTATCGTACGTGTTGGAAAACCGCGAATTGATGAAGCGCACGTTCGCCCATGTATTCCAAGGCATGTCGGTTTCGCCGATCGAAGATTACGCCGAGCAGTTGCTCAAGACGTTGCTCGATTGTGCCCCATCCGGTGTGAGCAATCCGAACGCTGTGGTGCTCACCCCCGGGATCTACAACTCGGCCTATTTCGAACACACATTCCTCGCCCAACAGATGGGCGTCGAACTCGTTCAAGGCTCCGACTTGGTCGTCGAGAACGGCTATGTGTACATGAACACCCCCCGCGGCCTCAGTCGGGTGGATGTGATCTACCGCCGCATCGACGACGATTTCCTCGATCCCAAGTGCTTCCGCGAAGATTCAGCGCTGGGAGTCGAAGGCCTGATGGACGTTTACCGCGCAGGGCACGTTACTTTGGCCAATGCTCCGGGAACCGGGGTTGCCGACGACAAGGCAGTCTACGCCTATGTGCCCGATATCATCAAATACTACCTGGGCGAAGATCCCATCTTGCCGAATGTTCCGACTTACTTGTGCTCCGACGAGAAGCAACGCGAACATGTGCTAGCCAACCTCGACAAACTCGTGGTGAAGCCCACCAACGAGTCGGGTGGCTACGGCATTTTGATGGGCCCTCAGGCTACGCAAGAAGAACGAGACCGTTGTGCTGATGCCATTAATTCCAATCCGCGGGAGTGGATCGCTCAGCCCATGTTGAAGCTTTCGACCGTGCCCACACTCGTGGGCGACGAGTTGAAACCGCGTCACGTCGATCTACGTCCGTTCGTCCTGTGTGGCAAAGACATTTACGTGATGCCAGGCGGGCTCACGCGTGTCGCGTTGCGCGAAGGCTCGATGGTTGTCAATTCGTCGCAGGGCGGTGGGAGTAAGGACACCTGGGTGCTCCGCAATCCCGCCGAGACAATCAACGCGCCCCACTCCGCATTTGCTACTCAGGAGACCACCTGATGCTGAGCCGAGTTGCCGATTCGGTTTACTGGCTATGTCGATACGTAGAACGGGCAGAAAACGTCGCCAGATTCATCGATGTGAATTACAACCTGACTCTTGGCGAGACCGATGCATTGGGCGACCAATGGGCACCATTGGTTTACACTACCGGTGATCAGGCCAACTTCGAAGAACGCTACGGCGCCCCAACTCGCGAGAACGTGCTGAAGTTCCTCCTGTTCGACAAGGAGAACTCCAACTCCATCATCTCGTGCGTGGCCACGGCCCGGGAGAATGCCCGCACCATTCGCGAGGTGCTTTCCTCGGTGGTCTGGGAGCAACTCAACAAGTTCTATTTCATGGTTCGCTCGGCGGCCCAGTTCGGCCCCACGCTCGAGCAGCCTCAGGAATTTTGCGAACGCGTACGTCTGGCCAGCCATATGCTAGTCGGCGCAACCGATACAACCATGTCGCACGGAGAGGCCTGGCATTTTGCCCGCATTGGGCGGCTGATCGAACGGGCCGATAAGACCTCGCGGATCGTGGATGTGCAATACTTCATCCTGTTGCCCGACGCCCAGCATGTCGGTTCCGCGCTCGACGTGGTTCGCTGGTCGGCGCTCCTACAATCGGCAAGCGCCCTGGAAATGTACCGTAGACAATATGGCAAGATTGTTCCCGAGAGTGTGGCCGATTTCCTTATTCTCGACCGCAAGTTTCCCCGGGCCATGCACTTTTGCCTGATGAAGGCCCAGGAGTCGATGCGACTCATTACCGGAAGCCCAGTCGGGACATTTCAAAACTCCGCTGAACAACTGATGGGCCGGCTTTGCTCAAACATGGACTACACCAGCATCGCCGACATCATCCAACAAGGCCTGCACGAATACATTGACGGATTTCAGAAGCAGCTAAATCTTGTCGGTAAAGCCATCCAGGAAGACTTCTTCACAATCAACAAGTCGAAACAATCACAGTCGCAGCCCGGAATGACCCAATCTCAAACGAGCTAGCGCCTTCGACTGTGACCACCCACGATTGACCCATCACCATGATACGTGTCGCACTCCACCACAAATCCAGTTACCGCTACGCCAGCCCCGTTGAGTTGGGTCCCCAGGTAGTCCGTCTGCGACCGGCCCCACACTGCCGCACCAAGATTTGCAGCTACTCGTTGAAGGTGACGCCGGAAGAACACTTCATCAACTGGCAGCAAGATCCGCACAGCAACTACTTAGCTCGGCTCGTCTTCAACAAGCCGACACAACTGTTCGAAGTCGCGGTCGACTTGGTCGCCGAAATGACGGTGATCAACCCCTTCGATTTCTTCCTCGAACCGTCGGCCGACGAGTTTCCTTTCGAATACGAAGCCATCCTGGCCAAGGATCTCAAGCCGTTTCTACACCCGTTAGATGCAGGTCCCAAGCTTTCGGGGCTGCTCGATTCCATCGATCGCACGAAGCGGAAGTCCATCGACTTCCTGGTTGATCTTAATCAGCGGCTTCAGCAAGATATCAATTACGAAATTCGTATGGAACCGGGTGTGCAGACACCCGAGGAAACGCTCACCCGGGCGAGTGGATCTTGCCGGGATACCGCTTGGCTGCTAGTGCAAACCTTGCGGCACTTGGGACTGGCCGCACGATTTGTCTCCGGCTATCTCATTCAACTCAAGCCCGACGTCAAATCACTCGACGGCCCCTCGGGCACGAACGTTGACTTCACCGACCTGCATGCTTGGACCGAAGTCTTCCTGCCGGGAGCCGGCTGGGTAGGTCTCGACCCTACCTCTGGATTGTTGGCTGGCGAAGGCCACATTCCGCTGGCCTGCACGCCCGACCCGTTCACCGCCGCCCCCATCAGCGGAACCGTGGGAAAGAGCGACGTCGAATTCAAACACGAGATGGAAGTTACCCGCATCCACGAAGACCCACGGGTAACGAAGCCATACACCGAGGAACAGTGGCGTCGAATCGAGGCCGTCGGTCATCAAGTCGACTCTCGCCTCGAATTCGGTTCGGTCCGCCTCACGATGGGTGGCGAACCGACGTTCGTCTCCATCGACGACATGGACTCACCGGAATGGAACACCGCGGCTGTAGGTCCCACGAAGCGGGGACTGGCCGGTAACCTCCTCGATCGTCTCCGTCAGCGGTTCGCTCCAGGCGGAGTGATTCACTACGGTCAAGGCAAATGGTATCCCGGCGAGTCGTTGCCGCGATGGGCGCTAACCTGCATGTGGCGTACCGATGGGCAGACCGTTTGGACCGATCCCGAGTTGCTCGCCAATCCGGCCAAAGACTACGGCCACACCGTCGAACAGGCACAGCAGTTTTCCGATCTGCTTGCGAAGAAGCTGAACGTCAATCCCAACCACGTGGTGCAGGCCTACGAAGACGCCATGTACTACCTCTGGAAAGAGCGACGGCTGCCGGTGAACGAAGATGTCTTCAAGGCCGACCTGGAAGACGAAGAAGAACGAATCCGCCTGGCTCGCATGTTTGAACGCGGCCTGAAAGCCCCCACCGGCTGTGTCTTGCCGATCACCAAGCAGGCCTGGAACACCACTGGCTGGGCAAGCGGACTTTGGGCCGTACGTCCGGAACACATGTTCCTCATCCCTGGCGACTCCCCCATGGGTCTGCGGCTGCCGCTCGATTCGTTGCCGCCCCTGGAGGCCGGTCAACTGAGCACCGCTGAGGTGATCCCGTTCGCCGAGACAGAAGACTTACCCGACTACGAAGCGATGCAGAAGCAGTTCGCTATTCGTCGTGCCGAAACATGGGAAGAAAGTCACGCCCAGCACCAGGTTCTTCAACGGGTCGCACATGGACCCGGAGGGGCAGGGGGATCGGGTCACGGTTCCCACGGCGGCAACGGTCATCACCACGATGGCAACGGCAACGATACGCATCCATTGTCGGATGTAGATGCCAATCGGGCGCAACAATTGGGCGACGATCAATCCGGCTACTCCGACACCGGCGTGGTCCGCACGGCAATGTGCTTCGAAGCACGCGACGGCATTCTGCATATCTTCATGCCGCCGGTCGATCGTCTGGAAGACTACCTCGAGTTGCTAACCGCCTGCGAGCAGACGGCCGATGAACTCGACATGCCGATCATGATCGAAGGTTACCTGCCTCCCAAGGATTACCGTTTACAACACGTTAAGGTCACTCCCGACCCCGGTGTGATCGAAGTAAACGTGCACCCCGCTCAGAACTGGAAAGAACTTGTCGATATCACTTCCGGCGTTTACGAAGACGCCCGCAATTCGCGACTCGGCACCGAGAAGTTCGACACCGACGGCTCGCACACCGGCACGGGCGGCGGAAACCACGTAGTGATGGGTGGTCGCACTCCGGCCGATAGCCCATTCCTGCGGCGTCCCGATCTGCTCCGCAGCCTTATTGGCTACTGGCACAATCACCCGTCGCTGTCCTACCTGTTCTCCGGCAAGTTCATCGGGCCCACCAGCCAGGCACCACGGGTCGACGAAGGGCGAACCGACTCAATCTACGAACTACAAATTGCGTTCGAACAGATTCCGGATAAAGGCGAGTGCCCACCCTGGATCGTCGATCGGGTGTTCCGACACTTGCTGGTCGATCTAACCGGCAACACTCACCGGGCAGAATTCTGCATCGATAAGCTCTACTCGCCAGATAGTGGAACAGGGCGGTTGGGCCTGGTCGAATTTCGTGCCTTCGAAATGCCACCGCACTGGCAGATGAGCCTCACGCAGCAACTGCTGCTGAGATCGCTTGTCGCCCGCTTCTGGGACGATCCCTACAAAGAAAAGCTGGTGAACTGGAAGTCGTCGATTCACGACCGTTGGCTGCTGCCGCATTTTGTGCGAGAAGACTTCGAAGACGTTATTGAAGACACGATCGCCAGTGGTGTCCCGTTGGACATGAACTGGTTCGGGCCTCACTTCGAGTTCCGTTACCCAGTCATTGGCGAATACGACCAGCGAGGAATCCACGTCGAATTACGAACGGCAATCGAACCCTGGTATGTGCTGGGCGAGGAACCGGGCGGCGGACATACGGCCCGTTACGTCGATTCCTCCGTCGAACGGCTTCAAATCAAAGTGCAGGGCATGGTCGATGAACGACACATTGTCACCTGCAATGGACGAAAGATCCCTCTGCATCCCACGGGAACACAAGGCGAGTATGTGGCAGGCGTGCGATATCGCGCATGGCAGCCTCCTAGCTGCCTGCACCCAACGATCCCGGTCGACGAACCTCTGGTGTTCGACATTCTCGACACATGGATGGGTCGCTCGTTAGGGGGATGCAAGTATCATGTGGGGCACCCAGGCGGGCTGAACTCCGAAAGTTTCCCGGTCAATGCGTACGAGGCAGAAAGCCGACGCGCAGCACGGTTTTTCAAAATGGGCCACACCGGCGGTAAAATAGAAGTGCCGGATGATGAACCCAACGCCGTGTTCCCCATGACACTCGATCTTCGTCGACAGCGTGCCACGGTGTAAGCTTTTCTGGCATTCGCCAAAGAACGGATGTGCGTCTAAAGCACCTTGGAGTAACGAACGAGCCTGTGTCCACTTCTCCTCCACCGACGGAGAATATCTTCCAAGGGTATTCTCCGCTAACAGGGGTCTACGACGAGTTCTTGATGAACTCCGGCTCACCCCGCGCGCACTCAGAGGCGTTCGTCACATCGCTGAACGGAATCGGCCGCGACGAATTCGCCCGTCGCTGGGAGCAAGCTCAACGCCTGGTTCATGAAAACGGCTTTGCGTACAGCGGATACGTCACACCCAAGAATCAACCACGCCCCTGGGAGTTGGACGCCATCCCCCTGGTCGTTTCCTCGGCCGAGTGGAACACGGTTTCGGCAGGGCTGCAACAAAGAGCCCGTCTGCTAAACTTGGTGTTGAAGGATCTATACGGCGAACAAAAGCTTTTAAAGGACGGAACCCTACCGGCCGACCTCATCTACGCCCACCCTGGCTTCTTGCGTCCTTACCATGGCCAGAAGCCCCCAGGCGATAACTTCCTACACTTTTACGCTGCCGACCTGGCCCGAAGTGCCAACGGCGTTTGGTGGGTACTGGCCGACCGCACCGAAGCCCCCTCGGGCGTTGGCTATGCTCTGGAGAACCGGATCGTCGTATCGAGAATGCTGCCCGAGGCATTCCATCGCTGCCAAGTCCAGCGCCTGGCCCAGTTCTTCATCACCGTCCAAGAGACCCTTCGCGGGCTGGCCCCCAACCAACGCGAGAACCCTCGTGTTGTGTTGCTATCCGATGGTCCTTCGAGCCCCAACTATTTCGAAGACGCCTACCTGGCACGCTACCTCGGCTACACACTGGTCGAAGGGGGCGACCTGGCCGTGAGGGCAGGGCAGGTCATGCTCAAGACTCTGGGCGGGCTGCTGCCGGTCGATGTTGTCTTCCGCCGCCAAAACAGCAGTGATTGCGATCCTCTTGAGCTTGGATCCACCTCCGATCGCGGTATCGCCGGTATCACGCAAGCGGTGCGTTCGGGACGCGTGGCCATGGCCAACCCCTTCGGCAGTGGGCTGGTCGAGTCGGCCGCCTTCATGGCGTTCATGCCCCAACTCTGCAAGGCAATACTTGGGGAAGATCTTATCATGCCCGGCGTGGCCACCTGGTGGTGCGGGCAGCCGGCAGCCATGAACTACGTGCTAAAGAACCTGGAACGGCTGGTAATCCATCCGGCCTATCGCCGTCGTGGCAAAGATGGCCCCACCCGAGACAAGCTGGGTGCCATGCCCTTGGCCAAGTTGGCCGAATCCATTCGTGCGAATCCACGCGAGTACGTCGCCCAAGAGCGCGTCGTCCGCTCCTGCGTTCCCGTATGGCGAAAGAGGCTTCAACCGGCCCACATGGCGCTACGTGCTTATCTCGTCGCGTCTGGCGATTCTCACGTTGTGATGCCCGGGGCCCTGGCCCGCATTTCCTCTGAGCTTGAACCGCTTGAAGTATCGATTCGCAAGGGGGAAGGCAGCAAAGACGTTTGGGTTATCTCAGACGGTCCGGTCGATCACGTCACGCTGTTGGACAAGCCGGGGCAAGCGGTAGCTTTACGGCGTAGTGGAGCCGAACTTCCCAGTCGCGTGGCCGACAACATCTTCTGGCTCGGGCGCCAACTCGAACGGGCCGAAGCTTACGCTCGCTTGCTGCGTAGCACAGCCAGCCGGCTGACGGGAGAAACACGCTCCAGCAGTATCGTGGAAATTCCAGTGCTGCTCCGCTGCCTGGCCGATCAAGGTCAAATCGAACCGGGTTACGCTGTCGACGAGATGCGTGGGCAGATGGCCCCCATCGAGCGGGTGTTGCCGAGAGTTGTATTCGATGCAAGCCAGACTGCATGCTTGCGTTCAGTCGTTGATGAACTCTTCCGCCTCGGTTCCGTGCTCCGCGACCGCATCACGATCGATATGTGGCGCATTGTCCATCGCATTGATGAAGGCTTCCGACCAACTCGTCGAGGGTTGACCAATCTCTCCGATCTCTTGGAGAAGACCGACGGACTCATCACCGAATTAGCAGCGTTCATCGGCATCATCACCGAGAGCATGACGCGAACACAGGCCTACCACTTCCTCGAACTGGGCCGCCGCATCGAACGTTCACTACAAACGCTCATCCTGGTCAAGAACTGCTTCGTTCCGCTGCCGGAAGTACACGGCCCAGTGTTTGAAACGGTGCTCGAAGTGGCTGATAGCCTAATGACCTATCGCTCGCGGTACTTATCGAACCTCAAGCTTGCCCCCGTGCTCGACCTGGTGTTGACCGACGAAACGAACCCCCGCTCGCTGGCGTATCAATTCAACGAGATTGCCCAGCACGTTGAGCAGCTCCCCCGCGAGCAAACGCAGCCGGGCTACACCAAAGAACAGCGGATCGCCATGTCCCTGCTACATTCAGTTCGGATGGTTGAAATCCAGACAGTGGCAGATGTTCATAGCCTGGGCGACCACCAGCAGTTGGTTAAACTGGCCGAAGACTGGGAGGCTCAAATGCCGAAACTTTCTGAAGCCATTTCGCATCGCTATCTTGTTCACGCCGGCCCCGTGCATCAACTTGCCGAGATCACGCCTCAGTAACCAAAGCCGTGAAATACAAGATCACCCACACCACGAAATACTCGCATACCGAAGCAGTCCCGGTATGTCATAACGTGGTCCATTTCGCGCCTCGGAACTTGCCGCATCAAACCTGTGAGCAATTCCGGCTCGTGGTTCATCCCGAACCGTTCGAGGTCAACAACCGCAACGATTACTTTGGCAACCATGTTTCCTACTTCTCAATCGATCATGCCCACCGCGCGTTAACGGTTACAGCAACCAGTCAGGTTAACGTCTCGGACCATGATGAGCTTGCCGCGAATTCCACCACGCCCTGGGAAGAAGTGGCCACTCAACTGCTCACCGATCGAACGGAACCGTGGCTGGACGCCTACCAATACGTCTTCGCCACACCACGCACGAAGTTCTTCGCAGCCCTGGCTGAATATGCCCGCGTGTCGTTCACGCCGAAACGCCCGATCCTGGAAGCCGCCATGGATCTCACCTCTCGGATTCACAAAGATTTCAGCTACGACCCCCGCGCCACCACGGTACAAACCCCTATCCGGGAAGTGTTCCAGAACCGCAGAGGCGTGTGCCAGGATTTCGCTCAGCTGCAAATCGCCTGTGTGCGATCGCTTGGATTAGCGGCTCGCTACGTCAGCGGATATCTCCGCACGCATCCGCCCCCAGGAAAGCCACGGCTCGTTGGAGCCGATGCCTCACATGCGTGGCTCTCAGTCTATTGTGGCAAGGATGGCTGGATCGCTCTCGATCCGACGAACAACGTGCGCACCTCCAGCGACCACATCACTGTGGCCTGGGGCCGCGACTACAACGACGTTTGTCCCATCCAAGGTGTCATCGTCGGCGGCGGCGAACATCGCCTCAGCGTCTCGGTCGATGTCGCCCCTGAGGAACCGACAACGAATGGCGTTTGAGGGCGACTGCTTCTCGTCCCTACGGTGTCGTAATCTTCGCCAAGAACACTCGGTTCACCTCACCTTCTCGGGCTCCATTGGTTACGCGCCCCTCAGCCACGGTGACCCACGATTCGTTCTCGCTGATGCGGCACACTCCTGAGTTGCCCAGCGTTGCGTGATTCTCGGGCACGAGAATCTGCTCCGTAGAACGAATCACACACAGTCGCTCGGGATCGACCTGAGCGATGAACAACGGTGCCCGATGCCGCATAATGTGGTCGTTGTCGGCCCCTCGACGCGTGTAGACCAAGTAGAGCTTTCTACCCACGGTTACCCAATGTTGTTGCGTGTTGTAACTGCCGAGTTGCTTTCCATCGTCGAATAACCATGCCTGCTGTGGCGGGTAGTTGATCCCGTCGGTGCTCTTCGTCACATAGGCACCATCGTCGGCCCTCATGGTCAGGAAGAACTCGTTACCAAACTGCGTAACCGAAGGTTCGTACAGCCCCCGACCCGTCGGGATGGAATGCTCAGAACCATGTTCAACGTAGGAAAGCGTCTTCCCATCGAAATTGCAGCGAGCAACGATCGTCGTGTAGATGCGTTTCTTATCGCTCTGCTGATAGCGAATGGGCAGCAGAATCTGTCCGCTGCTTAAATCCACCCGTTGATGGCAGCCCGCGTTGGGGGCGATGATCGGTTTACCAGCGTGATCACGCTCGGGCATCACCACTGTTCGCAACGGTCCACATTCGATACCTTCCGGATCGATCACAGCGTACGACACCTTTTCACGCAAGTAATTCTCCTTCGTACCACCGGCGAAGTTGAACGTCTTCCCGGTGATCAAAATCATTTGTGAAGCCTCATGCCAACCGGGCCACAAGTCGCCGGCAACCACTTCATATCCATCTTCCTGTCGCGCACGTTTCAACGACGGAATCACCGTAGGTTCAGTCCATGTCTTTCCCTCGTCCCGGCTGATCGACTGATACACATCGTGATAGCCGTGCGCACCAACCTTTGCGGTTCGCGACATTGTGGTCAGGCAATAAGGCTCATCAGTCGGTACGAACGCCGTGCGAGCCTGGGTCCAGTCCCACATGGCATCGCCTTCGACAATCGTCGAAATCTCCACACTCAGCGGCGATTGGCCCCAAGAGGCTTCACTCTGCCCAAGCAGCACAAAGGTCATCGCAAGGCAAAAATGTGAAACGCTCCGAGTCTTGAGTATCATGGTCATGCAGTAGAACCTCACAGGCCGGCATTGGTGAACTGGAATTGCACTGTACCGCATCGAGTTTCCGCTTCAAGCAACGAGCGCTCACCGGGACGAAGAACGAACTTATGCTCAATCCGTCTTTCACGCTACGGATCGCCCTCACGTCGATCATCTGCCTGCTATCCACAGGCCCAGCCATAGCCCGACAGCCGAACATTGTTTTCATTCTGGCAGACGATCTGTCGTGGAGCGACCTCGGCTGCTACGGCAACACCATCCACGATACTCCGAATCTCGATCGACTGGCGAGCGAGGGAATTCGCTTCACGCAGGCCTATGCTCCGGCCCCCATCTGTTCCGCATCGAGGGCGGCCATCTTAACGGGAAAGTTCCCGGCCCGATTGAACTTCGAATTCGTCACCAAAGACAATCCTGGCCGACAGCGGTTGGATGTCCCGCTGCAATCTCCGCCTTTCACACTCAATCTTCCGCTTGAAGAGATCACCATGGGTGAAGCCCTGGCGGCGGCCGGCTACACCACGGGGTTCTTCGGGAAGTGGCATGTCAATCAACACTACCAAGGCTACCTGGGATGGTCGCCAACACACAGCCCTTTTCAGCAGGGGTTCGCCCAGGGCTCCAGCGACTTCGGCAGCCATCCCTACGCCTACCGAGAACATCGTGAACTGAAGAACCAAGTCGTCCCCGACGGCACCTTCGCCGAAGACCTGCTGATCAACAACGCGATCGAGTTTATCGAAGAACAACGAGACGAACCCTACTTTCTGTATCTCTCGCAATACTTCGTGCACGACCCGGTACACAGCCGCTGCCAATGGTTGATCGATAAATACCGCGATCGCTTGCCAGAAGACGCCGCCGAAGTGCGAGCCTCGTACGGAGCCATGGTCGAAACCCTCGATCACCTCGTGGGTCGCGTGCTCGATGCCATCGAACGCTCGGGCGAGGAAGACAACACGCTGGTGGTGTTCATGTCCGACAATGGCGGGCATCCCAATTACACCACCAACGCCCCGCTGCGCGGCAGCAAGTGGAATCTCTACGAAGGTGGAATCCGCGTCCCCATGATTGCCCGATGGCCCGAGGTCCTCTCACCAGGCGTTCGCGACGACATTGCCGTGCATGGCTGCGACCTGCTGCCGACCTTCTGCGAAGTCGCCGGAGCTGACACCCCATCATCCGACTGCGACGGCGTCAGCCTGCTCTCAGCGATGAAAGATCAGACCGCTAAATTAGAACGCCCCAACCCCATGGTCTGGCACTTTCCGTATTACCATCCCGATAAGCGTTTCAAGAAGTCACCAGCCGCAATCGGTGTGGGCGACTACTACACCAGCCAAACCCGACCCCATTCGGCCATGCTTACCGGCGAATGGAAACTGCTACATTTCTACGAAGACCACCGAGTTGAACTCTATAACTTGACCAGCGACCTCGCCGAACGAATCGATCTGGCTTCCCAGCATCCCGAACTTGCCGAACGGCAAAAAGAACAGTTGCAGCAACGACTCTTCGACATGAACGCTCGTTTACCACAGCCGAATTGAAGAAGATAGGCACGACACCCCAAACTCTGCTTGATTCACATCATCCACGGAGCTCTACGATGACGCTCGCATGCCGCATGCTTTTCGTCCTATCTCTTTCACTTTCCTTCAGTGTGAATGTCGCGGCGCACGCAGACGAGCCAAAGCTGGACAAGACCGACCTGTTCGCGGCAGGGCAGGGGGGCTACGAGACTTTCCGCGTGCCGGGCATCGTGGTCACCACCGAAGGAACCGTGCTGGCCTACTGTGAGGCACGGCGTAACAGCCGCTCGGATTGGGCCGACATCGAGGTGCTGCTCTGCCGCAGCACGAACGGCGGCAAGACCTGGTCACCCCCGCAGCGGATTGCCGACTCGGGCAAAGACACGGTGAACAACCCCGTGGCGATCGTCGATCGCGACACCGGGCGGATCCATTACCTCTACTGCATCAATTACGCCCGCTGCTATTACATGTACAGCGATGACGATGGCGTCACGTTCAACAAGCCGACCGAAATCACCACCGCCTGTGAAACCCTGAAAGAAGATTACGACTGGCACGTTCTGGCCACCGGCCCGGGGCATGGCATTCAACTGCGAAATGGTCGGCTGCTCGTTCCCGTTTGGCTTTCGACTGCCACCCGATTCCATCGCCCTTCGGCCGTCTCCGTCATCTACAGCGACGACCACGGAAAAACCTGGCACCCAGGTGAAATCGTCTGCGAGCATCCCGAGCCGCTCTTTAACCCCAGCGAAACTGTAGCAGTCGAGCTATCCGACGGACGGGTCTTGCTGAACATTCGCAGTGAGAACCGAGCTTACCGTCGGGCGATCTCCATCAGCAGCGATGGCGCCACCGGCTGGTCGCCGGTTCAGTTCGACGAGAATCTCTACGAACCGATCTGCATGGCCAGCCTTGTGCATCTTCCGCAACCGTTTGCGGACAACGATCAGACGTTCGTCTTTGCAAACCCTTACAGCGAGTCCAACCCCAACCTGCACGGCAAGCACAACTTTCGCTACCGCGAGAATGTCACCGTGCGTTTGAGCTATGACGATTGCAATTCATGGCCCGCATCGAACGTGCTGGAGCAGGGAACCAGCGGCTACACCGACCTGGCCGTCGGCCCCGATGGAACCATCTATTGCATCTACGAACGCGGCGGTGAAAAAGGCATGGCCTTCGAGTACCTCACCCTCGCCCGCTTCAATCGGGCATGGATCGAAGAGAAGAGCGAGGTCGCCGATTGATTCGCACCTGCTGCATCACACTTTGCTTCCTGCTTGGCTGGTCGAGCCAGACACTCGCCGACGAAGGTGACAATTCCAGCCACTCCGTACCAAGGGAACTTCAGCGTTGGCTACAACCACAAACTTGGACGCGTGACACCGATGGCCCGGTGCTTTCGCTTGGAGAAGCCGGCGAGTTCGACGACACCCACATTTTCGCCCCCTGCGTGGCCGAACTCGATGGCACGTATCACTTGTGGTACAGCGGTTCCACCGGAACGGTAGCCCAACGCGTCTTCGATCTGGGCCTGGCCACCAGCAACGATGGCCGCCAATTCAAGAAATTCGCCAGCAATCCGGTCTATCAATTTGGCGACGTAAAGCATTCCATCCTGACAGCTACCCTGCTGCGGAACCCCGACGGCTCGCTCCTTCGCGAAAACGACAATCTGCGCATGTGGTTCAGCTCGACTGACTTTTCAGACGGCACTGGCAAACACGCCCTCTACGAAACAAACAGCCCCGATGGAATTCACTGGAATCCACCTTCGGAGCCATTGCTGAAAGACGTTTATGCGCCGACGATCATCAAAGAAGGTGACGTGTATCGAATGTGGTACACCGACGTCTCGAGCGACCCCTGGGTCTTCCGCTCTGCGACCAGTCTCGACGGTCGGCAATGGAAAGTTCACCCCCGCGCGATCCTGAAACCAGAAGCGAACTGGGAAAAGTCACGGCTATTCTATCCCACCGTGCTGAAAGCCGACGGGGTCTACCTGCTGTGGTACGGCAGCTACTGGAGTGCCCGTCCCAACACAACGGCGATTGGCCTGGCGGCCAGCATCGGTGGGCTGAACTGGTTCCGGAACGCTCATAACCCTGTGCTCAAGCCCGATCCCGCACACCCTTGGGAGTCGCACTACACCACCAGCCAATCGGTCATTCGCAACCCGGACGGCTCGTTCCGAATTTGGTATGCCAGCCGCAAAAAGCCACCGTTCGTGAACAAGTACTTCGCTATTAACACAGCCACTTGGACTGGGCCTTCTGTTAGCGAGTAACGCTAACCCAAGCGGGTTATGCCTCACACGGCCTTTTGCATCCCCATCAGTACCTGCTGGCATTCCAAATGGTGAGGCTTAACCGCGAGCACAACACGACGCTTCTCCTTTCCACGATCGATTCGCTGCAGCGTCCTTTGGCACGGACCTTGCAATGTTCTCAGTTGAGGTAACCCTCTTGGTACAATCTCGAGTGGGAAAGTGAGGCCGAAAATGAACAAGCACCAGCTAGAGCTTCAGCCGTCACCCGAGCCGGCATCCGACTTCGTCGAGCGACAAAGGATGTTCCGAGAGATGTGGAACTTGCAGCATCCCGAAGCGGCGGCCGACTCGGAGAATCCGAAGAACACCCATCGCCCCGAAGCAACTGGTAACCAGGCTCCCCGGCCGCAACAGTAGCGATTCATGACGTCTGCTGTCAGACCGCGATATCCTTCGTCGGCTATCCGTAGTGATTGCCAACCGAGAGAGTTAATACGCAACTAACGCCGTTGCGCACAATTCAGGTTCGAAGGGCCGAAAATCGGCCAGGCTTTACAATCTGTCCGGCTGCTATCGCGAGCTTCCGGCAGGTCACCCGTGGGTCATAAAATTCCCGAATGGAAGCGGAGAGGACAGGATTCGAACCTGCGGACCGGCGTGAACCGGTCACCGATTTAGCAAACCGGCGCTTTCGACCACTCAGCCACCTCTCCCAAAGGTTGCAGCGTAACGACTTACGTAAAACCATGTCAACGGGTCCCCCGCCAAAATTCTATCCGGCAGGGCTGCAACTCCGTAAAACTCGGTCGTTTCAAACCGAAACTTGAGCCTGGGAAGTTCCCGCCTCTGCCCCATTCTTAGCGTAGAGTTTCCCGAGCGCGAGGCAGAACCGCTTCGCGTCCCGCCCCGGAAAAGCCTGCCTAAAGCGAATTGCCGGAACTTGCTGCTCACGATTTTGCGCACGCAACCGACCATGGCTCTAGAATGGACGAGGATCCTCCACCCGGCCCTGAGATAATGATGGCCGCTCTTCAAACATCCTAGATTTGCCTCATCCAGAAATCAGTGAAGGAGACCAAGCCCATGCATGCTTGGAATCGGCTCATCATCGCCAGTGTCGCTCTGTTCGCCGTCAGCTTGCTCTCGTCGGCTAACACTGCGATGGCCGACAGTGCCCATCTGGCAGCGGCACTCAACTCAATCACCACAACCGATATGCAGCGGCACGTCGATGCACTGTCCAACGACACCTTCGAAGGTCGTGAAGCCGGCAGCCGTGGTGGACGTGCCGCTGGCGTTTATCTGGGGCAAGAGTTTCGCCGCAATGCGTTGGCCGGAGGAGCCGCCGACGGGGGCTACTATCAACCGTTTGGCAATCAGTACCGCAACATCATCGGTATCCTCGAAGGCTCCGACCCTGAACTCAAGTCGGAGTACATCATCGTCACCGCCCACTACGACCACGTGGGATACGGAACTTATCAAAACAGCTACGGCCCCACCGGGTTCATCCATAACGGGGCCGACGACAACGCCAGCGGAACCGCAGGCATTTTGGAGGTTGTCGAAGCCTGTGCCCAACTCGAAGACCGCCCCCGCCGATCGATCATCTTCGCCCTGTGGGATGGCGAAGAGAAGGGCCTTCTCGGCTCGAAGCACTGGCTGGCCAACCCCACCGTGCCGCTCGACAAGGTGCGCATGATGATCAACATGGACATGATCGGCCGCCTCCGCAACGATCGGCTCGAGGTCAGCGGCACCCGCACCGGCGAAGGCCTGCGACAACTGGTCGGCATGCACAATGGCAACCCCGACCTGCTGCTCGATTTCACCTGGGAGATTGAAGACAACAGCGATCACTACCCATTCTTCGAACGTGGCATCCCGATCCTCATGCTGCACACGGGCCTGCACGATGAATACCATCGCCCCAGCGACGACGCCCACCTGATCAACAGCGAGGGCATGGAGCGAATCGGCCGGTTGCTGTTGGGCGTGATCGACGATGCTGCCAACCGCGACACTTTGCCGGGGTTCCGCAGGGAGTCGCGATACGAATCGCCCTCCGACTCGCGCGAGTATGAGCAATCTTTGCCGCCGCTGCCATCGCGGTTGGGGGTTCGCTGGAGCGATGACTCTGAGGCCGCAGGAGAAGGCCTACGCATCGTCTATGTCACCCCGGGTTCGCCCGCCGCACGGGCAGGCATCCAACCTGGCGATGTGTTCACCAAGTTCAACGATCAAGAACTCGCCACTGGCGACGACCTTCGACGTGCAGTTTTCCAGGCCCCCAAATCGTCGACTGTGGCTGTCGAGCGAGAGGGCCAAGAAGAACCCCTCGATCTCGCCCTGGAGTTAGACGGTCAACCGATGCGACTGGGCATTGCCTGGCGCACAAACGATGCTGAGCCGAGCACCGTGATGCTCACCCGGGTCGTACCGGGCTCGCCGGCCGCGGAGGCTGGTCTGCAAATTCGCGACCGGATCTACCGTGTGAACGGCCAATCGTTTGGCGATACGACCGAGTTCCTCGAGATGGCCACTCGCCCCGATGGCAAGATTGGCTTCTTGGTCGAACGAGACGGCAAGCTGCTCGATATCAACGTCGAATTGCTCCCGATCCCCGAACCGGCTACCGCTCAGTCAAACGGCTCGACCTCAACCTCGCAGCCGCTGGCCGCCGATCGATAAAGCCCGTCCAGCACGGCAATCGAGGTGGCCGACTGTTCGGCAGGGATGACCGCCGGAGCCTCACCACGCAATAGTGCTGCAAAGTGCTGGATCAGCGTGCGCTGAATGTGCCGTGGCTCATCGATACGTGGCACCTGGATATCCCAGGGGCGGGAGTCGCGTTCGCCAAAGATCCGGCACTCGGGCCAAACCGCCCCGGCCTGATCGCCGTACAGTTGCACTTGCCATCGTTCAGGCACGTTGTCGAACATCAGCCAGCTCGTCTCCAAGGCGAGCACAGCCGAGTTCTCGAAGCGAATCCACCCGGCGGCAAAGTCCTCTACGTCAATCGTCGCCGGATCCCATTCGCCCCATTCTGATGCCAAGTCGGTGCGGTGCACCAGCCGATCAGACATGGTCCCGCTCACTCGCACCGGTCGTGGGCAACCCATCATCCACCACGCCAGATCGAACATATGAACACCCAGATCGTAAGAGGGGCCACCGCCCGACAGGGCTCGCGTGGTGAAGCCCTTCCGCCCCGGCAAGCGTCGTCGCCGCAGCCATTGCGCCCGGGCGTAGTACACCTCACCCAACGGAACACTTTCCAGGGCCTTGCGTAGCGATACCACCGAAGGATCGACCCGCATGTGTAGGGCCGTCATGTAATGGCGCCCGGTTTCATTGCGTGCGGTCAGTACCCGCGCGGCATCTTCACGGCACGTCGCCATCGGCTTTTCGCACAACACGTGCTTGCCCGCCTGCATGGCGGCTATGGAAATCTCAGCATGCAAGGCACTCGGGGCGCAAATGTCGAACACATCGATATCGGAATCATCAAGCAGATCGCGGTAGTCGTTCACCAGGCGAACGCCGTCCGGAACCAGCTTCTTTGCCGAGGCGAGTGCCAGTTCGCTGGCGTCGGCCAGGGCCACGATTTCGGCATCGGGAATAGCTTGCCAGCCGGGGATATGCTCATCGGTGGAAATCGATCCGGTGCCGATCACCGCGACGCGAATACGGTCGAGCTTGGACACAATCTGACTTTCTTCTGAATACGAACTTCGGTGGGGAGTTTCAGGCGGGAAGACAATACAACTGCCGTGAGGGGTTACGGCAAGAGTCCCAAGCTACGCTGGTAGGCCTGTCGTTGGCGGTCGGAGCCGAGTTTGATCGTGATCTCGTTCCAGGCGGCAGCCACGCGGCGGAGTAGCACCTCGGGCGAATCCTTTCCCGCGAGGGCATCGACCACGGCCGCGCTCAATTCGGCAAGATAGCGGTCGCGTCCGGGAATTCGCAAGGCGGTCAACGCTTCACCCCCTGAATACATCTCAGCCACCAGTTCGCCGTACTCGGTCGCGCCCGCCGCCGAAACAGGCGGCTCGACCCAGGCGGCCATATCTTTCCTTTGCGAGTTGCGGTAAAGCGTTGTCGCCGGACTCTCCGCAAACACCGTGGCTCCCCATTCCCGCCCCGACAGAGACGCGATTAGTGCCAGTGCGGCCGATTCGTGATCGCTACCTGAACAGATCGAAGCTAGACGCCCCTCGATCGCCAACAACGGAATCGCCCCTGTGTCACCTTCTGGGCGCTCTTCCCATTCCTGCTGACCTGGGTTGAACACATCGCGGGAAGCCGGAAGCCGGCAGAAGCTGGCCTCTACTGGTCGTTGCTCTCCGTCTGCCGATGCGTAGCGAGGATCATTCGACAAATCGCTTTCCGCAGCACTCGGCCAACCAATCGCCAATGCGGATTGTCCTGACCAAAAGCGTCGACGAACTTCGTTCAAGTCGAATCGCTCCACCTCGCCAGCTTCCGTGCCAAACAACTCGACCAGCTCCTCCAGCGCACGCACAAAAGGCGGACCAGCGATGAGCGGGTCCATCGTGCTCATTTTGAATAGAGCGGAGTAATGATCGGAATGCTTGGCGTAGGTCGCCGCTCGGGCCAGCAACGTAAGCGCCGCCCAATCGCCGGCCAGCGGCTCGAGCGTCGCGTTCCAAGGCACATTCTCCGCCGGGGCAAGTTCGCCCAGTCGAGAACGATCCTTCATAAACTCGGCCAGCTCTGCATACTCGGCCCAGGTGGTCGGCGGCCGCCGGTCGAACTTCCGCAGAATATCGGCGCGGTAATAGCAAACGAAAGAGGGCGAACCGCAGGCCAGGGCCATGGTTTCCTCACCCCAGGTCGTGACCTGCGTGCGGAGCAATGGGAACACGTCCTGCGCCGCAACCTGCTCGTCTTCCAGCCATTCGGGCTTCAGCGGTTCCAAATAACCCGCCTTGGCCGCCGGACCAATTAAATAAGAAGGATAGATCGCCGCATCGGCCACCTTCCAATGCTTCGCCGCCAGTGCTTCTTCGCTGGGAGCCTCGATTACGCGATACGATGCCCCGGTCCGGGCGTTCCATTCGGCTGCCAGCTCCGAGCAAACCTTCGCCACGGCGGGATCATCGACCACCAGCAGTGTCAGCTCTTCGCCGGCGAACGACTTCGTCTTCGGCTGGGCCTCTTCATTCGAAGCACCATTGCACCCGGCCACGGTCAGAAGAAGTCCGGCGAAAACGGTGACCAGAACACCCCGCATACCCAAACTTCGGTAGAGCCAGACGGGGAAACCCGAGCTTGCCCGGGCAGATTTCATCGGGCGACTTGATGGCGGCAATGGCTTATTCGACAGTTCCAAAGTCGACGTCTCGGCAGGGTGTTGTGTGTTTGTGTAGCGACCATCGCATCGTAGACCTGCAGGCCCAGATTGGTCAAACGCCCAGCCGGTTGCGGCGCGCACTTCCAGCCGGGTACAATCCCGCCTTTGCCAATGGGTTTTCTTGCATCGTTTGAGCGAAGGCGGCTACATGAGCGTGTTTCTAGGCATCGACATCGGCACCTCGGGCACCAAAACCTTGGCCATCGACCCAGACGGAAAGATTCTGGCCGAGGCCACTGAGCTGTATCCCTCGCACCACCCCAAGCCTCTGTGGAGCGAGCAGGATCCCGACGACTGGTGGAAGGCCACGGTCAACACCGTACGGGCGGTGGTGAAGAAAGCCAAGCTGAAGCCATCCGACGTGAAGTCGATTGGGCTCTCGGGCCAGATGCACGGCTCGGTGTTTCTAGACCGCAACGACAAGGTCATTCGCCCTGCCATATTGTGGAACGATCAGCGGACCGCCGCCGAGTGCGACGAACTGGAACGACGCGCCGGAGGACGCAGCAAGCTGATCAAAATGGTGGCCAACCCGGCGCTCACGGGTTTCACCGCCCCCAAGATTCTCTGGCTCCGCAACAACGAGCCCCGCAATTTTGACCGCACGAAGAAGATCCTGCTCCCCAAAGACGATGTCCGCCGCCGCATGACGGGGCAGTACGCCACCGATGTGAGCGACGCCAGCGGGATGCTGCTGTTGGACGTGGCCAAACGCCAGTGGTCGAAACCGTTGCTTTCGAAGCTTGAACTCGACATCGAACTGTTTGGCGAGTGCTTCGAATCGGAAGACGTCACCGGGCAGCTCACCGGAGAGGCCGCCAAAGCCATGGGGCTGACGACCGATTGCCTGGTGGTGGGTGGAGCAGGGGACTGTGCGGCCGGCGCCTTGGGCAATGGGATTGTCACCCGCGGCACGCTTTCCACCTCCATTGGTACCTCGGGCATCATGTTCGTGCATAGCGACGACGTAAAGATCGACCCGGAAGGCCGGCTACACACGTTTTGCCATGCGGTTCGTGGCAAGTGGCACATGATGGGCGTGAGCCTGTCCGGCGGAGGGTGCCTGCAATGGTTCCGCAACCAACTGTGCAAAGCTGAAATCGCCCAGGCGAAGCGAACAAAAATAGATCCGTATGATGCGTTGGCCGAAGAGGCCGCCTTGATCGGTCCCGGCAGTGAAGGGCTCTTCTTCCTGCCGTACCTCTCCGGCGAACGCACCCCGCATGCCGACCCCGACGCTCGGGCCTGCTTTGTGGGGCTCACGCTCAAACACACGCGGGGGCACATGGTGCGGAGTGTGATGGAAGGCGTTACTTACGCCATGCGGGACAGCTTGACCATCATTCGCGAACTGGACGTGCCGGTCCGCGAGATTCGGGCCTCCGGCGGCGGATCACGAAGTCCGCTGTGGCGGCAGATTCAGGCCGATGTATTCGGTCAGAAGATCGTCTCGCTGAACGCTGAAGAAGGTCCCGCCTACGGAGTGGCATTGCTAGCCGCCGTGGGAGCAGGTGCTTACAAGGACGTCACGGAAGCTTGCGCGGCAACGATTGAGACGGTGAAAACTACGCCGGTCGATCGCAAGGCGAAGAAATACTACGACCGCGGCTTCCCCATCTATCAGCAGTTGTACCGCTCGCTGAAAGACGATTTCAAAAGCATTGCAGCCTTGGAAGGCTAAGTCCCGGAGCCTAATCGGCATCCAGTACGGCTTCGCGTTCGACGATGAGCCGATGCGCGGAGGCCGCATCTTCGCAGGCTCGCAGTTCGGCCAGGAATTCGCCGTCGTTGATCACCCGACTCAGGCGAGCCAGCGTGCGGAGATGGCCGCGATCGTCGGTCGAGCAGATGAGGAAGAAAATATCGGTCAGCATCCCGCGGCTTCCGCCGAAGGGCACACCACCCGGTGTTATCCCCAATGCGACGAATGCGTGCCCCAAAATCGAAGCCATCGGGCGGCGCGGATGCAACAGGGCCACACCGCACTCCAGTGCCGTGGGGTGCAACTCTTCACGACTGCGAATTGCTTCAGCCATCTTCGGTGGGTCCCACAGCCACCCGGTCTGGGCAGCCGTATCGACCATCGCAGTGATGACCGAACTCTTCGTCTTGGCAATCAGCGGAATCGAGTAGGCCTCGATCGGCATCATCTCGGCCAAGGTTTCGAGATGGAGCGATTCGATCTCGTCGCCTTCGCGATCGAGCACCCCTTCCATCTCTTCCAACTCAGCATCGTCAGAAACTCCGATACGATCTTCGAGCCAGTGATGGATATCGGCGCCCGAGAAGCGCAACTCTCCGCCCACCCTGCGCGCGGGCAGCTTGCCACGGCTGGCCAACTTGGCAATCTTCGCTGGGTCGATCCGCATGTAAGCGGCCAACGATTCGACTGTGAAATCTTTTTCTGCCATGGAATGCTAACGCCCGAGCCCACCATTGCGGCTTCGATCCAAACATTGGCTCGAACGCCAGTTAAGTCTATTGTCGCATGCCAAAGTCGGCTGTCTAGCGATATTCGCCCAGTGCTGGCACAAGGCCAAAACCACGTGTTTTTCTAGCATTTCGGTCGCTAAACCCGGCTTGACACTCGTGCCGAAATGGCGACAATCCGGCCCGCCTTAACCAAGCACACAGCGGTCGACTGTCCCCGTGGCAGTCACCCAATCGGTATCTGATGTCGATTGGCCGACGCCGTCTCATCACTGCCTGGTGGGCCGCCTACGGTTTGCGGCAGGAAGCCCGCAACTGCTGGCACCAGTTTCGATGGAATCATCTTGTCTCGCACAGGCATGGAGGCCTTGCGGAATGCAGTCGCGCCCTTCGTCTACTCCTGGCCAAAGTCTACGGAATTTGCTGCCCGAGGCTCGTTTCTTCGGCGCTAGCGATATCCGTGTCGCAAGCTGCTGTAGCGATTCGCGACATTGCCGCCCCGGCGACCTGTTCGTGGCCCTACCTGGCACCACCGACGACGGGCATCGATACGTGAGCGAAGCCATCGCCCGCGGAGCGACCGCTCTTCTGGTCGAACGAGCCGTGGCCGAGTGCAAGCTACCCACCTGCGTAGTCTCCAACGTCAACGCGGCTTACGGAAAGCTCTGCCAGGCTCTGGCCGATAACCCCGCCCAGCATCTGCGGATGATCGGGCTCACCGGAACCAACGGAAAAACAACCACCAGCCTGCTGGTCGCTAGCATCTTGAACGCCGCCGGCATGTCGGCCGGGTTGATTGGCACCCTAGGGAATTTCGATGGAGCTGAGTTCGGCCCGGCCAAACTCACCACGCCCACGGCCCCCGAGTTGGCCCAATGGCTGGCCCGCATGCGAGCCAACGGTTGCACGCACGCCGTGGTCGAAGTTTCCAGCCATGCCATCAGCCAGTCGCGGGTAGCTGGGATTGAGTTCGACGTGATGGGCTTTTCCAACGTTCGCCACGATCACCTCGACTATCACGGAACCCTAGCCGAATATCAGCGCACGAAGCGAAAGGCCATGAACTTCGTTTCGCCCGAGGGTGTGACCGTCCTCAACGCCGACGATGACGTCTGCCGCGAGTTCCTCCTCGATTGCGAAGGGCCAGCCCTCAGCTATGGCATCGACACGCCCTGCGAAATCGCCGCCACGCCAGTCGAGCAATTCATCAGCGAACAAACCTTCTTGCTTTCGGCCGGGGACGAAACCGTCCCCGTACGCACACACCTGATTGGTCGCCACAACATCTACAACTGCCTGCTGGCCGCTGCCACCGGGATGACTTACGGCATCGACCTGGAAACCATCGCCTACGGCATCGAAAAGCTGGACAAAGTGCCCGGTCGCCTGGAACGCATCGAATGCGGCCAGCCGTTTTCGGTCTTCGTCGATTACGCCCACACGGCCGAAGCCCTGGCGGTCACGCTGGAAACACTTCGCCCCTTAGTTTCCGGGCGACTCATCTGCGTGTTCGGAGCCGGCGGTAACCGCGATCAACAAAAACGCCCCAAGATGGGTCGCACTGTGGAAAGCCGAGCGGATCTTGCTTACCTGACCAGCGACAATCCCCGACACGAAGACCCCGAACTCATCGCCGACGGAATTCTGGCCGGCTGTGCCAATCCCTCGGGTGTTCGTGTGGTGCTCGATCGGGCCGAAGCCATCGCCCGCGCTTTAGATGGAGCCCAACTGGGTGACTGTGTGCTCATCGCCGGCAAAGGGCACGAAGACTATCAGATGGTTGGCGACAAGAAGCTATACTTCGACGATCGGGCCTTCGCTCGCGAGTGGCTGTACGAACAACACTCCGGATCGGAATTCTCACGGGCCGCTTAAATCTACAAATCACAAACCAACAACGAACGCAAACTCGAACCGATGAACTGGTTGACACTCGACAAACTGATCTCCGCGACAAGCGGCCACCTGCGTGGCGACGCTGGAGTTTCGTCGAATCAACCGCTGCGTGTCGTAACCCACACCGAAGACATTCGCAAGGGCGATGTGTTTTGGGCCCTCGCTGGTCAGAACCACAACGGAGCCGACTTCGCGGCCGAAGCCTATCGACACGGAGCCGCCGGGGTGGTGGCAGTCGCTGGTAAGGTCGAGCCCCCGCAGGGCCGCTGGGTTGTCGATGTCGAAGATTCACTCAAGGCCCTACATCAAGTGGCCACCGCGCGAAGAAACGATTTCCCCGGCCAGGTCATCGCCGTGACCGGAAGCGTGGGCAAAACAACCACCCGTGAAATGATTCACGCCGTGTTGTCAGAAAAACTGCACGGCTCGTCGAGCCCACGGAATTTCAACAACCACGTCGGCCTGCCACTGAGCCTTCTACAAGTTCCGAGCAACTGCGATTACGCAGTTTTGGAACTGGGGGCCAGCGCCCGTGGCGAAATTGCGCACCTTGCCACGATCTGCCGTCCGCAAACGGCAGTCATCACTTCGGCCGGCGACGCCCATCTGGGTAGCTTTGGCTCACGGGAAGCAGTCATCCAAACGAAGTTGGAACTGTTCCGAGCATTGGACCAAAGCGGTTGGGCCATCATGGGTGGCGATCAACTGCTTCGCACCAGAGCCGCGGCGGTGTTTAAAGGACGAAGTACCTGCGTCGGGCGATATGCCGATAGCGACCTCTGCCCGGTAAACGTGACGCACGAAGATGGACGGCTGAGTTTCGACCTAGATGGGACGCCTTTCGAGGTGCACGTCTGGGGTCGGCATCACCTGTCGAACGCCCTCGTGGCGGTGGCCATCGGCCGAGAGTTCGGCCTGAGCGATGTGGAGATCGCCCGGGGATTGCGTCGTTTCCGACCGCTGCCCGGCCGGTGTTACGTTCGTCAGATCGGTGACATCAAAATCATCGACGATTCCTACAACGCCAGCCCTCAGGCAATGCAAGCTGCGCTCGACCTGCTTGGTCAACTCACCACGCACTCACGCCGCTTGGCTGTGTTGGGCGACATGTGCGAGTTGGGCGACGCTTCGAATCAATTGCACCGTACCGCGGGAAGCGACGTAGTGATCCGCGGTGGAGCCGACTTCTTGCTGACCTGTGGGCAACACAGCCGCGATTACATCGAAGGCGCCGTCGCCGCGGGGATGCCCGAGGATTCTTACATTGCCGAAATCGACGCTCAGGCAGCCGCTCAGCGCCTGGCCCAAGCCGTTCGTCCCGGCGACGTGATCTTGGTCAAAGGATCGAGAGCCGTCGGGATGGAACGCATCGTCGAGGCGCTTAGCAAACGAACAAGCAACCCCGGCACACCAGCGATTCCGCCGGGCACTCAAACCAACACAACGCTGTCTTGGGAGACGCCAAACACAACGTAAGCGAACATTGAAAGTTCCGTCGTCCGTGTCGATCTGTGCGGGAATTCGACACGACCCGCCCTCCTGGGTTGGAGCACAAGCTTGCTGAAACTTGCGGTATCTGGGTCGACCGCTTCGGCAAACGCTTCGCGATGGAGCTTAAGACTGAGCACCGGGGTGGCATGCCGCTGCCCCGGTCGCTCAGGGAACACGAGCGCGGAAGGGTGATGCGTCGTATCACCCCTCCGCGCTTTTTCATGACGGTACCAGGCTCATGCTTCTCTGGCTTTTCGAACATTTCGCCGCACAACAATCGCCGCCCGCTTTTCTGCAGGTCACGTATCGCGCTGCAGGCGCTGCCGCGGTTGGATTCTTCCTCACCGTTCTGCTTGGCCCCAAGTGGATTGTGTGGTTGAAGCACCGTTTCCGTGAGCCTCTCAACACTCGTTCGCCCGAACTCGCAAAGTTACATCAAGCCAAAGAGTGGACACCCACAATGGGCGGGCTGTTCATCGTGGGCGGACTTCTGCTTGGTTCACTAATCTGGGCCGATCTACGAAACCCCTACGTCGTTGTGACACTATCCACGGTGCTTGGGCTAGCTGTAGTCGGCGCCGTTGACGACCTGACGAAACTTGCAGGAGGCGGTAGGGGCCTGACGGTGCGAACGAAGCTTATCTGGCAATCATCTATCGCGCTGGTTGCCGGCATGCTGCTCTACAAGATCCACCTCGCAGTTCCGAATGCATTAATGCTGAGCTTGCCCATGGTTGGCGAGGTTGGCAATCTTGGTCTGTGGTACATCCCGCTGGCGGTGGTATTCATTGTGGGCTTCGCTAACGCAGTGAACCTCACCGATGGCCTCGATGGGCTAGCCGCCGGATGCACGTTGTTATCCCTGTCGACGATGGCTGTGGTTGCCTACCTAGGCAGTAGCCTGATCGAAGTAAGCGGCGGATCCAATATTCAAGCCACTAGCGAACTACTCGTTGTCGCAGCCGCTGCCTGCGGCGGTGTGCTGGGCTTTCTGTGGTTCAACTGCTATCCGGCCCATGTATTTATGGGCGATACGGGCTCCCAACCACTGGGTGGACTGTTGGCCACACTGGCGTTGGCCATGCGACAAGAATGGCTCCTGCTTCTGGTGGGTGGGGTCTTCGTAGTCGAAGCCGGCAGCGTTGTCTTGCAGGTTGGATCATTTCGACTTCGTAAGAAACGCGTACTACGTTGTGCGCCGTTGCATCATCACTTCCAATTCGGTGGTTGGTCTGAAACGCAAATCGTTGTGCGATTTTGGATTGCCGCCGGGATCTGTTCCGCGTTAGGGCTCGGGGCGTTGGGTTATCACGATCACGAAGACTTTGCAGCCACGCAAAACACTACGCCCGGTCAAACAATTAATTCACAAGAAATGGCCCTCGCTAGCGAAGCAATGACTACAGCGAAGCATTCGTCAACAAGCGAACCTAATCCCCCCGTAGGGCCTCTTTACTAGCACTGGCGAGAGTCGCGAAGTTTTCGCTTTGTCCCCGCAGACAACAATCGACGCAATGTAATAGTGTCGGACCTTCCCCCAACTCCCAGCATGCGAAGATCGTGACGATCATGCAGACCTTACTCGATCAATCTCACTACAGTTCCAACAGCTCGACCGACGAACCACACTTTGTCTTCAGCGGTGGTACTACCGGTGGGCACCTGTTTCCAGGACTCGCCGTAGTCGAACAACTGCGTCGCCGCTGGCCTCGTGCGCGCTATACGTTCGCTGGCGCAGGCAAACCACTCGACCTGCAGTGGGTCGCCGCGGCGAACTGCGAATATCTGCCAGTGCAATGCCAGCCGGTTTCGAAAGCCCCGCTGAAAGCGCTGCGGTTCCTTTCGAATCAATGGGCCGGCTATCGCGACTCGCTGCGGTTCTTGCGAGAAAATCGTGTTTCCGTCGTTGTTGGCCTCGGCGGATACTCCAGTGCGCCGATGGCTCGGGCTGCAGTTACCGAACAGCTTCCACTTGTGTTGCTCGAACAGAATGCTATGCCTGGCAGAGTCACGCGTTGGCTCTCCGACTCGGCCCAGCTCATTTGCGCAGCCTTCAACGAAGTGCGACCTCACCTGAAGGCCAGCGATGCGCTCCGCGTGACAGGCAATCCTGTGCGGCAGCGATTCCTCGACGAATACCAAACACGCACGCTTCGTGAGCCGAATGAGCGCCCACGGGTGTTAGTGCTCGGTGGAAGTCAGGGCGCCACACCGATCAATCACTTCGTCCCCCGCGCTCTCTACAAGGCCGGAGCGCAGCGGCAGAAGTGGCAAATCATCCACCAGGCAGGTGAAGGTGCCGAACAGACGAAGGCACTCTATCGCAAGCTGGGGCTCGAAGCGACCGTCGCACCGTTTATTAACTCGATCCCGCGAGTGATGGTGAACTCCGACTTTGTCATCTCGCGAGCCGGCGGCACGACGTTGTCCGAGTTGGCCGTGACAGGTACCCCAGCCATCCTCATCCCCTTCCCACATGCCCGCGATAACCATCAGTGGTTCAATGCCGAGGTTTATCGCATCGCAGGGGCGGCCCGCGTGGTTGAAGAACACACCGACGCTCAACGGCTCGACAACACACTGGCCGCAGAGTTGGCCGATATGGCAAAGCTTGTTCAACGGCAACGCACCATGACCGAGGCCATGTACCACCTGGCTCGCCCGTTGGCAGCCGAACAGGTCGCCGCATTGATCAGCGAGATCGTCCACGCCCCCCGAGCCCGCCTCGCCGGTTAGTCTACGAACAATCGCTGCATCAGGTGTCTCAACTGCAGCTTCATTCCGCCGAGCCGCGACAGCAATCTCTCATCGCTGGTAGTTACCTTGTTCAAGAGACCAAACCATCCACAGTGCGATAGCACTGCTAGAACAATCAGCGGTGACACTGGTTGATTGGGAAACTCTCTGAGGCCACCCCCGCACATTCGTGCGAGTCTACATTGACTGCTTGGGCGTCGATCCATACGCTGTCGCTGCGATTCGTCAGCTCCCGCCTCCAAAATCCAGCCCCCTTGGATCACACCATGCTTCCGAGTCCCGCAGTAGCGACTGCGATCGACCTTCGTTGGGATCGCCCTCGACGCGTGCACCTCGTCGGCATCGGCGGTGCCGGGATGCGATCGTTAGCCAAGGTGCTTCTGGAATTCGGTTGGGAGGTGAGCGGCTCCGACGTCCACCTCGAGGGGCTTGATGGCCTCACGCGACGCGGCGTTTCCATCTACCGCGGTCACCATGCTCTGGTGATGACCAACGATATCGAGGTCGTCATCTACAGCGACGCGATCGGTCCGGCGAATGTAGAACGTCAAAGGGCAGTGGAAAACAATGCCGTCGTGCTTAGCTACGCCGAATTCCTAGGGCACATGAGTCGCATCAGCCACACGGTGGCCATCGCCGGTACGCACGGCAAAAGCACCACCACGGCAATGACCGCAGACATCTTTCGGGCGGCAGGTCACGACCCCACGACGGTGCTCGGGGCCACCCGTCCTAGTGGGCAGCCCGGCGGCAGAGCAGGGAATCCTTCCCGGCTGCTCGTCGAAGCCTGTGAGTATCAACGTAATTTCCTTCACCTGAACCCCGACGTGGCCGTTCTGCTGGGCTTCGAGTGGGATCATGTCGACTGTTACCCCTCACCTCACGACGTCGAAACAGCGTTCTCCCATTTTGTCCGCAATGTCTCCCCCGACGGCCTGGTAATTGCCACCGAGGCCTGCCCCTGCGCTCAGGCAGCCCGCAGAAATGGTGCGGTCCGGACGGTGACCTTCGGGCTGAATGACTCCGCCGACTGGAGAGCCACCCAGCGTGGCGTGGAGCAGGGCCGGTATCGGTTCGATATCCATCACGGAGATCGTCATCTCACCGAGATCTCGCTGCAAGTGGCAGGCCAGCACAATCTGATGAACGCCCTGGCCGCCGCGACGGTTGCCGCCGAATGCGGTGTTCCGGCCACAGCGATTCGCGACGGGCTGTCCACGTTCCGCGGTCTTCGTCGGCGGTTGGAGTTGGTCGGCAACCACGCAGGTGTTACGCTCATCGATGACTACGGCCACCACCCAAGAGAAGTGGAGGTCACCCTGGCGGCGGTTCGCGCGATGTACCCTAATCGGAGATTGTGGTGTATCTTTCAACCCCATCAGGGCGATCGCACGGCGGCCTTGCTGGAGAGTTTCGCGCGAAGCCTGCAGAACACCGACCGGCTGTGCATCGCCGATGTGTTTCAAGCCAGACCGGGCGGCCGTGCCTTAGAGGCCACAGCCCCTGAGTTGGCCACGCGTTGTCGTGCCCTGGGAGCCCAAGTGGCCCAGGCTCACGACACCACAGACATTGCTAACCTGCTTACCGACGCATTGCACCCAGGCGACCTACTGCTGACAATCGGAGCGGGCAACATACGGAACGTAATACATGAGTGGACTGACCGGGTTCGACGACATTGTGCGACAGGGTGAGCCGCTGGCGCCCTACACGTGGTTCAAAATTGGCGGACCGGCTGCGTACTTAGCCGAGCCTCGCTCGATTGAGGAACTCGGGAAACTCGTGCGCCAGTGCCGCGAGCAGGAATTGCCCGTGCGTTTGATCGGCGGGGGCTCCAACCTCCTGGTACGCGACGAAGGAGTTCCTGGCGTGGTCGTGCGTCTCTCCTCGGAGGCCTTCGCCCAAGTGAAGACCGAGGGAGAAACCATCACCTCAGGCGGTGGCACGAAGCTCGGCCATTTGATCTCCATCGCCGTTCGCGAAGGCCTCGCCGGGCTCGAGTCCTTGGTTGGCATCCCTGGCACCGTTGGCGGAGCCCTGCACGGAAACGCCGGCGGGCGCGGCGGAGACATCGGTCAATGGACCAGCCAGGCCAGCGTGATGACGCGGGATGGCGAAATTCACGAACGTCGCCGTGAAGACCTGGTGTTCTCCTATCGCGAAAGCAGTCTCGACGAGTTGGTCATCATCGAAGCCAAGTTTCAGCTCGAGCCGACCGACTCGGCCGATCTGACCAAGCGGATGCAGAAGCAGTGGATTCTGAAGAAGGCATCCCAGCCGCTGGGCCATCAAAGCGCCGGCTGCATCTTCAAGAATCCGCGCGGCATGAGCGCCGGAATGCTCATCGATCAGGCCGGGCTCAAAGGCACGACCGTCGGTGGGGCCGTCGTCAGTGAGCGGCATGCCAACTTCATCGTTACCGAGCCGGGGACCAGTAGCCAGGATGTGCTGAAGCTGATCGACCTGGTGAAGAGCCGTGTCGCGGAACGACTCGGGGTGGAACTCGAAACCGAAATTGAAGTTTGGTAAAGCCCTACACAATCGGCCGCAAGATGGGGTACGCGCTTAAGAGCGAACAACAGAACTGACAGACGAAGCCGTCAAGGAGGATGGCGATGTTTGAAACACAAACTCTCACACCCCGGCACATCGTGGTTCTCGCCGGCGGTGACTCCAGCGAGCGAGACATCAGCCTCGTCAGTGGTGGCTGTGTCATCGAAGCCCTTCGCTCCCGTGGACACGAGTGCCGCATGGTTGACCCCTCACGGACTCCGCTGAAAGAGGTCGATTGGACTCAGGTCGATGCCTGCTTCATCGCCTTGCACGGCGGGGCAGGGGAAGACGGATCGATCCAGGAAGAACTCCGCAGTCTGAACGTGCATTACACCGGCAGCGGCCCCACGGCATCGCGTTTGGCCATGAGCAAATCGGCCAGCAAAGAACGCTTCACCCAGGTCGGTGTGCCAACACTGCCGTACGTGCTGTTTCACGACAGCGAAACCATGAACGATGTGGCGGGCCGTATTGGCAGCCTCGGATATCCGATAGTGATCAAGCCCGACGGGCAGGGCTCCAGTTTAGGCGTCGCCGTGGCCGACCACCCCGGGAGACTGCAACACGCCCTGGTGGAAGCCAATCGCTACGAATCGTTTCTCATCGCCGAACCGCGTGTGCGAGGGCGAGAATTCACCGTCGCCGTCTTAGACCGCCGCCCCTTGCCGGCGATCGAGATCGTTCCCAACGGCGACATGTTCGACTTCCACGCCAAGTACCAAAGCGAAGCGACAAAGCTGCGGCCCGAGAACGAGCTGCCCGACGAGTTGTGCTGCCGGCTGGCCGAAGCCGCGCACGATGCGACCGACGCTCTGGGCACCAAGGGACTGGTTCGCGTCGACATCATCGTCGATGACTTCGACTGCCTGTGGGTTCTCGAAGTGAACACCGTGCCGGGGCTCACACGTCACAGCCTAGCTCCCGTGGCCGCCAAACAAGCGGGCATGGAATTCGCGTCACTGTGCGAATGGATGGTGGCCAGTGCCATCGGCGAAGAGGTGCGACAATGAGTAAGAAGAGCGATGCGGAGTCGTCTTCACCAGGGATGCTGGCCAAACTCAGCGTTCCTTTCTCGTCGCGCTGGCGAGGCTTCACGCTGTTCGTGATCATCGTCGTCGGCTGCGTTGCCGGAGGGTTCGCCGTCTGGCCGCAGATTGAAGAACGTGTCTTGCACAACGAAGATCTGTGGCTGCAGGCCGAAGCGATCGAGGTTAACCCGCAGCCATCGTGGATTCGGGTCGACGTTCGTGGCGAAGTACTCCGTGATGCAAGCCTCGACGGGGCGATTTCGATCCTCAACCCCGCGCTAGCCCAACGCGTGGCCGAAGCATTTGCCTTACACCCTTGGGTCGAAGAAGTCGTGAAGGTGCAAAAGCATCATCCGGCCGGGGTCACCGTCGAACTCAAGTATCGACAGCCGGCCTGCATGGTTCGCGTCTCTGGTCGTTTGTTCCCGGCAGGCCCCGGTGGCGAGCGAATCGCCGACGGGCTCTATCCGGTCGACGCGAAGGGAATCTTCCTCCCGCCCGACGATTTCTCCCCCATCGAAGCGGCCCGCTATCCTCGGCTGGTCGGTGCGAACTCAATCCCGGTTGGCCCTCCTGGCACGCGATGGGGAGACTCCACCGTACACGACGGCGCCCGGATTGCGGCGGTGCTGGTCAAAGGCTGGCGAAAATTCGACCTCGAACGAATCGAACCGGTCCCCACCACTCAACGCAGCCAGGAATACCTCACCTTCGACCTGGTTACCAAGGAAGGCACTCGAGTGCACTGGGGTTTCGCCCCTCGCCCCGGACCAGCAGGCGAAACGGTCACCCGTGAGAAGTTAACCCAACTCGCTCGCTACGCCGATGAGCACGGCTCGCTGAACGTGCCTGATCCACCGCACGAGATCAACTTGCAACCGTGGGATGCAAAACTCGAAGAAGAGCCGATCACGGCCGATCGCCGCGCTCAGTAAACTGCCCGAACTAGAACAGTTCTTCGATAGCGTGCACCCCGTAGTCGACCAACGGGAAGGGTCGAGACTGCGGACCAGGCAAGGTACTCTCCAGATTGAGCCCTAAGCTGTGGAAGATGGTGGCCACCACCTCGGCCGGTTCCACGGGTCGCTCGACCGGCACACCACCGATCGCATCGCTACGACCAATCACGCGGCCGCCCTGTACGCCGCCCCCGGCGAAGTGTGAGGTCCAGCACTGAGGCCAGTGATCGCGACCGCCCGCCGGATTAATCCGCGGGGTTCGGCCGAACTCCTGCAGGTTGCAAACCAGTGTGTTGTCCAACAACCCTTCGGACTCAAGATCATCGAGCAAGGCACCCAAAGCCGTGTCGTAAGTCGGGGCGACTTGCGTCTTCATGCCCGCGATCGAAGTGAATGGCTTCGAGCCATGAATATCCCACGTGATTTCATCGAACACGGTAAGGAAAGTGTTCACCGTCACGAATCGCACACCTGCCTTCAGCAACCGCACAGAGAGCAAGCAGCACTGACCAAAGCGTGTTAATTTGCCTTCGGCATCCACCCCGTAACGCTCACGCTCGGCACGGGGTACCTTCGACAAATCGAATGCTTCTCGGGCCTGCTGGCTGGTCATCAGCCGGTAAGCTTCTTGGAAGTTATTATCCAGCAGTCGGGCATCGTCGGTCGCCTCGAACTTATCGAGGCTGCCATCGACAATCTCACGCAACCGCTGACGACGCCCCAGTCGGGCCTCGATCTTGGGCGAAGGCAACAAGTCGGGCACTTGGAAGTTCGGCTGCGACGGATCGGCCATCAACGCGAACGGGTCGTAAGACTTCCCCAGGAACCCGGCATCTTGTCCGTGCGGTAAGTTCCCTCCGGTGCGGCCCATCGGCTCGGGCAACAGCACATGCGGAGGTAAATCGCTTCCAGGGCGTCGCCCTCGCAAGTAGGCCAAAGCACATCCGGCATGCGGCGTGTTGATGCCTCCAGTAAAGAGTCGCCCAGTCTGCAGCATCTGATGCCCAGTATCATGCACGGCGGCCGCCGTGTGATAGCAACTGCGAACGTAGGAGATCTTGTCGGAGTGCCGAGCCATGTTGGGGAACAGCTCGGAAATGTGCAGGTCGGGCACATCGGTTTGAATTGGCTTGAATGGACCGCGAACTTCTGAAGGGGCCTCGGGCTTCATATCCCACGTGTCTAGCTGACTGGGAGCCCCCAGGTTGAAGATCATGATCACGTTGCGTTCGTCGTGACCGGGGGCAACGGCTTCTTGAGCTTGCGCGGCCGTTAGCTGTTCGAGCGATAGCCCCACCGCACCCAAGGCACCTACATGCATGAAGTCGCGTCGCGACATGCCGTCACAAGTTCGCGCGGTCCCCTTGGCCGAAAGCTCGAGCATCTGGATACCTCCCCATGCGCTTCACGCGGATTAAGCCGAACATCAACTGGATGGTAGCACGGCCCAAACGTAAGAGCAAGCTATCACGGCGTTTGTGCCGTTTAGACCGCTGCAGGTCGTACATGGATTGGCGGAATGTGAAATTGACGCTCCTTCCGGCTTCTGATACTTCGCTGCTATCGACAGTGGTGCAACCCGAGGAGTTCAAACGGCATAGGATCCGTGAACCATGGGCATTGGGTTCCACAGTGCAGAGAAACTCACACCCGGGGCCGTGTCCTTGAGGAACGGGCTCCCGACTCGCCTCACAAACATCTTCGTCTGGGGCGTCTGGGCCGCGATGGTGGTGGCCGCCGTCGGTTACGTGATGGCCTTCGGGCTGATCATGCCATTCGCCGATGAATGGGCGTGGATTGGTGTCTCAACCGGGCATGTCGCTCCCAGCTTCGATTGGTTCTGGTCGTCGCACAATGGGCATCGCTTGCTCATCCCACGGTTGATCTACATCACCACGGGCACCCTCACCAACTATCGCTTCGACATCATGGCGCTGGCCAACGTCGGGACCCTCGCCACAGCCTCTGCGGTTCTTATGTTGGCGGCTCGTCGCGTGCGGGGCAGAAGCGATGCAACCGACATCATCTTCCCCGCGGCCTTGCTGCATTGGGGGCATGAGATCAACCTCACCTGGTGCTTCCAGATGAACTACGTCACCTCGACGCTTCTCGCTGTCGCGGCACTGGCGATCGTTGTGCAGTGCCGAAACAGTGTTCGTGCACTGGAGGCCGGCGCGCTCTCGATCATCCTTTGCTGCATGTCGCTGTGCGGATTGTTCGGGCTGGTCATGGTCCCGCCGCTCGCCATCTGGATGCTGATGGCCACCGTGTTGAGTTGGAAAGTCGGTAAGATCACCACGGCGTCCGCCGTCTATCAAGCTGTGTGTGCAACGTTGCCGTTGTCACTTGCCGCCTTATGTTTGATCGATCTTCCACCGCAGACTAGTGGTCTGAGCAGCCCAGGCTTGCTTGCGACCTTGGACACGGCGTTGAAATTCCTTACGACCAGCGTCGGTCCGTTGGGCAGGGCCCTCAGACCCGTGGGGCCCTGGATCGTGCTGCTCGTCGTTACGGCAACCCTCCTTCGCTTGGCATTCTCCTGGCACCGCTACCCACAAGAGCGACTGCGAATCGCCGGGCTCGTCTGTTTCCTCTTCTCCGTAGGGCTTCTCGCAGGATCCATCGGCTGGGGGCGAGCCGGGATTGGCCCCAACGCCGGTTATGCAAATCGCTACGGCATCCTCGCCGTACCACTGGTGTGTGGGGTGTTCTTCTCTTGGACTTTGTATGGAGTGACGAATCTCCGGCGGCAAGCCTTAATTGGGTGCCTGATCTTGGCGCTCGCACTTGTCGTGGTCAACGACCGCAAGGGGTATCGCGACGGCGTGAAACGCGATCGCTGGATGACTCATTTGCAACAACAAGCAGAGCAGGGGGCGAGTAAAGAACAACTCGCTCACACGTTCCACAACAAAGCCCACATCGGCGAGACTGCGTTCGTCGGAGCACTTGAGGCGCTTCGCGTGAGCGGACGAGGGCCGTACGCAGTACGACGATGAGACACTAGCCGGCGAAGATTAGGCATCCGGTGGAGTCTGCTGGATGAGCTTGCTCACCGTTTTGAACTCCGGAATATCCGAGCGCTCGCACCATTCAAAGATAGCCGCTTCGGTGGTGGTCAGCGTTGCCCCGGCCGAATCCATTCTTCGCAGCGCCGTTTGATAGTCCACGTCGTACCGCGCACCAATCGCATCGACGGCCAAATAGACCCTCATGCCGGCGGTCAGTAAGTCAAACACCGTTTGTTGCACGCAGACGTGGGCTTCGATCCCCACAACCAGCACGCGGTAGATTTCTTTCTGTTGGAACTCGCTCCACAGGGTGTGGCAGCTTCCACAACTGAACGTGACTTTGTCGTAGATATGCTCAATGCGCTCAGCAAGTTCCGGCACCGTGGGCCCCAGGCCTTTGGGATATTGCTCGGTCGCCGCCACCGGTACGCCTAACGTTTCTGCCCCTTCGATCAACCGGCCAATGTTCCAGATGATGCGTTGGTGCCCTGGGACCAGGTGAATCAACTTCCCCTGGACATCGACGACCAACAACGCCGTATCGCCACGCGACATCAATTCGTGACTACGCGGCATCGACAGGTTTTCCTTTGCGTTTTCGTTCATGGTCGTAAGCATACTCGAATCGCCAGATTTCAACCATGTGGGGGAATCACACGCGGTTGAGTAGCATATGGACCGCAATTAGCTGGTCGCTGAATCCAGCCCCAGGGCTTATGATGGAATGAGCCCCTTCTGTGCAGTTGTGCATCTCGCGAACCGCTCCAGTGACCGAACATGGCGCCCGAGCCTGACAGTTCGAATTCAGACGACGGCCTCGACCGTACGCTGGCGACTCACCCCGGCGACGAACTGCCCTCGCGCCGTGAGCGTCGCAACATCGAACTGATTCACGGTTCCAGACCGCGCATCTCTGGCGAAATCCAAGCCGTACTACTCACCAGACTTCGTGGGGCAACATTGCTGCTGATGGGAGCCTTCGGGCTGTTCATCATTCGGGCCCTGATCAAGACGGCCGACGACGATCCCGTGTGGGGCGAAAGCCAGCTAATTGAAACCACCCGCATCGTCGGTTTTTTTTTACTGGCCGGGTGCAGTGTCGTGTTGTGGACCTCCAAGTCGCTTTCTTTGAAGGCCCTGAGATGGATCGAAGTGATTGTCTTCGGGCTGACTTTCGTGATCGCCTTCATGGTCCAGCAAATGCTCCTCAAGCAGGTGGCCCAAAGCGAAAGTGTCCCCCACGTGCAAATGGCCGTGGTGAGTAACCTGCTCATCTGGTTCGCCATCGTCGTGATTTACGGCACCTTCATCCCCAACACCTGGCAACGAGCCGCGATCGTGGCAGGGTTCTTCTGTGTGGTGCCAATCATCAGCCTTGTGGTTGCCCGCTGGCAATACGCCAGTCTTCAAGAGCTGCTAATCGCCGATTACTTCACGGCCACGCTGGCGATGATGGTCGTTGGGTTCTGCACGGCCGTCTATGGTTCACACACCATTGGCCGCTTGCGGCGAGAGGTGTTCCGCGCCAGAAGACTTGGCCAGTACCGCCTCACGCGACACCTTGGTTCCGGTGGTATGGGGGAAGTGTATTTGGCCGAACACCAGATGCTGAAGCGGCCGTGCGCGATCAAGACGATTCACACCAATCGCGACCGGGACCCCAAGACGCTGGCCCGCTTCGAACGCGAAGTAAGGGCCACCGCACAACTCACGCATTGGAACACGGTCGAGATTTTCGACTACGGTCAAGCAGAAGACGGCAGCCTGTACTACGTGATGGAGTACCTGCCAGGGCTTAGCCTGCAAGAAATCATTCATCGTCAAGGCCCCATGCAGCCGGCCCGGGCGGTCCACCTTATGCGGCAAGTCTGCGGAGCGCTTGGCGAAGCACACAGCATGGGCTTGATTCACCGCGACTTGAAACCGAGCAATGTGCTGTGCACCCACCGGGGTGGCACCTATGACATCGCCAAGCTGCTTGATTTCGGACTTGTAACCTCAATCACCGAAGAGGTGCGACGGGCCGACGCCAGTGAGACAGCCAACCCCATGGCCGCCGGGTCGCCCCACTACATGGCGCCCGAAGTCTGCGCTGGGGCAACACCGAGCGTTCAGTCCGACATTTATGGTTTGTCAGCACTCCTCTACTTCATGCTCGCCGGCCGACCACCTTTCACCGGCGATGATCCGGCCGAACTGATACGAGCACACCTGGAATGTGAGCCACTTCCTGTGTCGCAGCTTCAATCGGAGGTGCCCGCAGATCTGGAGGCGATCGTCATGCGTGGCCTTTCAAAGAACCCCACGGATCGGTTCGCCAACGTCTCCGATTTCGAAGATGCACTCGCCAAGTGCGACTGCGCCAATCGATGGACGAAAGCCCAAGCCGCCGAGTGGTGGGTCGCCCGCGACTCCGAGGAGCCTGAGGCCGCCCCCACCCGCTGGCATTCGAACACGTCGATTACCTGACGGCGAGGCTTAGTCGAGCTTCTTCGCTCGCAAACGCAAGCTGTTCGCCACCACCGAGACACTACTCGCGGCCATTGCCGCGGCGGCGGCCACCGGAGGAAGGCGGAATCCCACGCCCGGAACGGCAACAAACACCCCAGCCGCAACCGGCACCAGAACCATGTTGTAGATGAAGGCCCACACCAGGTTCTGGCGGATGGTGCGAAGTGTAGCCCGGGAGAGCACGATGGCCTTGGCCGCCGCACGAAGATCGTCGGCCACCAGCACAATGTCGGCCGCCTCAATCGCCACGTCCGCGCCTGCTCCGATCGCCACCCCGACGTCGGCTTCCGCCAATGCCGGGGCATCATTGATCCCGTCGCCGACCATTGCCACCGTTTTGCCTTCGGAGCGAAGCTGGCTCACGATCTTGGCTTTGTCCGCGGGGAGCACCTCGGCTTCGACCCGATCGACCCCGACTTTGGCCGCGATCGACTCGGCCGTCGTGCGATGATCGCCCGTGACGATCATCACTTCGAGCCCTAGGTCCTTCAGCCGCTGAATGGCCTCCCGACTGTGCGGTGCCACTTCATCGGCCACCACAATCATGCCCAAGAGCTGCCCATCATGGGCCACCAGCAAGGGGCTTTGCCCTTGATCGCGCCGCTGGGAGATTTCGTCCTGCAGCGACTCAACTGAGATGCCCGCCTCACCCATTAGCGACTCATTACCAACCAAAACCGTCGTATCGCCCGTCTGAGCTCGCACGCCGGCTCCGGCCACCACCTGGAGGTCGCTGGCTTCGATCTCGGCGACCTGCTTCTCCTCTGCCGCATCGACAATGCACTGGGCCAACGGATGCCGGCTTAGGCGTTCGGCCGCGGCAGCGACACTCAGCAGTTCGTCTTCGGTATGTCCTTCCACGGCACGAATGGCCACCACCGAAGGTCGCCCCATGGTCACTGTGCCCGTTTTGTCGAGCACCATGGTGTGGACACTTCCGGCGGCCTCCAACGCGTGGGCTTCTTTGATCAAAATGCCCGCCTCCGCTCCGCGACCGCTTCCTACCAACACGGCCGTCGGTGTGGCTAACCCAAGGGCACAGGGGCAAGCCACCACCAGCACGGCAATCATGGCCGAGAGTCCGCTGCTCCAGTCACTAGCAAATAATCCCCAAGCCACGAGCGTTGCGGCGGCGATCCCTAAGATCACGGGCACAAAATACGTCACCACACGATCGGCTAACCGTTGCACATCGGCCTTCGACTCCTGCGCTCGCCGTACGAGGTCGATCACCTCGTCCAATGAAGTTCTGCCCGCGGGTCGGTTCACCACCGCACGCAGTGCCCCACCGCCATTGATCGACCCAGCCAACAGTTGATCGCCGGGCTCTTTGTCGACGGGTAGCGACTCACCGCTGAGCCACGATTCGTCGAGCTGCGATTGTCCGCTCTGCACCTCGGCATCCAGCGGCACCCGATCTCCCGGCTTGATCACCAAAATCTGGCCCACCTCAACATCATCCACTGGCGTCTGAACCTCGCGACCGTCAACCAACACGGTGGCTTCCTTGGGCGACAAGTCGAGCAGTTTGCGGATCGCCGAAGACGCGCGGCCCTTGGCCCGAAGTTCCAATGTCTTGCCAAACGTGATGAACACCAGAATCATTCCGGCGTCCATGAAGTACATCGTGCTTTCGCCCGCGATCACACTAGCCACGCCGGAAAGGTAAGCCGCACCGGTACCCAGCGCGACGAGCGTATCCATGTTGGTCGATGCGTGACGTGCCCGTTGCAGGGCTCCCACGTAGTACGGCCAGCCCACGTACCCTTGCATCACGGTGGCCACCGCCAGCGAAAGCCAGGGGCTCCAGGCCGCAGCATGAAGTAGAAAGTGAACGGCGATGATGACCACAAGCAGCCCAGCCCCCACAATCAGCCGCCGCTGCCACCGGGCCGCTTCTCTGGCATTCCGCTCCGTGAGTTCCTCGCCGCTCCCCTCGCTGCGAGCAACCTGGGCTTCGTAACCGGCTGAGCGTACAGCCGCAATAAGCTTCTCCGAGTCGACCGCTTCACCACTGAAATAAACGTTGGCCTGCTCGGTGGCCAGATTCACTTGAGCTGCTTGAACGCCTTCGACGGAGTTCAGGGCACCCTCGACGCGACCCACGCAACTCGCGCAGTGCATCCCGTCGACATTCAACAGAATCCGCTCCGCCGCTTCGTCGGGCTTGGTCGGTGGTGAATAGCTCCCGCTCAACTCATGGGTCTCAGGCACAGGACACGCCACCGGCTCGGCAGACACTTGGGTGGCAAACCCTGCGGTCGTCACTGCCGAGGCCATATCTTCAGCCGGGGTTTGTTGCGGATCGTAATCCACCACGGCGGTGCCCGACTCCAAGTTGACCTTCGCTCGCTCGATCCCAGGCAATCCCTCCAGCGTGCTGGTGACCGTGTTCACACAGTTTCCGCACCGCATTCCTTCAATCTGCAGCGTTGTCTGTGCCACGGTCTAAAACTCCTTCAAGTTTGGACGTGTCTTATGTCCCGATATCGATCTCAGTCGTCTACCAGTGATCGCTCTAGCAAGCGATGGGCAATTATACGTTGTAGGGGAACCCCGATTACCGCATTCGACTGTCTCGGCTTGCAAAAGCGTGCTTGTTGGCTGCCGGTCTGGAACGCATATCCCGAGCCTGTCACAATGCTTAGTCAGGTTTCCTCTTTGCTAGACCAGAGGGAAGCACCTTCCCCTTGGTTTACCATGTCGAAATCATCACTGAGTTGAGTCCCAGGCCCCAAACGAGCACGCACATGCAAGCGGAAGTAGTTTCGATCGGCGATGAACTAACCAGCGGGCAGCGGCTCGACACGAACACCCAATGGCTCAGCGAGCGACTCGGCGAACTCGGCATTCGCGTGCTCTACCACACCACGGTGGCCGACGACCTGGAGGCCAACATTCAGGTCTTCCGCCAGGCCGCACAACGGGCCGATATCGTGGTGGCCACCGGAGGACTGGGTCCCACGGCCGACGACTTAACCCGCGAGGCACTCGCAGAAGCCGCCGGTGTCTCGCTGGTGCTCGACGAGCCGATGCTCGAATACATCCGCAACCTGTTCGCCATGTTCGGCCGCGACATGCCCGAGCGGAACAGGGTACAGGCCATGTTCCCCGAGGGTAGCCAGCCCATCGCCAACCCCTCGGGCACCGCCCCGGGTATCGACATTCGCCTGCCTCGAGCAGACGGCGGCACCTGCCGGGTATTCGCCTTGCCGGGAGTTCCGGCCGAAATGCACAAGATGTGGCACAAAACCGTGTCCAGCGAAATCCTCGCCATGGGCGGTGGCCCCCAGGTGATCCGTCACCGGCGAATCAAGTGCTTCGGTCTCGGCGAAAGCCACATCGAAGAAAAACTGCCCGACCTGATCCGCCGCGGTCGCAAGCCCACCGTCGGCATCACCGCCAGCAAAGCGACCATTACCCTGCGGATCACGGCCAAGGGTCAGAACGCCGAGGAATGCCACAAACAGATGGAGCCCACGGTGGCCACGATCTACGAGTGCCTGGGCGACATCATCTTTGGTGAGGAAGACGACGAGTTGGCCGATGCCGTTTGCCGGTTGCTGCTCGAACGCAGCAAGACCCTGGCCACCGCCGAATGGGGCACCGGAGGGTTTGTCGCCAACTGGCTCGATGAGGTGCCCGAGAGTGCCACTTGTTATCTCGGCGGATACGTCCCACACACCGTCGCCTCGGCACAGCGGATGCTTGAACTCGACCCCGAGGTGTTTAAGAACAACGAACCCGCAAGTGCACCCGTGGTCGAAGCGATGGCCGCCGGCTGCAAGAAACTCACCGGAGCCGACTTCGCGCTGGCCGTGAGCGATATGCCGACTCTCGATCCGGCCGACAAAGGATCGGCACGATTCGTCTTCGCCCTGGCCACCGACAAGGACGTGATCGTCCGCTCCGCCCCTGTGCTCGGCGACCCCTCAATCCACAAACTTCGCGCTGCAAAACAAGCACTGAACCTACTGCGGCTCTCTCTGATCCGGCTTGATGCTCCGTAATACCAACCGCAAGAAGCCCCTCAGGCCGGAATGTCTTGCGGCAACGGCTCGGGGGGTTCAGGCAAAACCTCGTTGGCCAACGCCCGAACATCACGCCGCATCCAGAATACCGAAACCAGCATCGCGGAGCCCGACACGCCGAGCATCACGAATGAAGGCAAATCCCAGGTGTTGTCCATCTCCTCGGCCCCCATCGAGCGGGCGAGAATAACACTCAGCAGGTTGTTCGCCGTGTGGCAGGCCATCGCAGGCCAGATCGAGCCACTCATCCAGGCCACCACCCCAAGCCACAGCCCCAACGGAATGACGGCCACACTGTGGGCAGGGTCGATATGAGCCGCAGCGAACATTAACGAACTCACCACAATCGCCGGGATCACCGTCCATCGCGCGAGCAGCCGTTGTTGAACGTATCCGCGAAATAACAGCTCTTCTGAAATCCCTGGAAACAGACTGATGCCGACCGCCATGAACAGCACGATTGGCCCCTGAGCATCGGTAAACATTTGCGACATCTCTTCGACTTGCTCACTCGGCTTGCCGAAGGTCAACATCATCAATTGAAAACCCACCAATCCAAAAAACGGAGTGGCAACCATCGCTGCCACAATCGAAGCCAAACCAATCCGCGGCTTCAACAGGCCCAGCCGTTTCGTAAGGGGTAGGGGAGAAACGAGCCCTCCAAAGATCGCCGCACCGCCGAAGATCAACTGGGGAAACAGCATGACGGTCAATCCGAAGGGGGTCGACATGAACTCGGAAAGACCCTCGGTCGCATGCTCCACATCGGCAAATTGCTTCAAACCCTCGGGTTGCGTGACCACCATGCCGATGACCATCAGAATCGCCGCCATCACGGTAGCGCCAATCACAACCGTGATCGGCAGCACAAACACCGGCCAAATGCGTGGCTTGCAAGGACGAACTTCCGGCGGAAACTCCGCAGGCGCAGTATCCTCCGGTGGCACGTCAGGCGTGGTGATTTCCTCAGACATCGCCCTCGTCTTTCAACATCTTCAGCGTCTTACGAAATGCCTCGACGGTGAGCGCCAAGTCTTCGTCGGTGTGCACACAGGAAGTTGGGCCACCTGGCCAGACGAAAATCTCCACCCCGTGCAACAACATGCCCGCCCTTAACTTCATTAACAATTTGGGCCGCGGGCGTGCTTTCAACACCATGGGGTCATAACTTCCCGCATCGAGCTGCTCGCGGGCCACAGCCTGCCCCTCTGGATTCGTATAGATATGGAACCCCGAGAAAGTACCGTACACCGTCCAGGAAACACTCTCCTCCTGACAAACTTCATTCAGGGCCTCTCGCAACCGCTGGGCATAAGTACTTGCCCGTTCGCAAGCATCGGTCTCCGAGACAATTCTCAAGGCTTCAACCCCGGCGGCCGCTGACAAGGGATTGGCGTTAAACGTCCCGTGGTGACTGATCTTCTCACTGCCCAAATCCACCGCCGCACGATGATCGAGCAATTCCATGATCTCTTGCTTCCCCGCCACGGCCCCGCCGGGCAATCCTCCGGCGAGTATCTTCGCCAGTGTGGTCATATCCGGCGTCACGCCAAACACCTGCTGCGCTCCACCCGGGCTGCAGCGGAAGCCGGTGATAACTTCGTCGAAGATCAGCACAATTTCTCGCTCGGCCGTCATACGTCGAAGTTCAACCAGGAACTCCTTCAACACCGGTAGCTGGCCCCAGCTCGCCCCAGTAGGCTCGATAATCACCGCCGCAACATCGTCGCGGTCGAGCACTTGCTCAGTACCCCGAGTATCGCCCGCAGGGGCCAGCCGCACATTGCTGGCCACCTCGGCCAACACACCCGGGGAGGCAGATCCGTCGAACCGGGAGCCGACTCCAAAGGCCATATGGTCGTGCCAACCATGGAAGTGCCCAACGAAACGCACCAGCTTTGTACGCCTTGTGAAAGCCCGGGCCAATCGCAATGCCAACAATGTGGCCTCGGTGCCCGAACTGGTGAACCGCACCGACTCGGCCGAGGGAACCATGTCACGAACCAGCTCAGCCCAGCGAATCTCGAGTTCGTGACTCGAGCCGTAATGGGTTCCCAAAGCGAGTTGCCGCTGTACAGCTTCGACAACCTGCGGATGATTGTGCCCGAGCAGAAGGGCCCCGTGGCCCCCGGAGTAATCGACGTACTCGTTTCCATCCACGTCCCACTTTCGCGAACCCGCGGCGCGTTCGACATAGATCCCGTGCGGCTCGAGATAGCGACTATCGTGCGTGACTCCTCCAGCAATACTCCGACGGGCCTCTTCCGCCAGCTTGGCCGAGGTGCGCGTCTTCTCGCAATAAGCTTGAACAATCGCCGACTTTGTGAGTGCTTCGACCACGCGAATCTCTTTTCAATCAAACGACCGAGGAGAACCAATCTGCCCAAAGTCTAGCAGACCTAACCGAATGTCCGAAGCAGGGCAGGGGAGTGCTTCTGCTAACTGCTTGTATCTGCGTTCAAAACCTCTCCATAGTGCGCGGCGAGGTCTGTCACACATTTCTCGACCGGAAACTGCTCGCAGGCCCGGCTTCGAGCCCCCGCCGAAAGCTGAGAGTGTTGAGCATCATCATCGATCAGGCATAGCCAGGCTGAAGCCAAGGCGGCAACGTCGTCGACTTCGACGAGAATCGCACCATCTGCTTCGGTCGGAAAAATCTCCCGCGTACCACCGACGTCCGTCGCAATCACCGGAACCCCACAGGCCGCGGCCTCCAACAGCACCCGACCGAGCGGCTCTTGCCGTGCTGCGTGGACCAACCCGCGCAAATCCGGGAGTAGCTTCGCCACATCTTCCCGATAGCCCAAGAAGTGCACCCGTCCAACCAGGTCCGGCTGACGAGCCCGCAGTGCCAACTGCTCCGCGAACCGCACGGCCTCGTCTTTTTGAGAGTGACGCTCTCCCACAATCAGCAGGTGAACCTGTGGATGGCGGCTTGCGACCGTAGCGAATGCCTCGACCAGAACGTCTTGCCCTTTGCGAAGACCGATCTGCCCGATGGAGGCGAATAGCAGTGCACTCTCGGGAAGCCCCAACTCTCGTTGGATATACCCAGACGGCTCGCCTGGACAGAACACCTCGAGGTCGGCCCCGTTGTAAAGAACGTGGATCCTCGAAGCATCAACGCCACCATCGGCATGAAATGTTCGCACTGCCTCCGACACGGCTAACAGTCGAGCATGCTGATTCAAATCACTTACGGCCTGCCCGCTAAGACGATAGATATCACGCATATGGGCAATGCTGGGCAGACCAATCTGCGACACCACCGGCCCAGACAACCGCCCCATACTAAGACTGTTGGCATGCAGCAGTTCCGCGTTTGATGCGATTAGGTGATCAAGAAGTTCGCGCTGAAGTCCTGGCGTTTTCCGCCTGCGACCAACGCCATCGCGAACATCGAAGGGCACATGCTCGATGCCTGCTGACCGAAGCAATTCGGCCAGAGGACCTTTCGAAGGTGCGATCGCCACCGGAGAAAAGCCCAGCCGGCGGATGCCTTCAAAAGTGGCCAGCAGTGAACGCTCGGCTCCGTTCAACTCAGCGAATTCGAACAGCCAGGCAATGCGAGTCATGATTGGCTGCGCCGCCCCGATACAAGAGCCGGAGCCACCCCAAAATGGGTCTCGTCTTATAGCAAGCCGTACGCGGTCAGCGTCTTTCGCAGACTGGTCTGCTCCGAATCGCTCAGCGGGGTCATCGGCATCCGCAATTCGCCTGTGTCACGGCCCAGCATGCCCATGGCGGCTTTGATTGGAATCGGATTCGTCGACAGGCCCAGCATGTCGCGGCACAGCGGGAACAGCTTCTTGTGCAGCTCTTGAGCCTTGGCCAGGTCGCCGGAGTCGAACGCTTGACACATCGCCAGCATATCGCCAGGGACGATGTTGCCTACGACCGAAATCACGCCTCGCCCACCAACGGCCAGCAGTGGCAGCGTCATACTATCGTCGCCGCTAAGCACGGTCAGATCGGTGCTGCAGATGATCTGCGAGGCCTGATCCATCGAGCCCGTGGCTTCCTTCACCATGGCGATGCCCGGCAACTCGGCCAGACGGCAGATAGTGTCCGGCTCGATGTTCTTACCGGTGCGGCCCGGAATGTTATAGACGCAGATCGGGATATCGACCGCCTCGGCCAACGCCTTGAAGTGCTGGTACATCCCTTCCTGGGTTGGCTTGTTGTAATAGGGGGCAACCACCAACGCTGCATCGGCACCCTCTTTGGCAGCCCACTTGGTCAATCGCAACGCTTCAGAGGTACTGTTGCTGCCGGTGCCGGGCATCACCTTGATCTTGCCGGCCGCTGCTTGAACCACGGAAGAGATCACGCGTTCGTGTTCATCGTGAGAAAGCGTAGGTGATTCGCCCGTGGTCCCCACCGGACACAGCGTGCCAGTCCCGGCCGCGATCTGGAACTCGACCTGTTCTCGCAAACGGTCGTAATCCACCGCTCCATTTGCGAAGGGGGTGGTGATGGCCACCGAAAGACCGGCGAATTCTTCAGCCCGTGTCGTCATTGCGATTCTCCGTCAATCCAATTCGGCGTCAGCCTTCGACCGAATCCTTCCACAGCGTATCAAATTCCACACCAGCGAGGTCGCATCATAGCGCTCCGCGGCCCGACATGTAAAGCGGTGAGGTTCCCCAGTGTGGATGAGTTCAGCTCACCAACTGCTTCATCTCGCGAACTGCTTCACGAATGCCCACCATGATCGATCGGGCGATGATGCTGTGACCGATATTCAGTTCGCACATTTCGGGGATCTGTGCCACGGGGGTCACATTGCGATAGGTCAACCCGTGTCCGGCGTGCAGGATCAACTTTGCCTGACGGACCGCCTCGGCGGCCACGGCGAGTTCTTGCAACTCCCGCTGCTGCTTTTCGCCCTCGGGGGCCAGGGCGTATTTGCCTGTGTGAAGCTCGACGGCGTGAGCACCCACCTCGAGCGAGGCTTCGATCTGATTGGGGTCGGGGTCGATGAACAGGCTGACTTCGATCCCCGCGGCCTTTAGGCGAGAGACCGCATCTTGCACCCGCTTGCGGTTCTCCAGCACGTCGAGCCCGCCCTCGGTGGTTACTTCTTCGCGACGCTCAGGCACCAGCGTGCATTGAGCCGGCTTGTAACGGCAGGCCAGTTCCAGCACATCCTCGTCGCAGGCGATCTCCAGGTTGAGCTTCACGGCCGCGGTCTCGCTCAACACGAGCAAGTCGCGTTCCTGCACGTGGCGTCGATCCTCTCGAACATGCAACGTAATTCCGTCGGCCCCGCCGAGTTCAGCCAGCGCGGCAGCCCACACCGGGTCGGGCTCTTTCGTCCCCCGTGCCTGCCGCACGGTCGCCACATGATCGATATTCACATTCAGACGTGCCATAGGCCGTCGCCCTCCGCCTCTGCATAGAACCCACCGATCCGCAAAATGTTTCAGCACGGATCATGCCATTTGAATGGCCGTTTGAGAAGCACCCCGGGGATTCGCTTCTCACGCTCGGGCATCCGCCCCATCGCCAGCACGACATCCCGACTCGGGTTGAGGTTCGGCCCTGGGCTTGATCGAGCAGAAGAAACCTCATTCCTTGCGGTCGAGGATGAGGGCCTCCTTCGAATACACCCGACGTCGGTCGACACGGCCGTCCCCGTCGTTGTCTTCTTCCAGCGTAAAGCGGCCCTTTTGCTGGTCGTACTGAAGGCGGCGCATTTCACCGTTGGGGCTGAAAGACTCCATGGGCTGAGGAGATTCTCGAAGTGCATTCCAGAGCATCTGACTCGGCGGCAACTCTTCGCTGGGGTTGGCAGTCAGCGCCCAAATGGCCAGCCCACCGCCCAGCACCGCTAATGCGACGGGCACCCACAACTTGCCCGGGTCGAGCGGCAAATCGCCATCGTCCCGCGAATAGTCGTGATCGAAACCCGAGTCCCACTGTTCCTGACGAGAACCATACCCATTGGCAGAAGATGCAACCCCGTCGCTGATTCGATCGTCTGCCCCCAACTGGTTCTGCATCAACTCGGTGGCCTGCTCGGCGTCTTCCGAGTGCACCGACAAAATGTAACGGCGAATCCATTGCCCATGCATGGCACTGAACTCGTCGACTTCGCGAACGGCCATCTCGACGTGATGAGCGGCCAGCAGTTCCTCGAAGTATCCCAATTCGGCGAGATTGGTGAATCGCGCGATCGGTACCATCGACGATTCTGAGAGCCTCACATCTCCCTCATCTCTTGGGCATTCTTCGCCGCAATGAGGACAAACCACCGACTCGGACAACGACGGCCTGGAGCTTGGGCTGGGGAACCCTTCGAATTCGCTTCCGCAGTGGGGGCAACGCATCATGTTCTTGGGGCCATCTCCGTTGGGGCTGGATGTTCGCCGTGCACGATATCCTTGCGGAATCTCGGCATTTCGGCCGCAAAATGGCGTTAAGCCGCCGCCACAGAATAACTTGCGGCCATTCCGCGAACCCCTGAAATTTGAGCTAAACTTTTGGTGACGGCCGGACGACAGCGGCAATTCAAGTCGCCATCGACCGCGTCGCTCGTCTTTGCATCTTATCCGAAATCACAGTCGATCGCCCATCCGTGACCCGCAGGGAGCGAATCACGGAGCCCAGTGATCTTTGTCACATCTTCGAGTTCGCACCACACGCGTCAGATGGGAAGAGTCACCATGAATTGCCAAGAGCTGGCCGAACGTATCCAAGAGTTGCAGCCTGAAGCCTTGCCGCGCGATGTCGCCCGGCTGTGCCTATTGCTGACCAACTATGTCGACGATATCGATCACCTGCTCGACGAGGGCGAATTGACTCAGGCCTGGCAAGAAATGGGCATCCGTTTACAGGCGGCCACCGACCAGCATGCCGCCATGACCGAAGAACTGGAAAATCTGGCCAGCTCCGATCCCACGAAGTTCTCCATGGAGCAGATCTGGATTCTGATTCGTGCCATCAAGGTACAAAGCCAAATCTTGCAGCTGTATGTCGGCCACCCGGTGCTCGACGTGTAGAGAATCGGCCGCGCAGCTCTTACTCGATCGATTCAACTGGCACATTCCACGCCCCTTCCAGGAATACTTCGGCCGAGGTGCGGACGATTTCTCGCTTCCACTGCGGCTCGTGGACTGGCCAGGATTGAACATCGGCCACGGATCCCTTCACGTGATGTGGCGTGCCCTGACAATGGGCCTGCTGCCAACACTCACTCTCCACAGGCATCGGCCCCGGGACCTGGCCGGGGACATTGCTCCGTCGCATCGTCAGTGCCCCCTGATCGTAGATGCTGATGATCACCGGGGAACTGAAGTCCAGCATCCTTCGCGCAATCAACTCATGACTCGCGGTGGCGTAAAGCGATTTCAGCTCCAGCAAGTCCCAACCACAACCCGTGGCGTCGTCGACAAACCAGGTGCCCGGCAGTAGTAGCCTTGCAGCCAACAGGTTGGCGACCTGCTCGCGGGTGTGCAGCAATGTTTCCTCGGGGTCGACCCCGAGGGTTTCAAACACGCGATAGGCCCAGCGTTCCCCTACCTCATGGGCCACGGCCCACTGTCGTCGTTCGCGGCGGGGTTCCGGCCTCAGGAAGATGGTGCCTCCGCCCGGCTGAATTCCCCGGCCCTCGCTGCCCAGTTGTACGAATCGGGCCCGCCCGGGCTGCTGACGATCGTGGGCCACGTCGATCCCCAGGCTGGTCGCTACGGCGAACGCGTCGACCGGCGGGGCAAACACATCAGCCTCGGCCAACACCATCCCGGCAGTCGCTTCCAGGGCCGCTTCCAATTCGTGTTTCGAAATTTCAGGCAACATGCGTCCCAGCCGCCTCAGTGAATAGTATACACATGAACACTATATCGTGGGGCAAAGTGCTGTCAAACAAATGCTGGCAATTTATTGGTGCGGCGGGCTCAAATCGACGAAGCAGAGAACAGGCCTCCGAGCAGATGACGACCCTGGCCCCATGACCTATCCGCTCATCTCGCGTCCAACGACAGCTCAACGGGGCGAAGTTCACTCAACCGGCGTACTCGTCAATTCCCAGCGCATGCGATACGATGCGCGGGTGCGTACTTACATCCCGCAGCTCCCAGTGAATTGGGCCTGCAGGCAACTTTCTCCGCTTCTTTCCCAGCGATACGGCAAACTCTGTGACGATCCCCCTGACGACCATTACCAAGCCCACGCCTCCTTCGCAGATTAAAGGCAACTACGCCTTCGTCACGCTGGGTTGTCCCAAGAACCTCGTCGACAGCGAACGCATGTTGGGCCTGCTCGAGCTGGACGGATACCGCCTCGTGCAGAATCCCGAGGGGGCCGACTTCGTGGTGGTGAACACCTGTGGGTTCATCGAATCGGCTCGGGCGGAATCGCTGGCCACCATCGACGAAATGATCGACCTCAAACGCGATGGACGCATCCGCGGGGTGATCGTCTCGGGTTGCTTGGCAGAACGACAACGCGAGGAACTGCTCGAGTCGCGTCCCGAAATCGATCACTTAGTCGGCGTGTTCAGTCGCGACCAGGTGACCAAAGTGGCCGACCGACTCGTCGGCGGGCTGGATGAGCAGCGAAACATCTTTCAACCAGCACCCATCGTGCCACTGCCCGATCGCGATCGGATGCGGGTCACGCCAAAACACTTCGCCTATCTGAAAATATCCGAGGGTTGCGACCGGCTGTGCACCTTCTGCGCAATCCCCAAGATGCGCGGCAAGCATGTGACTAAGCCGATAGAAGAAGTTCTGGACGAAACCGCCGAGCTGGCCGCCGATGGAGTCCGCGAACTGATTGTCGTCGCCCAGGACACAACCTATTACGGAATGGATCGCTACGGCGAGCCCCGCTTGCGAGAACTGCTCACCAAAATGGAAGAGGTCGAGGGCATCGACTGGATTCGTCTGATGTACCTCTACCCGATGTATTTTTCCAACGATCTCATTGACCACATCGCGGCCAGCAAGAAGATCGTACCTTACCTGGACATGCCACTTCAGCACATCAACGACAACATGTTGCGGAGAATGTCCCGTCGTGTAACCCGTGCCGAAACCGAGCAACTTGTCGATCGCTTGCGAAATACCATCGAAAACCTGACGCTACGCACGACCTTCATCGTGGGCTTCCCCGGCGAAACCGAAGAGCAATTCGAGGAGTTGGTCGACTTTGTGAAGGCCACGCGGTTTGATCGGCTGGGCGTGTTCCCATACTCATACGAGCCCGACACACCGGCTGCCCGACTGCCCGATCAAATCGACGAAGAGGTGAAGCAAGCCCGAGTCGAACGCTTGATGCAGGTCCAGCAGGAGATCGCCTTCGAACTGGGCCAGGGCCACATTGGTACTCAGCTCGAAGTGCTGATCGACCGTAGCGTCGAAGAGCAGCCCGATGCCTGGGTTGGCCGCACCATGGCCGATGCCCCGGATATCGACTCCGAGGTTTACGTCACCGGCGAGGGGCTGGCCACCGGGAAAATGGTACTGTGTGAAGTCGTGGGAACGCATGGATACGACCTGATCGCAGCAGCGATTGGCCCAGCTCACTGATATTTTGCCACCGGGCGTCACCGCTCGTGATAGAATTCAATGAGCGGAATGAATACGACAGGAATCGATTCTTTCGACGACGGAACCCGGCATGTCCACCACCACCAAGCAGCCGATCAGCACCAAAGAGCCCATCTGGAGCACATTCTTCAATTTGCCCAACCAGCTAACCGTGTCGCGGTTGGTGCTCTCAATCGTGCTGTTCGTCTTCCTAGGACTTCAGTGGTACACCACGAGCCTGGTGCTCTTTGTCGTCGCCGCATCGACCGACTGGCTCGATGGATATTTCGCCCGCAAGTACGGCCAGGTGACCATTCTGGGCCGCATTCTCGATCCCTTTGTCGATAAGGTGATCGTCTGCGGTACTTTCATCTTCCTGGTGAGTGAGCCCGAGTCGCAAATTCGGGCCTGGATGGCGGTCGTCATCGTGGGGCGAGAATTACTCATCACGGCCATCCGCAGCTTTCTCGAGCAGCAGGGGGCCGACTTCTCGGCCAACATGTCTGGCAAGCTGAAGATGGTCTTCCAGTGCATTGCAGCCGGCGTGAGCTTGTTCTACCTCGCTCAACTTTCCGCCGGCGGGGCGGCCGATTGGGTTTACTGGCTGCTGATCGCCATGGTCTACACCGCCATAGCCCTCACCGTATACTCCGGCATCGGTTATATTCGCGCGGCTGTTTCGATTCTCGATTCCTGAGTTTCGGTTCAGAGTTCCCCTGCGACCAGACCGTAACCCTTCCGGCAAGCCGCTTACGCATTCCCGCTGAGGACCGCCTTGGTCAGCGAAAACATAACGCTAATGTTGATCATCGCGTTTTCGGCCTCGGCGATCGGCTGGCTGTTCTTCGCCCGACGCAAACTCTCGGGCAAACCTTTCGTGGATTACTCGCCCCGCCGAATCGTCCCTTGGCCAGGGCTAGGCGTGTTCGTAGCCATTATGTGCTGGCTCTTCATACGGGGTGCCGGCGTCGAGATCTACAACTACTTCAGCGGCCCCACCGCAATTCAACAACGGCTACAAGCCAGCGATCCGCCCGCCGATGGAGATGAGGAAGCGGAATCGACCTCATCGCCCACACTCAAAATCACCAGCAACCACATTCTGACCGATGCCTTCTTCAGTCTCATCGCGGTAGCCGTCGTTTGCATCTTCCTCGAGCAGGGCTTCGGGGCCACGTGGGATGATGTGGGCCTGCGGTTCGATCGCGCCGAGCACGATATTCCCCTGGGCATAGCCGCCGGGGCGGCGATCATTCCCGCCCTGCTCCTGCTGCAACTAGCACTCACGCAGTGGATTCCCTCGAAACATCAGATCGTCGAACTCTTCGAGCAACAGTCTGACTCGAAGACTATGGCCATCATGTTCATTTCGGCCGTTGTCGTAGCCCCGCTGGCCGAGGAATTCTTCATTCGGGCCGTCCTCCAGGGCTGGCTCGAGAAGGTATCGCACGGCCACCAGCTCGCTTGGCGTCAGGCTGCCGCTTCGGCGCTGGGATCGGCTGTCGGTGAGTCCGCCTCAGAGACACTGCCTGAGTCTGCCGCCGACTCACCTGAGTCGGAAGCAGACATCGAGGCCGAACGATTACAAGGCTGGTTCGCCGCCGCGCCGGTCCTCCTCGCTTCCGGGTTCTTTGCGGCCATGCATATTGGCTACGGGCCCGACCCGATTCCAATTTTCTTGCTCTCCCTGGCCTTAGGGTATCTCTACCAACGCACCCATCGTCTACTCCCTTCGATCACGCTCCATATGCTGCTCAATGGCACGAGCCTCGCCATTCTGTGGGCGAGCCTGTAGCCCGGGGGCGACTGGTTGTCGCGCAGCTCGGGCCTTATAATCCGCCTTTCTTTGGCAGAAACTCAACTTTTATCCCGGGCTGCACTGTAAAGCATCGGCCGCGGGACACATCGCAATAGAACGAGAACGAAGGGCTCAGCAACATGGCACATGGTTTTGGACTAGTCGGCTGCGGGATGATCGCTCACTTTCATGCGAAGGCGATTGCCGACATCCGCGGAGCAAAACTCATCGGCTGCTACGACACCTTCCCCTCCGCAGCCGACAAGCTGGCCTCCACGTTCGACTGTCAGGCTTATCACAAGCTGGACGAGATGCTGGCCAACCCCAAGATCGATGTCGTGGTGATCGGCACCCCCAGCGGTGCCCACATGGATCCTGCGGTTGCCGCTGCGAAAGCCGGTAAGCATGTCATCGTCGAAAAGCCGCTCGAAATCACGCTAAAGCGTTGCGACAAGATCATCGAAGCTTGCAAGAAAGCGAAAGTCCGCCTGGCGACGATTTTTCCCTCCCGGTTCCATGCCTCCAGCGTGGAGTTGCGTCGGGCGGTCGACGAAAAACGCTTTGGTGCACTGACCATGGGCGACGCCTATGTGAAGTGGTTTCGCCCTCAATCGTATTACGACAGCGGCGCCTGGCGGGGCACCTGGGAACTCGACGGCGGTGGCGCACTGATGAATCAGGCTATTCACAGCGTCGACTTGCTCACCTGGCTCATGGGCCCGGTCACCGAAATCTCGGCCCACTTCGGCATGCTGGCCCACGAGCGGATCGAAGTGGAAGACACGGCCGTAGCCTCACTCCGCTTCGCCAACGGAGCCCTGGGCGTGATCGAAGCCTCCACGGCGGCCTATCCCGGCTACTTGAAGCGAATTGAGCTGCACGGCTCAGAAGGCTCGGCGGCTCTCGAAGAAGAAGACATCGTCCGTTGGGACTTCGCCAAGAAGGGCCGTCGCGATGCCGCCGTGAAGCGGAAGATGAGCCAAACTATCAGCGGCGGCGGAGGGGCCAGCGACCCCAGCGCCATCGGGCATCACGGACACGCCGAATTATTCAAAGACACGCTCGCCGCCATCGATGCCGGGAAAGACCCTTCGGTCGACGGCAAAGAAGGTCGCCGCAGTGTCGAGATCATCCTCGGCATCTATAAAGCAGCCGAGACGGGCCGCTCAGTGAAACTCCCCCTGACCAGCGATCCCGTACTCAAGTCGCGCAAGGAAACGGTCGGCAAGTTGACCAAGAAAAGCCGCTAGGCGTCGAAACGAGCGAGACAAATTCCGTTCGTGCATTCGACTGCGGTGCGTGCCAGCACTCCGCGAGGGCTTCTTTCCCCCGGCAATTGCAGGCTCGAATCGACCTTTCCTCGATTGCCCAATCCTGCCAGAATTTTCGTCCCACCAGCGATTACTTTGGCATGGAGGCACTTCGCTCGTGCGAGTTCAGGTTCTCGGTCAATACGCGGCCTATGTCGCCGTTCGCCTATTTATTAGCCTGCTGCAAGCGCTACCCATCGAAATGTGCCAAACGCTCACCCGTGGCATGGCATGGTTCTGCAGCGATGCCGTCGGCATCCGTCGTAAGGTCGTCATGGGAAACCTCCAGCAGGCCTTCCCCGAACGGACTGAAGCCGAGCGGAAGGCCATCGCCCGCGGCATGTGGGAACACCTGCTGCTATTCATCGTCGAATTGGCCCACGCGCCGCGAAAGATTCACGACACCAACTGGCGCGACTATGTCAACCTGGTCGAACCCCAGCCCTTGCTTCGCGCCCTGCTGGCCGACCGTCCCGTGATGATCGTCTCCGGCCACTTCGGCAACTTCGAACTCGCCGGCTACATCATCGGGCTGCTTGGCTTCCCAACACACACCGTGGCCCGCAAGCTCGACAATCCCTACATCGATCGCTTCCTGAATCGCTTTCGCGGCGTTACCGGGCAATACATGATCCCGAAGAAGGGTGGGTACGACGATATCCTCGAGGTCTTGCGTTCCAAAGGAACCATGACATTCCTGGCCGATCAGCATGCTGGAGAGAAAGGCTGCTGGGTCGATTTCTTCGGACGCGAGGCCTCGACCCACAAAGCCATCGCACTATTAGCCCTACAGCACGACTCCCCCGTGGCCGTAGGCTATGCCGTTCGCCGCGATCGTCCTTTGCAGTATTCTTTGCAGCTCGAGGGCATCACCGAGCCGGCACAGCAGGGCGGGGTGAAAGAACTCACCACGTGGTATACCAAGCGAATCGAAGACGCCGTTCGCCGCACACCCGACCAATATTGGTGGCTGCACCGCCGCTGGAAAGAGCGACGACGCAAACGGCGCACCACCGCGGTCACAAAACAGGCCGCATGAACGAAGTGGCGGATGTTTTCACCGGTTGGACGGTTGGTCTCTCCGTTTCGATCAATCCCCATGCATCTTCGATTGCGTTCGGAAATCACCCACGCTTGCCAACATCTACTTTCACGTTCACGGCCCCGGTCTTATAATCGCGCGGGTATGGTGAATCGGGGAGAGCTTTAACGTTGCCGAACTGGATGGATGTCGCTGAGGTTGACGACTGCCCCCAGGGCTCGTGTATCGAACGCGTCGTGGGCGACCGCATCGTGGCCCTGTTCAACGTCGATGGCACCTTTCACGCACTCGACGGCGTTTGCCCGCACCAAGGGGGACCATTGGGGCAAGGAGAACTCTCGGGCACGATCGTCACTTGCCCCTGGCACGGCTGGCAATTCGACGTTCGGGACGGGCAGCATCAGTTCAGTCCCACGATTCAGCAGCCGTCGTTCGCAACCCGTGTTGTGGGGAACACCGTTCAGGTCGATATCGTTGAGTAGCCGCACGTGTCGCCACGGAAACCGATCGACAGATTCATTGCCTGAGAGTGAGTGGCTTGGTAGGAGAAAGGCTTCGGCCTTGTTGCGGTCTGTTATGGACAAGCATCGATTGTGATTCATTACCGCCCGTTTCGTAACAGCGATCCTCCGGCCCTGGTTCAAATCTGGCAATCCAGGGCTGTCGAGCGCGGTCTCACGCAGCCCGTCACGGCCGAGGTGCTCGAAGAGCTGGTGTTCTCCAAGCCCTACTTCGAAAACCGAGGGCTCATCCTGGCCTGGGACGACGAAACGCCCGTGGGTTTCGTACACGCGGGTTTCGGCCCTTCCGACGACCAACAGCGAATCTCTTATATGCTTGGCGTCACGTGTGCTTTGATGGTTCGCGACGATTACCGCCGGCTAGGCATCGGGCGAGAATTGATCACCCGCAGCGAGCACTACCTGAGAGAGAGAGGAGCAAAAGTTCTCTATGGCGGGGCCATCCGACCGCTGAATCCCTTCTATCTCGGGCTCTACGGCGGTAGCGAACTCCCAGGCGTGCTCGACTCCGATCAAGCGGCACAACAGATCTATCGTGCCTGTGGCTACCGCGAGATCGATCGCACGTGCATCTTCCAACGCGACCTGGCCGGCTTTCGAGCGCCCATCGACCGCTACCAAATGCAAATCCGTCGCCGCATGACTGTGAAGGTGACCGAAGACCCTCCGACAAAAACCTGGTGGGAAGCCTGCACCTTCGGCGGCTTCGATCGCACGCGATTCGAGCTCATCGACAAAACCACCCAACAATCGCTGGCCAGCGTCATCTTCTGGCGCATCGAGCCCCTGGGCACCAGTTGGGGCGTGCAAGCCGCAGGGTTGGTCGACCTCGAAGTGCACGAAGAACACCGCAAACAAGGCATGGCCACGTTTCTGGTGAGCGAAGCACTGAAGCAGCTCGGGCAGTCAGGCTTCCACCGCGTCGAAGTCCAAACCATGCAGGCCAACACCGCCGCGATCAACCTCTACCAAAAGCTCGGCTTCCGCGACGTTGAAGGCGGCGCCGTGTTTCGCAAGGAAGAGTAAGTCGCTCACGTAGCCAGCTAACCAGCTAAATCGTGAGTGGCAATTCTTTCCCTACCCGCCGCCTAACAGCCGAATATGCTCCACCAGCAATTCTTCCGGCTGCCCATGCAAACGCCTTAGCGTCAGCGAGAGCGGCTCAATCGCCCCGTTGCGGTACAGACGATTCAGATACTCATGCAGCAACTGTCGACGGCGCGGGTCGGTCTGCAGCATGAAGTGCATCCAGGCCCAGGACTCGGCGTATTCGATCTGCGACATCTGATTCAGATCGGTCAACTGTTCGAGTCTCTGCAAGTCAGGCTGCCATTCGCCTGAGTTAAGCTTTGCGATCAAGTCGGCCACATGCGGCTCGTTCAGCCCGTTGTTGCCCCGGGGCACTTCGAAGTATTCGGCCAACCCTTCATCGATCCAAAGCGGGATCTGCGGCACGACGGCATGCATGTATCCATGAGCCACTTCATGACGAAGATCCTCCGCCACACGGTCACCCCACTGGGCGTACACCGCCAACTGCGTATCGGTCTCCACGAACAGCGCCCGACGATCGGGGTAGTTCGGGAAGGTTCGCCCGACAAACTCTTTGTACTTCACCGGTGTGTCAAACAAGAAAACATGAATCGGTTCCTCGGAAGTCGGGAGGGACAGCGTCTGAGCCACGTCCTCGCGTTGACGAACCAAATCTTGCAGCAAGCGATGGCTCGGCGGCGGTCGGGAGTCGCTATGAATCACCAACTGATCGATCGCCTGGCCATCGTCGATCGGTGCGAATGTCTTCTGATGCCATGGTAGCGCACAACCAACCACTGTCACCAGCACAACCAGCAACGCGGCAATCCGCCCCAGGCAAGAGATTCTTCCACCCATCAGACGCGTGCCCCCAAGTTCGCTGCACTCTTGGTCGCTCGCCTTAGCTGAGGCTTCTGCTTCGCCTCTTCCAACCAGGTAGCAAGCGCGTGTTGTCCTGGGACATAGTCCGCCTTGGCCACCTGTTCGACGACCTGCACAAACCGTTCTTCCCAGGCTCCAACACTGTACTGTTCGCAAACTCGCCGGCGAGCTTCGGCCCCCATGGCAGTGCGAAGCTCAGGGTTGTCAGCTAATCGGGAGATTGCCTCGGCCCATTGCTCAGACGTTTCAGCGATGAAACCCGTGCGGCCGTGCTCGACCATCGAAAGATTCATCCCCACCGGGTTGGCCACCACCGGCAGCCCCGCGGCCATGTATTGAAGGACCTTCAGCCCACACTTCCCTCGGCTCCACGGATCGTCAGGTAACCAACTCAACCCAATGTCGGCCCGAGCCAACTCTGTGGCTTCGGTCTCTGAGGACCAGCGACGCGGCTCGACTCGCACGCCCTGCAAGTCTGGAAACGCATCGCACACCACGGCTAGTGAGAGATTCGGCACCGCTCGCGTCGCCGCCGCCAGCGAATCGCCCGCCAACTTCAAACTCGGCAGTGTGCTTTGCTGCCCGATCCAAACCAACCGCACGGCGTCGGAAGCAGGGGAAGCCGTATGCCCCGCCAGCGGATATCCGCCGGGTTCAACACACGTGGGAACCAGCACCACCTTTTCAGCCTCGACGTAAGAGGCCGTTTGCTGCTGCAAGAAGGGATTGCCCACCACCACGGCGTCGGCCCCGTAAATCGTGGTCCAAAACCGTGCCAGCCGCTGCCGGCTGTACGACCCCTTAGCCGCATAACTGTCGCGGAGGAACACTGCATCGTCGATGTCGTAGATCAATCGACGGGCACTTCGACGAAGCACGGCCACCTGCCACAACGACAACAGCCGCCGCTGCAAAATCACTGCGTCATAATCCGCGGCCGCACGCAGTTGTTTCCAGCGACGCCAACTTCCCCGATCGAGCGCAACCGTATCGACCGTCCAGCCTTTGCGCCTCAGCGCAGGGTCGAACGCCTGAATTCGGTAGCGATAGCAGACGTGGTCTGTCGTCTCGACCAGCGCAAGCAGCCGCACGAGCAGATCCTCCATGATCTGGAAGCGTGAAAGGTGGGGAATAATAACAAGTTCCGATGCGGGGCCATACCTCAGACTGTGGGTGGTTGTTCCGAAGACCAATTTCAATCTGCTTCGCCTAACTCGAAGGCTCGACACAGCTTCGGCCGTCAATCACACTTGGGGCTCTGCTAACTTGGGCAATCTAAGCGAAAGCCCACTCCCAAGCAGACACTTCAAACCACACACCAAACCGCGCAACTCACGCCGACTCCGGAGTCTTACATTGCCACGGTCCCTATCCACCCAGCCCAATCTACGCCCTCTGGCAATTCTGTTCGTGGCCCTGGCGCTCTCCATCGGCTGGGGCGTGCGCGGGAACTGGGGGCATGAGTTCGGGGCAATGATTCCTGGGGCCCTGGCGGCAATCGCCGCGGTGCTGGTTTCGGCGCGCGACGACTGGCATCGCCGCGTGGCATACTTCGCCATGTTCGGTACATTGGGTTGGTCGTTCGGCGGTTCGATCTCCTACATGGCCGTGATCGGCTACACACATAACCCAGCGTACTTCGACACATGCCTGTGGGGATTCGCAGGGCTATTCGTCATCGGCTTCTGTTGGGGAGCGATGGGAGCCGCCGGCACCGCGCTACCGGCCGTGCTTAGTCGCGATCGCTTGACCGAATTCTTTGTGCCGCTGTTGATGGTCTTCGCGGCCTGGTTCATCGAATCGTGGTTGATGATCTTCGCCGGCAGCGAAGGCACCTGGCTCGAAGATCGCTTCGGCACGTTTGTGGCCTCGATCGTCAGGCAATTCAACTACGATGCACGGCTAAACTGGTTCGATACCGACTGGCTGGCAGCGCTGTTCGCCCTGTGGGCAATCGGTCTTCTAGCCGTGGTGCGACATCCACGACGACTCGAACTCACACTATTGCTCTACGTCGCCATCGGAGGTGCACTGGGGTACCTGCTCACTGCCGCTCTCCATCTGGAACTCCCTCACCCGGCCGGGGAAGGCTTCTCTGCCCGCGTTGCCAACTGGGGCGGAGTCCTGGGGGCAACCGCGGCCCTCTCGGTTTACCTGATCGCCCGAGGATTGTTCGATCGAGCGTCGCTGCTCATCGCCTACATGGCCCTGGGCTGGTTCGTCGGATTCCTGTTGCTGGTCGAACTTCCGCTGGTCATCCTCGACGACCCTCAGGCAGTCGGTCTGCGAATGACACCTCCCCGTGGAGACAACTGGGCAGGGGCCCTGGGCATGACGGGGGCGATGTTCCTATTCTTCATCCGCAACCGCCTGAGCAATGCCGCCTGGGCCGGAATGGTCGGCGGAATTTTCGGAGGGCTGGGCTTCTCCGGTGCGGCATTTATCAAGCTGATGGCTATCACCTCCGAACTGCAAACCAACTGGCATAGCGTTCTGGAACAAACCTTCGGATTCATCTCCGGAATAGGTATCGCCCTGGTGATGGGGATCCTCTCCCGAGGAACTCCGGTGCAATCCGATGAACCGCCATTGCGCCGTTGGACGGAACCCACGGCCGTGATCTTCACGCTGCTCTTGATGCCCTATCTCAGCATACGCAAGAACCTGTGGGCAGTATGGTTCCAAACACCCGGTGGCATGACGCGGTCGCCCGTGCCAGAGGAAATGTATGGCCTCTCGACCATTGTCTGGTTTCATCTTGCCTATGCAGTGCTGGCCCTGGCAGTGATCATTCCGCTGTTGGCCCACTACCGCGGCCGGAAAGTGGCCCTGGTACCCGAGAACTGGCTCGGTCGAGGGCAATTGTTTTTCATCATTCTGCTGTGGTGGATCGTACTGGGGAACCTCTCACGTTACCTTCCATTCGACCCAGTCCGCATCGTGACCGAGGGCACCATTCACCTCAACGCCTGCATCTGCGTCGTGCTCGCACTTTGTTTGCCACAGCTAAACGCACTTCGGCCGGCGATCTTCGTCTCCAACTTCCGAAATCAACTATGGCAGACCACCAAGTGGGGATTCGTCTTCGCCATCGTCATCGTCATCGCCCAAGCCACCGCCACCCGCGCTGTCCACGGCCCCAACCACGCCGGCCACAGCGGCGTTCACGTCCGCTTCGGCCCCGACAACACCAACCAGCCGGATTAGGAGCTCGATCGCGACCATGAATATCGAACGACCGCGGGGAAAGCCTTTCCTCACACGACAATGAACGTCACACTGGTGCATCTCTGACGCTCGTGTACCTATCCAACTCTTCGCTGCACTCATGACCGAACCTCAAGTTGAACATCAATTCTTCGACATCAACGGCGTGAAGTTGCATGCCGTACTGGCCGGGCCGGAGCAGGGGCCGTTGGTGGTTTTGCTGCACGGCTTCCCAGAGTTCTGGTACGGCTGGCGACAACAAATCGACGTGCTGGCCAATGCGGGCTACCGCGTATTGGTGCCCGATCAACGGGGTTATAACACCAGCGACAAACCCTCAGGCATCCGCAATTACGGCATCGACGTTCTCGCTGGCGACGTGGTGGGGTTGATCGACGCGATGGGTCGCGAGAAGGCCGTCGTCGTGGGGCACGACTGGGGAGCGGCCGTCGCGTGGTGGACGGCGATCACCCATCCCGATCGCGTCAAGCGGCTGGTCATCATGAACGTGCCGCATCCCATCGTCATGCAAAAGCACCTCCGCGGCCTAAAGCAGATGCGGAAGAGCTGGTACATGTTCTATTTCCAACTGCCGTGGATGCCCGAGCGAGGGTTTCTGAAAGGCGACTCCCGCCGCGCACTGCGGGGCATCCAGAAAACCGCCAACCCGGGCACGTTCAGCGACGCCGACATGGAGCACTATCGCGAGGCCTGGCAACAGCCTGGGGCGATGACCGGAATGATCAACTGGTACCGCGCGGCATTCCGAGTGAAACCCTCTCGCGCCGATAGTGTACGCGTGAAGCCGCCAACGCTCGTCATCTGGGGTATGAAAGACCAGTTCCTCGGTAGCGAGATGGCGCAGCCTAGCGTCGACTACTGCGAAGATGGCCGACTCGAGCGCA